ATGCTGAGATCCAGTGAGTTCTCCCCAAGTAAAAGTCATTTGAGATTGCAAAATGCCTTACGGAATAAAGGGAAGAGTGGAACTAACCCAAGATTCCCAGCAGAAGAAATTCCTGAATGACAATTGTGTAGCAGGTCAAAGTGATTGGCCCCCAGTAAAAGGGGATATCAGTGGCCTCCAAAGAATTAAAAAAAAAATGGACTTCATTCAGTTGAATAAGCTAGAATTTCTTAGTAAACAGAACAAAATATTTCTTCTTTCAAAAAGCATACAAAACTTAGAAATTCTGAGGAAAACCACAGCAAACCTAAGAGAGCTTAATCCAAGTAGGGAGCAAGCCAACATACAGCAGGATGAAATGCCAAAAGTAACTCTGATTTTGTGCTTTGGAATGTTTTCCTACAAGTGGCACAGGGACTGACTGGGACACTAGCACCCTGGAGAAAAATGTCATCCTACCTTGCTGGGACTTGAACAATATTTACATGATCATGACTGTGTAAATGCTTCTTAGGAGCTTTCGGCTTTCACATTCAATTTAGTGACAAAAAATATAATAGGCCAGAATATAATTTTTTTTTTTTTTTTTTTTTTTTCTGAAACACTGTCTTGATCTCCCACCCAGGCAGGAGTACAGTGGCATGATCATAGCTCACTGTGACCTTGTACTCCTGGGCTGAAGTGATTCTCCTGCCTTAGCCTCCCAAGTAGCTAGGACTACAGCTATGCACCACCATGGCCCACTAACTTATAAAATTTTTGGTACAGTCTCACCATGTTGCCCAGGCTGGTCTCAAAGTCCCGGCCTCAAGTGAGTCTCCTGCCTTGGCCTCTCAAAGCACTGAGATTACAGGTGTGAGCCACTGTATCTGACCCGGAATATAAATTTTACTAATCTTGATAATATACAAATAATAACTGGATAGTAGACAGAAAAGTCTCAATATTTTGATTCTTTGAAAATGGAAATTGAGATATGGGCTAAAAAATACATCAACAACAAAAACCTTGTAAGGAGAAGTTAAAAGCAGTTATCTTCAAAAAGTAGGTCTTAGTTTAGAAAGTGGAGGTAACTTTTTTTTTTTTTATTGCATTTTAGGTTTTGGGGTACATGTGCAGAACATGCAAGACAGTTGCATAGGTACACACATGGCAGTGTTTTTTGCTTCCTTTCTCCCCTTCACCCACATTTGGCATTTCTCCCCAGGCTATCCCTCCCCAGCTCCCCCTCCCGCTGGCCCTCCCCTTTTCCCCCCAATAGACCCCAGTGTTTAGTACTCCCCTCTCTGTGTCCACGTGTTCTCATTTTTCATCACCCACCTATGAGTGAGAATATGCGGTATTTCATTTTCTGTTCTTGTGTCAGTTTGCTGAGAATGATGTTCTCCAGATTCATCCATGTCCCTACTAACAACACAAACTCATCATTTCTGATTGCTGCATAATATTCCATGGTGTATATGTGCCACATTTTCCCAATCCAGTCTATCATCAATGGGCATTTGGGTTGATTCCAGGTCTTTGCTATTGTAAACAGTGCTGCAATGAACATTCGTGTGCATGTGTCCTTATAGTAGAATGATTTATAGTCCTTTGGATATATACCCAGTAATGGGATTGCTGGGTCAAATGGAATTTCTATTTCTAAGGCCTTGAGGAATCGCCACACTGTCTTCCACAATGGTTGAACTAATTTACACTCCCACCAACAGTGTAAAAATGTTCCTTTTTCTCCACATCCTCTCCAGCATCTGTTGTCTCCAGATTTTTTAATGATCGCCATTCTAACTGGCGTGAGATGGTATCTCAATGTGGTTTTGATTTGCATCTCTCTGATGACCAGTGATGATGAGCATTTTTTCATATGATTGTTGGCCTCATATATGTCTTCTTTTGTAAAGTGTCTGTTCATATCCTTTGCCCAATTTTGAATGGGCTTGTTTTTTTCCTGTAAATCTGTTTGAGTTCTTTGTAAATTCTGGATATCAGCCCTTTGTCAGATGGGGGAGGTAACTTCTTATTTGTTATAAGCTCTTTAGTATAAGGTATTTGTTTCATTTTGATCCTGCATATATATTACTTTAGTTATGAGGATTAAGTTCAGGAAACACTTCTTGAGGAAGTCACTTAAAGCACATACACACTCACACAGACACCTCAGGAAATCACATTTGAATTAGCAATATTTTAGCCAGTGTTTTCTGCATCTAGATTTATTTCCTTTATGATCATTAAGATTCTTACTTAAGTTGCCAAAATACATTTACCTCTGATTTTATTTAGATTCTAAAAGTCAGGATACAAAAAGCACATAAACATCTACAAGTACCAAAACATTTGTGACCTTATAATTATATAGTGCAAGAAAAGAGACAGAGACAGGGAATACAAATAAATTATTATCTAAAGAGTTACATACAAAATTTCCTGGATGATTTGTTAAAATCTGCTAGAAAAGTAACAGAAATGTTATTAAGCCTTTACAGACATTTTGAACAAGATCTGACGCCGTTCTCTTCCATTTCCTGGCCTCATCCTCAGCTTAACAAGCACTGGAGACAGCCAGCTTCTTCAAATGGTCCATGAACACCTGCAGGCTAACGTCATCAGTTAGGATGGGTGCTCCAGTTTCCTGAAATGTAACGATAAAGATTAGTTTGCATATATCTTAGAAGCTGTTTAGAATTCATGAGCTGTCAAGTACCTTCCCTCAGAACATTCACAGGTGTTGTCCCCTCTGCTACGAGTACTCCCATAACCTCATCCTCTGCCTTACTCACAACTTCTTTCAACTAATGCACAATTTCCTCACAAGACCCTTTCCTGATACACTGATATCAGGCTGCCAGCACCTGCTAGTTTTAAGCACAAGGCCTTCGACTTCACCCTCTTCTCCACAATCCTGATGACATACCCAGAGTCTGGCTCGTCAACAATGTAAGCTCGCGGAGCTTACACACCCACCCTTCCTCTTGAGTGCTCTGCTTACAACAGAAGCTGGATAATGGTGTACCCACAAATGAGTGAACCAGTATCTCCACTCAACGGATGGATGTTTCAAATATCAGAAAAAGCTTATAATTGTATTAATGTTATGGGAAAAAATGGAATAGAAAACTCAATTTATAGTAAGATTCCAATTTTGTAAAGAAATTAAAATACATATATACACACACAAACATTAATACACTTTATATTATGCAGAAAAATGCTGGAAATAGTTAACTCTTTAGATAATCGTTCTAGGTAATCTAAATTTTCTTTATTTCTTTAAACATATTCAGATTTTCTAAAACGAAACCATGCTGTTATAATTAGAAAAATATAAGCGTGATCAAAATGTTTTCAGAGGATTTCAAGGAAAAAGGAGTGGAAGATACATACTTTTCTCTATTCCTCCCACTAAGGACAACTAACAACCTTGGGCATTTTATATAAACCAAACCTAAGAAGACCTTGAAAGCTGAAGAGAAGACAGAAGACGAATTAAAGAACCTGAGACCTAAGAACAACACAGCTGTGAGTTCCCTGGGCTTCCTTTTTGCCTTATATACTCCGAATTTGGAGTTGAGGAAGCTGGCAAATTGTCACTGAGCACAGACTCAAACGAAACGAAACAACGAAAAGCACCCACTTTCTCCAGCCAAAGGACTAAAGGAGCCTAGCAAGACAGAACAACCTTAGATAATAACCACTGTACTCCAGGCAAAAATGAAAGAACCAGCAAAAGCTGGGTGGGCAGCTAAAGTTTCCACCCTCACAAGGCAGTAACAAGGCACTCCAACACTCCCACTGGGATGGTGGCAGAGAAGGCTAAGTATGGAGCCAGGATGTTCATCCCCAATGGCCAGTAGAAAATTCCCTTAGCCTTGTGGTGTCAGTAGAGGCCATCTGTGGAGCATGGACTTTCCAGCCCAACCTGGCAAAAATACATGTCCCACCCCTGACTACTGGGATGGTATCAGAGGCCTGGTGGAGGGTCAGGAGTTTCACTGTCACCCAAGTGTAACAAGGCCATCTCCACAGTGGCGTCATTGGAAGCTATGGGGGAGCTGGAACTCCCGTTCCCACTAAGCACTAATTAGAAATCACTAGGTGCCCCCAGGTGTCAACAGAGCCAGTGGAAAATCTGGGCTTCTCTACTTGGCAGTAATGAAACCCACCACTGCCCCACTCACCCTTGCAACCACCTTCCCTGTCAGAGTAATGTAAGAAAAAAACAGTGCGGCCGGGCGCGGTGGCTCACGCCTATAATCCCAGCACTTTGGGAGGCCAAGGCAAGTGGATCACAAGGTCAAGAGATCGAGACCATCCTGGTCAACATGGTGAAACCCTGTCTCTACTAAAAATAAAAAAATTAGCTGGGCATGGTGGTGCACGCCTGTAGTCCCAGCTCCTCAGGAGGCTGAGGCAGGAGAATTGCTTAAACCCAGGAGGCGGAGGTTGTGGTGAGCCGAGATCGCGCCATTGCACTCCAGCCTGGGTAACAAGAGTGAAACTCCGTCTCAAAAAAAGAAAAAAAAGAAAAAAAAAGTGAAAAGTAGCAGTTTTAAATAAGATCCAGGGTCTCATACAAATACTCAAGTGTCCAACTTTCAATAAAAAAATCGCTTATACAAAGTGATTACTAAGCCCTCCAACTGGATTTAAAAAGACAATTGACAGGCCGGGTGCGATGGCTCATGCCTATAATCCCATCACTTTGGAAGGCTGAGGCAGGCAGATCACTTGAGGTCATGAGTTCAAGACAGGCCTGGCCAACGTGGTGAAACCTCGTCTCTACTAAAAATACAAAAATTAGCCCGGGCGTGGTGGTAAGCACCTGTAATCCAAGCTACTTGGAACGGTGAGACATGCAAATCGTTTGAACCCAGGAGGTGGAGGTTGCAGTGAGTTGAGACTGCACCACTGCACTCCCAGCCTGGGCAACAGAGCTAGACGTTTCCTCAAAAAAAAAAAAAAAAAAAAAAAAAGACAACTGACACATGTTAACACTGAGTTGACAACAATTGTTAGAAACAGCATGATAAAAATGTTTCATGAGCAACTGCAAACACACTTGAACAAATGAAAAAGCAGGAAGCCTCCGCAAAGAAAAACAATGCCCCCGGAAAGAAGTGGAAGACATGGAGAATCAAAAGGAAATTTTATAACTGAAAAATACAGTGACCAACACAACGCCCAGTGCATAGGTTCAATGCAGAAAAGGAACAGAAGAAAGAATCAATAAACTGGAAGGCAAAATAACAGAAGTTACCCAAATGAACAAAATAAAGAAAATACATGGAAATGTAGTACCTGGGATACGACAAAATGTCTAACATTCATGTCACTGGATGCCAAGAAAGAAGGAAAAGACAGCACTTCTTTTGGTGAAAAGGCATTCAAAGAAATAATGACTGAAAACTTTCCTGTTCTGGCAAGAGATATAAATGTACAGAAGCAAAAAGCTGAGCAAACCAAAACAGGATAAACCTACAAAGAAAATTAACAAACTGCAAGTGAGAGAAAATATTTACAAACCACATATTTGCAAAAGAAGTAGTATCTAGAATATATAAAGAACTCTCAAACAGTAAAAATCCAAATAATCCAGTTAGACCACAAACCAAAGACACAGAGATTTCACTGAAGAAGAAATACAGATGGCAAAGTAGCACGTGAGAAGATTATCGGCACCATCAGTCATTAGGAAAATGTAAATTAAAACTGCAATGATATACCACTACATACCTATCAGAATGGCTAAAATAAAAATGATACCCCCAAATGATGGCTAGGATGCAGAGAAACTGGATCACTCACACACTGCTAGTAGTTTGGCAGTTTCTTAAAAACTAAACATATAATTACCATACAACCCAGTAAATGTACTCCTGGGCATTTATCTCAAAGAAATGAAGATTTAAAGAGGTAAAAAAGTTTCTGCACATGAATGTTTATAGCAGCTTTATTCCTAGTAGCCAGAAACTGTGAACAACACAGATATCCTTCAATGGGTTAATGATTAAACACACTGCAATACATGTATCGACACTGCGGAATACTACTTAGCAAATAAAAAGGAACAAACTTTTGATACATGCAACAACCTGAGATGAATCTCTAGATGATTATGTTGAGGGAAAAAAGCCAACCCCAGAAGGTTATAGACTGTGTGACTTTATACAAAATATTCTTGATGATAAAAATTATAGAAATGGTAAACAGGTGAGCAACTGCCAGGCACTGGCAGTGGGGGGCAGAGGCAGGAGGGAAGCTGGTGTGACTATAAAAGGGCACATGAGAGATCCAGGTGGTGATGGAAATACTGCACATGTTGACCTTACCAATCTCAATATCCCGGCTGTGATACTGTATGGCAGTTTTTGCAAGATGTTAACACTAAGGGAAAATGGGTAAAAGATACAGCTGATCTCTCTCTGTATCATTTCTTACAACAATATAAATTTACAGTTATCTCATAAAAGTTTAATTTAAAAAATGTTATAAGGAGACAGAATGAAAGAAAAGACTTGTTTGAGAGAGGCATAAATGCTGGGAACAATTAGATAAAGTAGTAATGGTGAGGGAAGAAAAGGGAAGGAATTAGGCTGGAAAGTGAGAAGGAGGCAAAACCGATAATGAGAAGTTGCCCTGTGGTCTTGGCGGGGAGAGGACTAGGGGCCATGCTGCTGTGTGAAGGAGGAGACCCTCATGGAGGCCACAGTACAGTGCTCTGTCCCCTGGCCTAAACCTGGTATGGTTTCCACTGTGTAGAAAGGGACCCACACAGGGAGCCCCCCTCGACCTCCGGCCCAGCTGTGTTATTAAACTTGTTTCCCGCCTCCTTACTCCCCAGCAAAATACCCAAGTTATGCAGTTATTTTGTCTCCAGGCCAAAACAGATCCAATTTGTAGAATTTTAAAACAACTTTTTAAAAAACTAGCTTAGCATCCTCCCCAAATACCTGACAATTTCTTACCTGTCCCCAAGCATAGTGGTTATTGTGTGTCTGAGATGGGTTCACTTTGGACAAAAGGAATCGAGCCTTTAACAACACAACAACAAAAGGTTTGAAGATTAAAAAGTGACATTACTATTAGTGTTAACAGAAAACGGTTTTTACATTTTTTTGGTTAAACTAGAATTGTTTTACTGCATGGTAACTTATTTCTTTGGCTTAAGCCGACTGGCTCTCCATTTGAGTATCCTAAAACATAAACCATGTATTTTATTTTGGCAATCCTTTTACATAAGCGTATTTTGACCACTCATTTAGAAAGAACTCGTATTTGGAAGATTACCCATGTGTCCACTTATGTCATCACATAAAAAGCCACCCTGTTTGGATAATAGCCATAACAATCTATCATAAAACCAACCAGCCACTGGAGCTAGAGCGCAGCTCACTCACCTGACTGCCTCCGTGCTCCGTGTTAATGTAACGTGGCATCGGGAAGCGTGCTTGCAGAATTTCTTGAGCATCATCCAGTGGTGCCTGCAGAAGGTGCTTGAAGTTTTCGTACTCGGGCATGTCCTGGTAACCTGCTTTACGCCACTGGGCTATGGTCTACACAGAAATAAACCAACCAAAACTATTGTGAAACTGTTAGCAACAGCCTTCACTGACACTGACATTCTACCATCGCCACCCAGAGCTTGTTTCCAGTGAAGAACTCTAATATCAAAAATGACAAGCTTCAGAGGGAGAACAAAGCAGAGCTACAGGCAGGAGGAGAAGCAGGAGTAAGCAAGTGGGTGCATCCAGGACGCCTCCGCCTGCACATTCCCCCAGGAATGTCATGCATCACTCATGCCTCCTCTCTTCTATATCAACGAGTTAACAAAGCCTGTGGATTACTCATCCCAAGGAGCCACGGCCTCCCTCCTTTTCCACTTCCACTATTATCACTCAGTCTGGCCTCTCATCTCCGCACAACTGGTAGGGAAAGGGATTTGCTGGCTGCCCACAGACTCCATTCCCTCATGTCCTTTCCTAACAGCACACACATTCCACTCCTCCTCCAGTACGCAGTAGTGATACAGAGTTGGGTGCAAGTGACTCATCCCCATGTCCTGCTCCCACTGGGCCCTGAATTAAGGTCTGCTTGGCAAGGGAGACGAAAGCTGTGAGAATCAAAGTGTGTTGATCAGGCATCGAGGAGAAGCCACATGCTAAACGATGGAAGGCAGACTGTCTCCCTGACTAAACTACACATTTTGTCACCCTTCCTTCTTTTATATACATCAGCAACTAGTCTAGGAAATATCTTGTATACACAGGAAATCAAGAAACATTCATTAACTGATTCATATACCTTATAAATAAAGTGAAGTGCTTTTGCATTTTACTTAGGAAAACAAGATGACAATGGAGAGGAAAAATGGAGAAAGAGGCTATAGTAAGTGTGCAATGTGTCTTCACAGAGCCATTAACATGGCTCCAGGCAGAGGATTCAGATGCCTCCTTCGGTAGCCTGCTCACTCTTCAGAGTGGCAGTTACCGTTTTCCGAGACTAAATGCTATGACTGACTGTTGGCCTATGGGAAATGCCAGTAAGCTTACCAGAATCCAAGAGTTCATAAAAACACTCACATCTAGCACACTCAGGGCTTTGGGAGGGTGAGAACAATGTCACTGTCTTTATCCTTAGAACCCCTCACTTGCACAAGAATGTGTTCAATAATTGGAATAAACAGGATCAGGGGTTACAAAAGAAATGTTGATAATCAGGGTGAGCTTAAGGCAAAGAAAGCACTGTACTGTGGCCTCCATGGGGGCTCCTCCTCCACACAGCAGCATGGCCCCTACCTCTCCCCGCCAAGACCACAGGGCAACTCCTTATCGGTTTTGCCTCCTCCTCACTTTCCAGCCTAATTCCTTCCCTTTTCTTCCCCCACCATTACTACTTTACCTAATTGTTCCCAGCATTTATGCCTCTCTCAAATGAGTCTTTTCTTTCATTCTGTCTCCTTATAACATTTTTAAATGACTTGTGGATAGAGTCAGCTCTCGGTATCCACAAGACTGGTTCCAGGACCACTCCTCCCAATACCAAATTCCACAGATCCTCAACACAAAGTGGCACAGTATTTGCATATAGCCAATGTACACCTTCCCATATACTTTAAATCATCTCTAGATTACTTATAATACCTTATACAATGCAAAGACTATGTAAATAGTTCTTGTGCTGTTTTGTTTGTTTGTTTGGTTGGTTTTTTTAAGACAGAGTCTTGCTCTGTCATCCAGACTGGCGGGCAGTGGTGCGATCTCGGCTCACTGCAACCTCCACCTCCTGAGTTCGAGTGATTCTCCTGCCCCAGCCTCCCGAGTACCTGGGATTATAGGTGCCCGCCAACATGCCTGGCTAATTTTTGTATTTTTAGTAGAGACAGGGTTTTGCCATGTTGGCCAGACTGGTCTCGAACTCCTGACCTCAGATGATCCGCCTGCCTTGGCCTCCCAAAGTGCTGGGATTACAGATGTGAGCCACCACACCCAGCCTGTGCTATGTATTTTATTTATATTTTTTAAATTATTATTTCAAAATTATGTTTAACCTGCGGTTGGTTGAATCTGCAGAGATGAAACCTGTGGATACGGAGGGCCGACTGTATCAGTACCAAAGGATGCAGTGGGAAGAGCAGCTGGTTATCTGGCCCTCAGTCCAGGACTATTACTGACCGCCTAGCACCTGTGTGCAAGTGGCTCGCAGAATGGGTGTTAATATGCTGAAAAAAGTTTAAAGTTGGCCAGGTGCGGTGGCTCACACCTGTAATCCTAGCACTTTGGGAGGCCGAGGTGGGTGGATCACAAGGTCAGGAGTTCGAGACCAGCCTGACCAGCATGGTGAAACCCCATCTCTACTAAAAATATTTTTTTTAAAAAAGGCAGGTGTGGTGGCACGCACCTGTAATCCCAGCTACTTGGGAGGCTGAGGCAGGAGAATCACCTGAACCTGGGAGGTGGAGGTTGCAGTGAGTGGAGATCACATCACTGCACTTCAGCCTGGGCAACAGAGTGAGACTCAGTCTCAAAAAAAAAAAAAAAAAAGAAAAGTTTAAAGTTATAAAATACCTAGGAGTCTTAAAAAACTAATACTTCCTAAGTTACTGAAGGAATCCTGAAACATAATTTGTATCTTTTCACCACATCAGAAATCATTTCTAATAGTTGGTCACTAGGAAACCAAATTTATGACCAATTTAATGAAGGTAGAGAACATTCAATAGAAGAAAAAGCATCACTGAATATAAATATCACCATCATCTCCATTGAAGGATTTTTTTGCCATAAACACACAAATAATTCAGAGGAGCCATTTCCTTTCTTAGGGCATGAACCCCACAGAGAAAGAAATGGACTGAGAGCTATCCACAGCCATCCTAGGGATCAACAGACCTAGTGTAAAGTTCCCTGGGCCACGTTATTTCATCAAAGTACAACTTTAGCTCCAAACGCTAACTCTGAAAGAACAGTAATATGCATAAAATATTTACTGAGGAGAATAAACTAGTCTTGCCTAACTTTGAAGGTAATAAATGACAGTGATTTAAAAGAACCACCTGAAATCTTTTTAAAGCATTTGTATTATTGTTGTTGTTGTTATTATTATTATTATTGTTATTGTTGAGACGGTATTTGGCTCTGTTGACCAGGCTGGAGTGCAGTGGCGTGATCTTGGCTCATTGCAACCTTCACCTCCCGAGTTTAAGTGATTCTCTCACCTCAGCCTCCAGAGTAGCTGGGACTACAGGTGAATGCCACCATGCCTAGCTAATTTTTATATTTTTAGTAGAGACAGGGTTTTGCCATGTTGGTCAAGCTGGTTTTGAACTCCTGACTGCAGGTGATATGCCCACCTCAGCCTCCCAAAGTGCTGGGATTATAGGCTTGAGCCACTGTACTTGGCCCATACTTACAGGAAATATTACTGAAATTAATAAATATACAAATACTCCAGGGACCTAAGAAAAGATTTTATTTACTAGAATAAAAGTGACTGAGCTTTCTAAGCCCAAATCGTTGTAACAAATGTCAGTAAAAAACTAAATTAATAAATAAGTAGAAAACAAAAACCATAGTTAAGGACAGTGACTCTCCTTGTGTGCACACTGAATAAATTTGTATGCCTTTTCTCCAGTTTAAAAACAAAAATAAATAAATTAATAATATAATCTTACCTCACCAAGATAAATGACAATTTGGAAGAAAGTATCCATCAGCAAAATTCTGTCAGCTAGAATGCTGCTGCTGTCCAGGAGTACTGGCTGAAGAAAAAGAGAGAAAGATGGCATTGGTCTTCCCCCTTCCGACACAGTAACCACTTCCACCTGACCCTGACCCCATGCCTGGTATCCACAGCAAAGGCTATTTACAAATGGTGACCAGCACAGTGGCTCACCCCTTTTCTTCCTGACACATTTCCACTTTCTGCTCCTGACTCAGTCTCCACTTTGTAGGAAAAATCGGCTCCAAATAGTTCCTCATCAATTGAGAAGGGAGATTAATGATACCTTTTTTTTTTTTTAAGAGTCAGGGTGTTGCTCTGCTGCCCAAGCTGGAATAAAGTGACATGACTCTGGCTCACTGCAGCTTTGACTTCCTGGGCTCAAGTGATCCTCCCACCTCAGTCTCCTGAATAGCTGAGGCTACAGGTGTATGCCACCATGCCCAACTAATTATTTTTTGTGGATACAGGGTCTCACACTATGCTGACCAAGTTTAATAATATCTTTTGATCTTGGAACAAAAAATAATTCTGAATATTCTCAGGTTTGTATGTATTTTAGAAATCAGAGACGCTCTCTGTAGATAAGACAGAATATGGATACCTATATGAAAAACAGCATTTAGTACATATTTTTAAAGTTTACTACAAAATATATATTATGGTTGGGTGTGGTATCTCACACCTGTAAACCTAGCACTTTAGGAAGCCAAGGCAGGCAGATAATTTAAGCCCAGGAGTTAAAGACCAGCCTGGGCAACATGGCTAAACCTGGTCTCTACCAAAAACACAAAAAATTAGCTGGGCTGTAGTGGCACGTGCCTATGGTCCCTGCTATTCAGGAGGCTGAAGTGAGAGGATCACTTGAACTTGGGAGGTGGAGGTTGCAGTAAGCAGAAATCGCACCATTGCACTCCAGCCTGGGTAACAGAGTAAGACTCCATTTCAAAATAAATAAATAAATATATATATAGATATATATATATATATATGTGTGTGTGTATATATAATTTATATTTTATATATTACTATATAAGTATATAATTTATTGTCAATTTTACATATACATATAATTTTTATATAAGTAATTATTTCTTTTTTGTTTTTTGAGAAGGAGTCTTGCCCTTGCCCAGGCTGGAATGCACTGGCGCAATTTCAGCTCACTGCAGCCTCCGCCTCCTGGGTTCAAGTGATTCTCCAGCCTCAGCTTCCAGGGTGGCCGGGATTACTGGCACCACACCCAGCTAATGTTTGTATTTTTAGTAGAGACAGGGTTTCACCATGTTGGGCAGGCTGGTCTCACACTCCTGACATCAGGTCATCCGCCTGCTAATTTAGTAATTATTTCAATAACAAAAGTAGCTTGTATTCACTAAAGAAAAATTTTAAATGTATACCAAAGTACAACATGTATTGATATTTTGGTTTTTTTTTCCATATAGTTCTTTATTTTTGCAGGCAATATTTAGAAAAGTGTCTGTTTTGACTTTTTTTCATGTAACATTTTTAGATAAGGACTTATCTATCTTACTATGTTACATACAGTTTGTGAATACTGCTGGCCCTCCATATCGGTGGGTTCCACATCTGTAAATTCAACCAACTTTGGATTCAAAATATCTGAGAAAAATATGCGTCTGTGCTGTACATGCACATACCTGTTTTCTTGTCATTATTCCCTAAACCTACAGTATGACAATTATTTACACAGCACTTACATTATAATTAGGTATTATAACTGATCTAGACATGATTTAAAGTATATGGGAGAATGTGCCCATGCAAATATTATGTAATTTTATATTAGTAACTTGAGTATCTAAAAATTTTGGTATCCGAGGGAGGTCCTAAAACCAATTCTCCATGAATATTGAGGATAAACTGCATTTCTCAGGTTACTTATTTATTTTCCTATATTAAACATTTGGATTGTTATTTGATTCTCTATTATAATAGTTTCTTCACTATTTTTTTTTTTTTGTTTTGCACAAAGCCTATTCTGTATCTAGGAGTAATTCCTTCAGATACAAGGCTTGGCATTGCTGGTGTTAAGTATATGAGCACAAGGGAAAAAAAGCATCCATGTCATTTATTAGAGTTTTTTACATTTATTCCTGCCTTCCACAAATAATAGCTCTGTATGTCCTCTGACATTTTCCTAAAGGTATTTTTTAATAGAAATAATGTTAAATTATTATAAAAACTCAAAGTTTTCTTTCTTTTTAACAGTTCTGCTTTCTAAGTAAATTTGCTTAAAAAAAGAGTATCTATTAGGTGATGCCAATCCTCAGGAAAGCATTCGGGAAAAGCCTTACTTCCGGTGGCCCATGAAATGAGTAAGAGTAGAGAATGGGCTGGATCATGATGAGGGACTGAGTCAGGTCCTGCCGGGCAAAATGATGTCTGTAATATGACGACTCATCAGGACTGTTGTTGAACACTTGAAGAAACGGAGATCTTCTCAGATGGAACATGAACTGCATTCACAAAGAACAAAAGAGAAATGCATATAGTTGTAACTTCTTAAACCCCCAGAGTAATCTACCTCAGGCCTCTGAAATAGGAGAACCCAGAAAAGGGCTCTCTGGGTTCACAGAACAGAAAGCCTAAGGTGGTACCAGGGACTGGGGAAAGAGGAAAACTGGGAGTTGCTGCTTAGTGAGCACAGTTTCAACTCTGGAAAGTGAAAAATTCTAGACATCAGGTGCTCAATAATGTGAATGCACGTAACACTGATCAACTGTAGGCTTAAAAATGGTTAAGATGGCAAACTTCGTTATGTGTGTTTTACAATAAAAATTAATTTTTTAAGTGCCTCTGGGTATGTTGAAGCTTCCATATTTAAGAGGAAAGCCAAAGATATGTTTATTTCCAGAGTCTGTGTTTGTTTCCAGAGTCTACTGTGCCAGGTAGTGGAGACAGAATATCTGCTCTCAGAGAAGTCAGGCCCAGTGAGAAAGGCACACTCGGGGCTACGAACCAGAGTACTGGATAGCACTGGGGAGGTGGGGTGGAGGGTCAGGAGGAGAGTTCCCAGAGCTCTGGGGGCTGACGATGCACCCTGAGAGATGTGGCTGAGAAGGCCATAGGGCCAGGGGGGAGGGGACTCCAGGCACAGGAACAGCAGATGAGAGCTCAGGACACAAGCTGGGATGCAGGTGTAGGGGAGAAAGGGACAAGGGATGACACTGCAGCCATAGGTTCTCACCCTTGAGGATTAGAAGAAGGGGTGAGGGGGCACTCTTTCAGCTCAAGTTAAAAAGTCTCCAGAACATGAAAGTGAGCTTCCTTGTCAAGTGTAAAGCTTCCTGAGATTCCAAACACTGAACCATAGGCTCCTAAATCATCAAGGCTGACATTCAATACATCCTACATGCAAGGCACAAAGCACTTGACAAGAACTATTTAATCCTTCCAATAAGCCCATGAGGTAGGTTCTCTTACCATCCCTAGTTTACAGGTGAGGAAGTGGAGGCACAGAGGGGCAAGTAACTTCTCCAAGGTCACACCACTACTGAGTGTCACAGCTGGACTCTACACCAGGCCACATTGCTCCAGAGACTGGGCTCTGGCCGGCCTCTCTCCTAGAATGCCTTGACAGAAGGAATCTGAGAAAGCATTACATCTGGTTTTCAAGCTGTGCTCGTAGAGTCTTCATCAAGTCCTCAGGGGCCCAGGGGTGAGGGCTCTGGTGAGACCTCTGCTGGGGGTGGTACATGGGCACAACCAGAGAAGTACCAAATCTATCTGCTTTACGTGCTGGGCACGTAAAGGGCAGCTCCTCTCAAAGAAAGGATTCCATGGCTTAAAAAAAGAAAACAACTGCAAACCACTCCTGCAGACAAACTCCCCACCGCTAGAGGTGGGAAACCGAACTCTCCAGGGGCTTGGCACCTCCTCTAAGGTCAGCAGAGGTGGGGCCAGCTCTGGAACCTCGCCCTGACTCTGGCTGATCTGGGGCTCTTCCCACAACACCATACAGCTTTAACCTTTGCACGTAGGCACCTCAGAGTCCCAGGCACCTGCTATGGAGCTAGGTCACTTCTAACGCTGAGCAGGTGACTGGCACTGTGCTAAGTATTTAATACTCAATTGGCCTCAGCTCCTGTAATCCTTATAGACACTCATGAGTTATGCTCTATTTCCTCAATTACAATGGAGATGAAAATTCATCTACTTCTCTCCCCCTCTCTTGTCCAGTGGCTTCTAAAGACTTGGTTCATGAAGAGTGCAGTTACTTTCAGGAGCTGCTTGTTGCTGATTCCTGGTTATAATGTACCTAATAACCACAGACACATCATTAAATATTTGTCATATTAACTGTGGGGTTTTTTTTGCTATATTCACCTCCACGTGTGCTTATCTTCTTGGTTTGTTGCTGAGGTAGCTGACTGTTTCCCCAGAACTTTTACACATCAGAGATATTTTTTATGGCCTTATATCAATGATCCTATCTTGCCTGTTCACGAAAATGTGCGCATGAGTTTTCTCCCCTCTGCACGTCATCTTTATCTTCTGTGGGGCTTAGGGTGCTGTCTTCCCTAGACACACATTTGACTTGGGTTGAACAAACTCTGTCACCTACAGACTGAGTCTCAAGATACTAAAAAGCCCTCACTTTACCCTAAAAATGAAGTTAATTTCTATCAAAATTTGTTGTTCTATAGTTATTTTAGAAACACATATTACTTACCTGAGGATATAGAGAAAAGGAGTCAGATAACCTAAAAGAAGCGGGGTCTTCTTTATTATACTGTCCAAACTTCTGACACTGCAGAAAGAAAATAGCAAAAAACAAACAAATACAAAGAGAGAGAGAGAGAAATCTAAGTTAGAATTACCTGGAAAAACACTTGGATTAAGCTACATTCCAGTCTGAACTCTGCCACTTACTGTAAGGCCTAGACTTGCACTTCTCAAGCATCAGTGAGCAGACAAATGACCAGGGGGTCTTGAAAAAATGCAAGCTCTCGGGAGGAGCCGAAGATTCTGCATCTTAATCAGGCAATGCCGGCCTGAGGACCGCCCCGATCAGAGAAGCTAGGTGAGCTCTCCCAGGCACCTATTCCATACGAAAACTCTCTAACACCATGAAAACTAACAATTACAGTTACGCTTTGATGTTCTCTCACGCTACAACTCAAATTTATTTCTCCCAACAGCAGACTTCTGAATCACAATGTTTACTCTTCCTGCTGTTATTTCTGCTCACACATCCCTGGCCACTAAAGAATTAGGCTGTTCACCATCTAAAGAAACTTCATTTCTAACAATTACTTTCTTCCCACAAAATCTGGTGTCCTTCCACAGTTCTCATCTTCTTGAACTTCCTAGCAGTGTGGGCCAAAATGACACATCTAAGTCAACGCAATCCACACACATTTGTATCACTCTCCAAATGCTCTGTGTGTGTTGTTTCTTCCCAACAATAATGTAAATCTCTGTGGGGAAAATGCACATTTAATACGTCTATAACGGAATGTCCAGTGTGTGGCATAAGAAAGGCAACTGATAAATTCTTGCTGATTTACTATATAATAATAATTAAGTAGAGCAGAAACCAAGACTGAACCTAATGCCACTGTCCCCAGTTTACCAGTCGGATGAGTTGTCGGTCCAGCCACCGGAGCACATCGGGTCCCTCCTCTGACTCCGCTCGGAACACCCCAAGCCGTGCCATCAAGACTGCCGCAGCCTCCTGGTCAAATGCTGCTTCTATGTGCCTGAGCTGAGTCTGTGCATCTGCCCAACTGACAATTCCAGAGTTAGTGCCATGCTTATGTTTAGGAGAGATCAGAAGGCCAGACATCCATTCAGAGAAAGAAACCCAGGCTGGGTGCAGTGGCTCATTCCTGAAATCCCAACATCTTGGGAGGCCAAGGTGGCAGGACTGCTTGAGCCCAAAAGCTTGAAACCAGCTGGAGCAACATTGTGAGATCCCCATCTCTCGATGAAAAGTAAAAAATTAGCCAGTTTTGGTGGCAGGTGCCTGTAGTCCCAGCTACTTGGGAGGCTGAAGTGGGACAATCGCTTGATCATGCGAGGTTGAGGCTACAGTGAGCTGTGATTGTGCCACTGTACTCCAGTTTGGGCCACAGAGTGAAACTGTCTCCAAATGATAATAAGACATCATTTTTAATAAACTGTATTTCCTACAGAAAGATGAGTCCTCTAGGCAAATGTTCATAGGCCCAACTGCGTTAGCCAAAATTGCCTCCTTCTCTGATCAAATAAGCCAATGAGGTGCGGTGAGAACCATTCAACGGAATTAAAAAGACAAACTAATAAACGCTAAAGTATCTCAAGGGAAAAATGTCAGTCAGTTACTCAACAGAAAGGAAACTGGGGCTGCTTACTTTCGGGCAATGGTGGTCACGCGGATGCGTCTCTGGGTGCTGGAGTGCTGATAACGTGTGACAAACTGGATGGCTCCTCTGCCTCCCTGGGGGATCGGGGCGTTGTGCTGCAGGGTGAGAGGCCACAACCTTGTCTGTTATAGGGACGACTCAAACACAGTCACAGAGTCCAAAGTATTCTTCTAAAATGACTGATACAGCAATGACAGGAAGGTTCTTGACATATTTTGAAGGGCACACTTAGGATCTGCACATTTCACTGCATATAACCTTTATCTCCAAAAAAAGATGAAGAACTACATTCAATACTGAACCTAAATTAATGATACACCTGCTAAAGTGTTTAGACATGAAATACATGGATGACTGCAACTTGTTTTAAAATGCATCAAAACTAAAATGGATTGATGAATCACTAAATACAGAACACAAATAACACAGGCATGCCTCATTTATTTGCAGATTTTTTTTTTACTTGAAGATTTGTGGCAATTGTACATCAAGCAAGTCTATTGTCACCAGTTTTCTAACATCATGGACTCACTTCATGTCTCTGTGTCACAGTTTGGCAATTCCCACAATATTTCAAACTTTTTCATTATTATTATATATCTGTTATGGTGATCTCTGATCACTGATCCTTAATGTTACCATTTAACTGTTTTGGGGTGCTACAAACTGCACCCATATAAGATGGCAAACACTGATAAATGTCAGGTATATTCTGACTGCTCCAGTGACCGACCTTTCCCTTATCTCTCTCCCTCTCCTTAGGCCTCCCCTGTTTCCTGAGATACAACAATATTGAAATGAGACCAATTAATAGCCCTACAATGAACTCTAAGTGTTCAAGTGAAAGGAAGAGTCTCTCACTTTAAATCAAAAGCTAAAAATCATTCATCTTAGTAGGGAAGGAACACTGAAAGCCAAGATAGCTGAAAGCTAGGTCTCTTGCCCCAAAACTGCCAAGTTGTAAATGTGAAGAAAAGTTCTTGAAGGAAATTAAAAATGACTCCAGTAAACATGTGAATGATAAGAAAGTGAAACAGCCTTATTGCTGATGTGGAAATGTTTTACCACAACATTCCTTTGAGCCAGTGCCTAATCCAGAGCAAGGTCCTAACTCTCTTCAATTTATAAAGGTGAAGAGGGGTAAGGAAGCTGGCAGAGGTTGGTTCCTGAGGTTTAGGGAAAGAAGCCATCTCCATAACATAATAGCACGAGGTGAAGCAGGATGTGCTGATATAGAAACTGCTGCACGTTATTCACATTAGTTAAGATCATAGATGAAGGTGGCTACACTAAACAACGGATTTTCCATGTAAAGGAAACAGTCTTCGGTTGGAAGAAGATGCCATTTAGAATTTTCGTAGCTAGAGAGAAGTCAATGCCTGGCTTTAAAGCTTTGAAAAGCAGGTTGACTCTCTTGTTAGGAGCGAATGCAACTGGTGACTTTATTTTGTTTTTCTAAGATAGGATCTTGCTCTGTCATCCAGGCTGGAGTACGGTGGCATGATCTCAGCTCGCTGCAACCTCTGCCTCCCAGGTTCAGGAGATTCTCCCAACTCAGCCTCCCAAGTAGTTTGGACTACAGGTGCACACCACCACATCTGGCTAATTTTTGTATTTTTGGTAGAGATGAGATCTCACCACATTGCCCAGGCTGGTCTTGAACCCCTGAGCTCAAGCAACTCACCCACCTTGGCCTCCCAAAGTGCTGGGATTACAGATGTGAGCCACTGCACCCAGCCAGCTGGTACTTTAAGTTGAAGCCAATGCTCATTTACCATTTGCAGTATCCTAGGACTCTTAAGAATTATACTCAATCTACCCTTTCTGTGCTCTACAAAAGAAACAACAAAGCCTGTATGACAGCACATCTATTTACAGCATGGCTTACTGAATATTTAAAGCCCACTGTTGAGACCTGCTGCTCAGGAAAAAAAAAGGACTCCTTTCAAAATATTACTGCTCACTGATAACGCACCTTGTCACTCAAGAGCTCTGACAGAGATGTAAAGGAGATCAATGTTATTTTCATGCCTGCTAACACAACATCCATTCTGTATTCTAAGAATCCAGGACAAATTTTGACTTTCAAGTCTTCTTATTTAAGAAATATATTTCGGCTGGTCTGAAGGTAGTGAGTTATCTCAACTGATTTTTCACAGTCAGTTACAGATCGAACTCCTTGTTCTATCCTTTCCCGCTTCTCACTACTGTACTTGACTAGTCTTGAAAAAAAAAAAAAAATTCATTTCACAAGATGATAGCTGCCATACATAGTGATTCCTCAGGTGAATCTGGGCAAAGAAAATGAAAAATCTGAAAGGGATTCTCCATTCTAGATGTCACTGAACCACTCATCATTCATGGGAAGACGTCAAAGTATTAACCTTCACAGGAGTTTCAAAATTTACTCGAATGTTCATGGATAATTTTGAGGGGTTTGAGACTTCAGGGGAGGAAGTCACTGAAGAAGTGTTGGAAGCAGCAAGATAACTAGAATTAGAAATGGATCCTCAGCTGCATACAGTGGCTCATGCCTATAATCCCAGCACTTTGGGAGGCTGAGGCGGGTGGACCACCTGAGGTCAGGAGCTCGAGATCAGCCTGGCCAACATGGTGAAAGCCATCCCTACTAAAAATACCAAAATTAGCTGGGTGTGGTAGCAGTTGCCTTAATCCCAGCTACACAGGAGGCTGAGGCAGAAGACTTGCTTAACCCTGGGAGGCAGAGGTTGCAGTGAGCTGACATCGAGCCACTGCACTGCAGCCTTTGCAACAAAGGGAGCTTTCATATCAAAAAAAAAAAAAAAAAAACAAAAGGTGGATCCTGGCCGGTTTGTAATCCCAGCACTTTGAAAGGCTAAGGTGGGAGGACTGCTTGAGCCCTGGAGTTCAAGGGAGCCTCACACTGTCACCCAGGCTGGAGTGCAGTGGTGCGATCTTGGCTCACTGCATCCTCCAAATCCCAGGTTCAAGCAATTCTCCTGCCTCAGCCTCCTGAGTAGCTAAGATTACAGGAATGTGTCATGACACCTGGCTAATTTTTTTGTATTTTGAGTAGAGACAAGGTTTCACCATGCTGCTCAGGCTGGTCTCGACCTTCTGACCTTGTGATCTGCCTGCCTCAGCTTTCCAAAGTGCTGGGATTACAGGTGTGAGACATAGTGCCCGCCTATTTTTTTTTTTTTTATTAAGAAGATAAAGAAGTGAATCCTGAACTGCTACAATTTTATAAAACTTTAATGGATTGGGAATTGCTTCTTATGGTTAACCAAAGAAAGCGGTTTGTCGAGATGGAATCTACTCCTCATGAAAATGCTGTGACATTGTTGACACATTTCATTGTCATGAAATGACAAGATGAGATTTACAGTACTACATAAACTTACCTAGTAAAGCAGCAGCGAGGTTTAAGAGAATTGATTCCATTTTTGAAAGAAGTTCTACTCTGGGTAAAAAGCTATCAGACAACACCGTATGCAACGGAAAAATCTTTCCTGAAAGGAAGAGTCAACCAACGCAGCAAACTTCACTGTTGCCTTATTTTAAGAAATTGCCAGGCTGGGTGCAGTGGCTCACAGCTGTAATCCCAACACTTTGGGAGGCTGAGGCAGGCGGATCACTTGAGGTCGGGAGTTCAAAACCAGCCTGGCCAATATGGCGAAACCCTGTCTTTACTAAAAATACAAAAATTAGCTGGGCATGGTGGCAGGTGCCTGTAATCCTAGCTACTCAGGAGGTTGAGGTGTGAGAATGGCTTGAACCTGGCAGGTGGAGGTTGCAGTAAGCCGAGATCATGCCACTGCCACAGCCTGGGTGACAGAGTGAGACATCATCTTAATTTAAAAAAAAAAAAAGAAAAAGAAAAGAAACTGCCACAGCCACTCACCCTTCAGTAACCAATAGCCTGATCAATCAGCAACCAACAACATCAGTTTAAGATTATGACTTAACCAGCAAAAGATTATGACTCACTGAAGGATCAGATGTCATTAACACTTTTTAGCAGTGCAGTTGACCCTTGAGCAATGCAGGCTTAAACTGTAAAGGTCCACTTATATGCTGATTTTCTTCTGCCTTTGCCACCCAAGATGGTAAGACCAAGCCCTCCTCTTCCACCTCCTCCTCAGTCTACTGAACATTAAGGGGAGAGTATGAAGACCTTGTGATGTCTATTTCCACTTAACAAACAGTAAATACACTTTATCTTCCTTATGATTTTCTTAATAACATTCTCTTTTCTCTAGCTTACTTTATTGTAATATAGGATATAATATGTATTGCAAAATATGTGTTAACCAACTGTTTGTTATTGGTCAGGTTTCCAGTCAGCAGTGGGCTATTAGTAGTTAAGTTTTGGGGAAGTTAGTTATATGCGGAGTTTAACTGTCCAGTGTTGGCACCCCAACACTACTCAAGGGCCAACTGTAAAGCATTTTTTAAATTAAAGAATGTAGAATGTTTTCAAAGACATAATGCTATTTAACACTTAACACATGATAGTCTAAACATAACTTTTATGTGCAAGAGGAAACCAAAATATTCATGTGACTTGCTTTATGGTAATATTCACTTTCCTGTGGTAGTCTGGAACTGAACCCACACTTCCAACATACGCCTGTACAGTAAAATGTTAATTACAGAATCAAGGTGATGGGTTCACCTAGGTACTCCATGTTCACTGTACGATTCTTTCAATTTTTCTGTATGTTTGGAATTTTTCATACTAAAATATTAGGGAAAGAACTGATACACTCAAAAATTAACCCACATTATGATGGGGTAAAATCCATTACCCTTCTAACGACCTTATCAATTCAACAATAAAGGGGTAACAGCAATTTGTTGCCTGACTCTGACTAAACCCTGGAAGGAATAAATAGGAAAAGGTCATGCCAGACTATCATCAGGCCTAATATAATACCCAAGGAGTATCAGTTTGTGAAGAAAGTAACCAGAGACCACTAGTTTGAAATAAATCAGAAAACAGGACACTAAGACATGAAGACACATGAAGAAATCCAATTCACCTGATTGACGACTTCAAAATAGATGCCAAGTGTAGATGTAGGATCTAGGCCACAGATTTTCCACTGACTCGTGCCACCAACACCAAGCTCCTAGGGGTGGAAAGAGGAATTTAAAAAACAAAACCAGAAAAGAATCAAGTTAGACTGTAATCCCAGCACTTTGGGAGGCCAAGGCAGATGAATCACCTGAGGTCAAGAGTTTGAGACCAGCCTGACCAACATGATGAAACCCTGTCTCTACTAAAAACACAAAAATTAGCCAGGCGTGGTGGTGCACACCTGTAATCCCAGCTACTCAGTAGGAGCCTGAGGCAGGAGAATCGCTTGAACTTGAGACAAAGGTTGCGGTGAGCCAAGATCAAGCCACTGCACTCCAGCCTGGACAACAGAGTGAAACTCTGTCTCAAAAAAAAAAAAGAAAGACTCTTGAAGTGAAATTACACAACAGCTCTAAGGTAGACAGCAGGGAGGGTGCACTCTGTTCTGTCAGTACTTCCTAAGCTAGACAATGATGTAGATGGATTCACAGGAGTTCACCTTCCTTGTAGTGGCCTTTTCTAAAGGAAGGAGGTGTTTATTATCTGCTGGAAGGTTAGATCACGTGGGAATGGTGAGCCTATGCTCAGGAAAAAGGCAAAGAAATCAAAGGAGCTTTCATGCCTCCCCTTCTTGCCTTGCTAACCCCATTCTAGGCACCAAACCCATGACGGTTGCTCCAGAGCTCCAAAATAACATTTTCCCAGTGATACACAAATTCCTTACTTAAACATTTACTCTTTAGATGCCTTTATTGGAAGAACCATAAAGATAATTAGGAAATGACCATTTTATAATCCTCAAAGAAATAAACTGATTTGAGTGAAGATCAACAGATGTCAAAAACTGTTAGGCTGTTGGCAAACAAGATTTTCACTGTGCTATGATCTCATTCAAAAGACTGCCTACTAATGGCAAAGGGGGAACGTGTTCCCTTACGGTAGAAAGGCAGTGGGGCAGTCACCACCATTCCCACGTGATCTAACTCAGCATGTCTAACATGGGACAGCAGACATAGTGCCTCTGGATGTGACACAGCTTGAAGTACACATGGCCCAGAAAGAATGCTTGGCAAAAAGGCTTTGGATGAATCTAAACACACCTTTAACCCTAACTCTCACTTTACAAAGGCTGTATCAAATGCAATGCTGGCTGGGGGAGAAACAGCTACAAAGGGCATTTGAGGGGAAATTAGGGAAAAAACATGAACTAGATATTAGGAAATTATTATTTCCTTAAGTTTGATAATGACATCGTGGTAGGAGAACATCCTTATTTTTAGAAGATGCACATTGAAGCACTCAAGGACTGTCATGATATCTGCAAATTATTTGCAAAGGTCGGCAAAAAATCAAATCTGGCAAATAAATGATAATCAGATAAAGTAAACGTGGCAAACAAGACAAAAGATAAATCATGGTGAAATGTTAACAATTAGTGACTAAATGGTGGGTATACAGGAATTCATCATACTCCTCTTTAAACTTCTCAGTATGTCTAAAAATTGTGTTTTCCTATTCTTTGCATTCTTATTCCCCAACCAAAACTTTCATGGCTGAATTCTGCTGGAAAAACTAATTAGTTTGTACTAATTCACAAAAATATCTTCTTAAACTACTTCAGGAAGCCTTCAGCAGGCAGATTTTAAGTCCATGGAAAATATTTTATAACAAGGAAGTCTTCCATAGCCCTGCCAGGAAATAGGGGTACAAGCCCCTTTGTACTCTGGGGGTCATGAATGAATGATTCATCAGATGGGCTTTAGAGCAGCAATTTGCCTCACTCAGAAGGAATATGCTCTCAAATCACCTTGCCTCTGCCAAGCTCAACGAAAGTTTAATTTATGTGGTTACTCAGGAGCGTCTGTTGCTGACAACATGAAACATGACCCACACTTCCAGCGTGTCAGGCACTAACTGCTTCACCTGAACCAACTCATTTCAACCTCCTAACAGTGCTGTAGAGTAGGCACTGTTACTATCCCTGTTTGCCAGATAAAGATACCAAAGCACAGAGCAAGTAAGTCCTTTGCTCAGGCTAGCTGTGGGGTGTAAACCTGCACCTTGGATCCACATTTGGCTCTAGGGTCTACCCTCCCACTGATGACAACAATGAGGAAAGGACACGACTGTGTATCCCCAGCCCAGGACCACTCTGCAGAGACCTTGCCAAACCAAATGATTTGCCTCCTAACAAGTAAAGTATAATCAGAGGAAGTGGACAATAAGCAAAGCCGCTCATCCCAAATGATAACGAAACTGTTTATCTACACTCAAAATCCATCACTAGAGAAAACAGATGTTTGCACACACTGCAGTGTCACCCACTTCCACACCAACTCACGGTTGTCTCTGTTGTAAAAGGCGTGTTATTAACTGACTGAGACAAAGGTATCACCTCTCAGGGCAATGAGCAACAGGCTTATCCAGAAGGACTGTGCTGAATGCTTGCCTTGTGCTGATCAGCATGCCACGACTTTGGCACAGTGACCATGGGCCATGCAGTCAGGGGCACTTGGACTCTAGCTCTTTTATGTCGGTTCTGACCCTGAGCGAGATACTTAACCTTTCTGAACTTCGGTTTCCTTCTCTCTAACCCTTGAGACAAACAGATGGAGTAATATCACCTCTCCGAGTATAGCCATCATTATCCCTTCTCCTGTCACCGCAGACACATCTGACAGGTGACATATGCAAGATCATCACTCTCCAACACTTCTGATAGGTTAAATCCAGGGCAGGAGGTGAGGGTGATGGAGTTGTTTTCCTTACGTTTTCTGATACACACGGTCCCTTCACATTCAGAGATACGCATGGGCCAATGGCTCCTGCAATCTTCAGTTCCCGAGAGGTCTAAAACAGATATGTGACAGTGTAAAGTCAAAAATCACTTCAATCCACCCTGCTCTTGTCATGGCCACAATGATAGCTTAGAGGAAAAATATAACACTACTATTCTGTCAAGAGAAAACCCCACAGGAATCACAACTGCTCTCCTACAAACTTTTCCACAGCCACTGTGATTAGAACTTTAATAAAATCTGCCCTTAGAAACACGTGGAATATGAGCATTTTCAACTCTCACAACACACTTTTTAAACCGTGAAATAACTGTACATGTAGATAACAATTCTAACAATACTACAATTCTTTTCCAATCCCATGTATGAATATATTCACATTCACATATATTCCTAATTAACTGCATATTCCTAATCAGAGAACATACTGTTTTATGTTGCTTTAAAAATACTTAATTTGTGAACTCCAATATAATGACAAGGCCAACATACTTAGATTTTTAAAATGTGAATTCATTTCAAAAGTCCATTCTTTATCTTTTAAAAGAAACCTCAAACATTTCAGATTATGGTTTCAAGTTTAACGTAGATGATTTAATAATTATCTCCAATTCTCCAATCCTATCTTCTAATGACACCCCCCGCACACTGCCCCTGCCAACCAGGGTCTCTCTCTGTTGCCCAGGCTGAGTGCAGTGGCAGGATCATAGCTCACTGAAGCCTCAAACTCTTGGGCACATGAGATTTTCCCACCTCAGCCTCCTGAGTACCTGTACCACCGCATGTGGTTAATATTTTTTTTAATCATTCATAGAGACAGGGTCTTGCTATGTTGCCCAGGCTAGTCTGTTAATTCCAGAGCTCATATAATTACCCCACCTTGGCCTCCCAAAGTGCTGGGATTATAGGCATGTACCACCATGCCTAGCCTAACACCCTCTTTTAATGTTTTCTCAATGACTTAAAATCAGCTGTATCATGGACAAAAAAAAAAAAAAAAAAAAAAAAAACTACCTCACAATGCTATTTTAGATCACTCTGGCTATTCTTCAGGAAGGCATTAAACATAACCATGGCTCTGTGCAAGGCGGTGAGCCATGCTGATGGCTGGGTGGGCACAGACCACTGCGTGGCTGCCCCTGTCCTCAGGCCACGGTGCTGCTTGCAACACCGACCCTACTTCCTCTTCTACCTTCTACTGCCCTGAAGCAGGGTGGCACAGAGCCTGCAGGGGAACCAGGCAACTCTTTATTTAGAACATAAATAAATACATAGGTCATCCTCAAGAAGCAAAGGGATAAAGTGAATAACATGCTTTGTAATAGTCATTTGGTTGGGATCTTTTTAATTGTCTTTTATATCCCCGTGTACAGCAGTTGGAGGTTGCCACAAGTCTGGATATTGATTGAAAAACTAAGAACACTGTAATTCCATTAAAGTTTTAACAGTATGGCCAGGCATAGTGGCTCATGCCTGTAATCCCAGCACTTCAGGACGGTAAGGCGGGAAAACTGCTTGAGGCTAGGAGTTCTAGACCAGCCTGGGCAATACAGTGAGTCTACATAAAAAATAAAAAAAGTCTACTGTACCTTTACATCCAAAGTAGCACCAAATGCCATTCGGAAATCTCCATTAAAATCTTTAGTAAAAATTCTTTGGAATGTCTGCTTGAAGAGAGAAGTGTTGAAGGAATCTCCCATTACCATGTAACCTCTAGGTAAGAAGAAATAAAAAAATCTAGTGAATATTAGGAAGACTGAAACCCACTCAGATGCTCCCTCAGTATTTACAAAAAAAATTTAAAGAAAAAAGAAACCAGGTCCCCAAAGGTGCTACTGATTAATTTAAGTATAAAAAACAGGCTGCGCACAATGGCTCAAACCTGTAATCCCAGCACTTTGGGAGGCTGAGGCAGGCAGATCACTTGAGGTCAAGCATTCAAGACCAGCCTACTCAACATCATGAAACCCCTTCTCTACTAAAACTACACAAATTAGTAGCTGTAATCCCAGCTACTCAGGAGGCTGAGGCAGGAGAATCACTTGAATCCGGGAGGCGAAGGTAGCAGTGAGCCAAGATGGCACCACTGCACTCTAGCCTGGGTGACAGAGCGAGACTGCTTCTCAAAAATAAAAATAAAATAGAGTAAAATAAATTTAGAAAATGAAAAACAGGAAGTTCAATTTGTACTTAGGAAAGAAACTACTTCTAAAGCATTAAACAGAAGCCATAAGAACAACCCTAATTCCTCTTGCATTTGTTTGGTATGAGAAAATACCCAGGCCTGTGGGAATTCCTTTTCAGGTTAATTTACTGCCTCAAAACACTGAATTCTTATCTTTACAAGCATTCTTTTTCCAACTCCTGAGTATTAATATTAATTCCTTAATATTAATTAAGTAAAAGGTCATCATTTCGTGTATTTGGACAGAGAAGCACAGCTTGATGCAAGTTATGCATCCAACCATCATTCAAGAAACAAGACCTCAGAATTTGGAAGAACACAAGAAAGATCCCCTGGTCCAGCCATTTCAGAGTGTCTGAACCATCCAGTGAGGAGTCAGCTATTTGGCACCAAATATCTACCCCTTCCTTTGTTTCATGGAACAAAGATGACATTTCCCAGCCTGCCTTGCCTGTGGCCATGTGCCTCTGTTGGCGTGTGCATTCTGCCTGTTGCTCTGTCCCTTATATGTGGGCTGTGTTTCTCCAGGAAGAGCAGTCCTTCTCTGACCTTTCCTCCTTCCTGCTGCTATAAATGGTTAGAGCTCCAGCAACTATCTTGAGCCACTGATGGCATATGAATGGTAGTATAACAGCTCAGTAGGAGCCTCATCCCCTAACGACCGTGAAATCAACACACTAGCCCCAGGCTGCCTACCTCCAGAGAAATAAACTTATTTTGGGTTTTCTGTGACATTCACACAAATCTAATCCTAACTCTCAACCACCCCTCTATAAAACACCCGCCAAGTTACATCCAGACTAGGCTTGAAGTCCTCCAGCATCGGGAGCTTCCTTCCTGAGAAGCTGTCCACTCTGTGTTTGAACAGCTCTGTTAATAGAGGCCCTTCTTTATATTGAGTGAAATTTCATTTGCCAGCAGCTTCCACCCACTGGTTTGGTTCTAGTTCCACTCTTTGGTCACACACAGAACAAATCAGATTCCTTCATAGGAAAGTCCCTCAACTCTTGAATAGAGTTCTCACATCTCATGTGTCTTCAGCTTAGTCTTTTCCAGCTCCTTCAATCATTCCTCACATGAATAGTTTCCAGGACTCTCCACAACTGCTCTTTGAATTTCAACAGTACATCTCCTATTGCCCCTTGAAACTGCAATGCTCAGAACAGAAAACAATGTAATTTGGAAAAGGTGTGACTAGCACCAAGGAAACCAAGAATATGGTCTTTTCTGAAGATGATCTTCTCCTACAGCGCAGTCTAGGATCACCCTGCTTCTGCTGGAAGTCATCCCACATTGTTGGCTCACCTCAAGCTATACTAGCACATGTGTGCAACAGATGGTAACTCTTCACAGAAAAAAATCACACAAACGCTAGCACGCAGTCTAAGGGATGTTCACAAATATACTAAAGCTTTTCCACGGACAGAGTCAGAACTCCGAAGGCCCTGGTAGGAGTCCATATTATTAAATGTGGATTACTGAGATCATTATATTAGTATCATTTAGGACCCAAATTATATCACCTAACTAATCTGTTGCTCTCTAGGACAGCTCCACCTTCTATTCCCTTTACTCACTGGGGACCAGCAGCATCACCTGGGAGCTTGTTAGATATGCAGAATCTCAGGCCCATTCCACAGCTCTATGATGCTTCTCACACTTCTGTACATGCAAATCACCTGGGATATTATTCAAATGCAGGTTCTGATTCAGGTCTACAGTGAGCCTCAAGGTGGCGCATGGTTCTCAAACTTAGCTCTATGCTAGAATCATGGGAGAAACCTATATAATGCTGATGCCTAGGCTATACCTCATGCTAATTATAATTAGATCAGAATCTTTTGAGGACAAGACCCAAAGAAAGTACCGTTTTTAAAGTTCTCCTGGTGACTCCAATATGTAGCCAGCTTCAGACCAGTGCTTATCAGTGGTTTCTACACTTTCATAGTGCCCCAGAATCTCCTAGAGAGCTGTATTCCCCAGGTTTCCAATTCAGGAGGTCTGGGTGAGGCCTAGGAATATACAGTTCCCAGGAGCCCCTAAGGCAGCTGGTGTGGACACCACGACATGTTGAGAACCACTGCTCCACACTCTGCCCTGTGAATACAATACTGACTTAGGATCTGAGTCAGTACAACCTCTAGCCTGAGTACACTTGGAGTTAGCCACAAAGTATGGCCACTTAGCCAGGTCAAGTTTCTCCTAGTTGCTTCAGCATTCAGACCCTGTTTTCCCCACTTCTCAAAAGGAAGTGCCCTGATGAAGGCCAAATAGTCCATACTCGCTTGCTTTCCTGGCCTGGTCTCTGTAAAAGCATAACAACTCTAAGAAAGAAACCAAGTTACTCTGAAATGACTTGTTTGTAGTGAACTCTTCAGCCCTCTTACCAGTCATGGCTTCCTTCTCCAAGGAACCCACAGGCCTTCCCCAGGCACTGAAACCACAGCCCAGAGCTATCTGAAAGCTTTTCTAAGTTGGCCTTGCCCATTCCTATGGCTCCATCACTCATTTTTCTTTCCTTAAAATAACACTCTCACTCTGCCCAGGTTTTCGCTGTCAACATACCCAGTAAGATTTGCACAACATTTCATCTCCAAAAGTCCAGTTTGATCAAGGGCACAAGCATAAATATCAATGCAGTGACCATTTGCAGCTGTTCGATTAGCAAGCATCTCATAGTGCTGTAAAGAGAGGAAAGTTATCTTTAGGAAACAGTAACATTATTCTCAAGGTATGCCTGAATATATCAAAGGAGGTAATCAAATATAAAAATATGTAAATCATTTTCTTTTCCTTTCTTTTCTTGAGGCAGAGTTTCGCTCTTGTTAACCAGGCTGGAGTGCAATGGCACAATCTCGGCTCACTGCAACCTCCGCCTCCTGGGTTCAGGCAATTCTCCTGCCTCAGCCTCCCGAGTAGCTGGGATTACAGGCACACGCCACCATGCCCAGCTAATTTTTTGTATTTTTAGTAGAGACGGGGTTTCACCATGTTGACCAGGATGGTCTCAATCTCTTGACCTTGTGATCCACCCGCCTTGGCCTCCCAAAGTGCTGGGATTACAGGCTTGAGCAACCGTGCCCTGCCTTTCTTTTCTTTTCTTTCAGAGACAAAGAGTCTCTCTCTGTTGCCCAGGCTAGAGTGCAATGGCGCCATCTCTGCCTCTCAGGTTCAAGTGATCCTCCTGCCTCAGCTTCCCAAGTAAATGGGATTATAAGCGTGCACCACTATGCCCAGCTAATTTTTGTATTTTTATTTATTTATTTTTTGAGATAGAGTCTCATTCCATCACCCAGGCTAGAGTGCAGTGGCACAATCTCAGCTTACTGCAACCTCTGCCTCCCAGGTTCAAGGGATACTTGTGCTTCAGCCTCCGGAGTAGTTGAAATTACAGGCACATGCCACCACGCCCAGCTAATTTTTGTATTTTTAGTGCAGACAGGGGTTTTGCCATGTTGGCAATACTGGTCTTGAACTCCTGAACTCAAGTGATCCACTCACTTTAGCCTCCCAAAGTGCTGGCATTACAGGTGTGAGCCATCATGCCTGGTCTAATTTTTTTGTTTTTAGTAGAGATGGGGTTTCCCCATGTTGGCTAGGCTGGTCTTGAACTCCTGACCTCAAGTGATCCAACCGCCTTAGCCTCCCAAAGTGTTGGGATTAGAGGTATGAGCCACTGGGCCCAGCCTGGAAATCATTTTCAAAAATATCTGAATAAATATAGTTTTCAATCTCAAAACACTTTGAGTAGTTTTAAGGTGACCCACTCTAATTAAGGTCTGAAAGTAGGAGCAATAATTTAACAGCAGCTAAGATCAGAAAAATTGTCTCTGAAAGTGTCTTGCTGATCATGACACATGACCTTGGCAAAGTAGCTGTCACTCCAGAGCAGCCCTGGCAATGGGCTTTCAGAATTCTAGCCCACACCGAGTACCTACCTTGGTTGCCTTTTTCATGAAACGTGCATTATCTTTCTCAATATCATGCCAAGAACGAATAGGAATCTTTAATTCATCTCCAACCACCATGCCAGGCCCTTGGGTAGGGGGACCTCCAGTAAACAGCATGATCCTGGCTCCTGTGTTTGGAAAAGTGCCCTAAACAGCAAATGGCAGCATTTTAGAAGTATACAGCCCCACCTCCAAGTATAGTTCAATTTCCAACAGAAATACTCCAAAGATGCATTCTCTCCAGCTGTTCTGAAAAGTGGTGATACTGCAAGAATAATACAGATGATAAAGCAGAAAAGCAACACTTATCTTCTTGAAGCCTGATGGTTTTGCATGCTTTTATTAATTCACTCTGAGTACTCCCCATTGCTCTAGTTGTCTTGGGTTTTCACAAAAACTTTTAGCATTTTCAAAATTTTGAGGGGCTCCCTCAAAGTGAATAACAATGATGCCAGAAATGCTTTCTGATAGGTTAACACAGACGGTTGCCTTAGATCACAAGTGATTTTCAAACAAAGCCAACAAATATATTTTCTGAGAGCAAGTCTGTATGATTTGAGAGGTCCTGGTAAATTACAAATTACCTCCAGCAAGCCAACAGCAATGGACAAAGCAACACCAGTGGATCGCAAAGGTCTCTTCCCCTGAGTTACTGGCCATGGGTCCCTCTGTAGTTCCCCAAGAAGATCAGTGAGGTTCATGTCAATCTTGTGAACAGGCTGCAGAAATCTACACGATTTTGAAGAGACACATCAACCCACATTGAATAAAGTACTCTGGTTCTGAACACTAGGTGCCACACAGTCACTGCTCTTCAAGATAATTACTCATAGTAGAAAATGACTGGTAATTTTTTTCTTCAAAGCTATCTCTCTACTAACACAAAACAATTTAAAGCAGTTTTATTGAGGAATATAAAGCCCAGTACTTAGAAACTGATACATGTTACATGGAGAAAGATTATCTTGAAAAAAAGCAATTCAGTCTAATTAAATTATAGGCAGCAAAGAAATCCTAAGAATGTGCCTAACACGAGCTCAGTCGACGTGAGGTCCATTTATGTGGACAGTCTTCATCACTCCTCACCATTCTAATCTGTGCTTCTCTTGAGCCCTGAGAGTTCAGAGGCTGTCTTCAGCTCATCAGGCAATGCATTTTATCAAGCTTTTAGCCCAGTCTAGGGCAGCCCCAGGCACTCAACGGGCCAAATGAAGTGAATACCTGGTCATAAGTATGTTTGAAACACATGAAAGAAGTCTTTTCAGGTTTTCCAGTTTTCCTTAAGCATCAAAAAGGACATCAGATGTGGAATGTCTAAGCACAGCAATTGAGCACAGTGGTCTCAAAACCTTTTTGATAAAACTCTGACTACTGATTAGGCTTAATCATTTATCTTTTCTCCTAAGAAGAAGAAAATAAAAGTTCTAATATTTTTCTTCCCTTAGTCCCATGGATGATCTGCATGTCCACCACAGTATGTGGAATACTCCATGTTGGGATCTCACCTGCTTGAAACAGAAGGGTGCTCCTGTGGTTGCGCAGGTCGTGCTTGCTGCATGGGCGTGGCTGGCTTTGTCAGGCCCAACATATCCTTTAAAAAAAGCCAAAAAGATTCACTGACAATGACACTAAAAGTGAATGACTAATTCTTAAGAAATGTCCTCAGCTGGGTGTGGTGGTACATGCCTATAGTCCCACCTGCTCAGGAGGCTGAGGTGGGCCAATGGCTTGAGCCTAGGAATTCAAGACTACAGTGAGCCACCATCGCACCACTGAACTCCAGCCTGGGCTACAAAGCGAGAGCCCAGTCTCTTTAAAAGAAAAAAGAGGAAAGAAAAAGGTCCTTGCTCCTGCTCCTGTACAAGTAAGGTAAGGTTCAAACCTGTATCTGCTTTGCAGTTAAATCCTTGGTCCCTCGGAAGACGTAACTTTTGGAGATTCCTTCACAGCTTAGTTCATGAACCTGCACCATCCTTCCAAATGTGATCAGACCCACCAGAGCATCTGGAGGAAGAAGACTCAATGACATCTGCAGGGACTCTTTGAGGGCTTGAAGGTCATCTTCTTCCAGGCATGTGTCAACCACATAGAGAAAGATCAGAGGGGACTGAGCACCTCGCTTTGGGCAAAGAAAAACAGCATAATGATCAATATGCAAATAGACTTAACGAGCACTTTTTAAAGCAAATTAGGTATGAAAATCATAAGTCTTTATCTAGTTTTAGGAAATAAGGACATCTACACAAAGCTCGAACTCATTAAATGACTCAGATGCTATTAAATCAAACTAAACACAGAAACTATCTGCATCCAACAATGTATTCAACTATTTTTTTAATACTTCCTACATGCCAGACATTGTTCCAGGTCCTGGGACACACAGTGAACAGAAAGAACAAAGACTTCTTGCTGCCTCGAGGAGCAAACTTTCTGTAATGGAGAGGTTAAGGGGGAATGCAAATGCCAGGAGGAGAGGAAGAGGGCAGAGTCAACTGTTAAACGGAGAGGTTAGGCAGCCTCATTTAGAGAGCAGCATATGAGCCGGGCTCATGCCTGTAATCCCAGCACTTTGGGAGGCTAAGGTGGGAGGACTGCTTATGCCCAGGAGTTCAAGACAAGCCTGGCAACATGGCGAGACCCCATCTCTAACAAAAGAAAAAAAGTAAAAAAAATTAAAAATTAGTTGGGCATGACGGCACATGGCTGTGTTCCCAGCTCTCAGGAGGAGGAGGCAGGAAGACCTCTTGAGCTCAGGAATTTGAGGCTGCAGTAAGCTATAGTTGTGCCACTGCATACCAGCCTGGACGACAGAGTAAGACCCCATCTTAAAAAAAAGGAAAAGAGGGCCGGGTGTGGTGGCTCACGCCTATAATCCCAGCACTTTGGGAGACCGAGGAGGGCAGATCACCAAGTCAGGAGTTCAACGCCAGCCTGGCCAACATGGTGAATCCCTGTTTCTACTAAAAATACAGAAATTAGCCAGGCATGTTGAGGTACACCTGTAATCCCAGCTACTCGGGAGGCTGAGGCAAGAGAATTGCTTGACCATAGGAAGCAGAGGTTTCAGTAAGCTGAGATCATGACACTGTCCTCCAGCCTGGGTGACAGAGCAAGACTGTCTCAAAAAAAGAAAGAAAAAGAAAGTAATGTTGAGCAAAGCCTGAGGGAGGAGAGGGAAGAAACATAACAGATACAGGGGAGAGCTCCAGCCTCAGCGAAAAGCTACAGCAGAGGTCCTCAGGCAGGAGTGTTCACATATTTGAGGAGAGTCAAGGAGGCCCACTGGGTTGATCAAGGACACTAGCAAACACTGAGGATGGAGTGGTAACATGCAAGGCTTTTTGAAAACTGTCTTTTACCCTGGGTAAAGGAAAGCCATTTTCACCACTGAGGTTTTCTTTACAGAGAAGTATATGATTTATGTTTTTAAAGAGTTACTCCGGCTGCTGGGTGAAGAATAATATACAAATAGGCAATGGTACAACATCAGGGAGAACAATTAGAAGCAGTTAGTACTAGAGAGAGGGAAGCGGATGGATTCTGGTTTCCGGTGGATTAGATATAGAATGGGAAAGAGAGAAGTGAAGGATGAGTCTAAGGTTTTGAAGCTAAAATACTAGATGATAGAGTACCATCTACCAAGATTGAGAAGACTACAGTGGACAGGTTTGGAATTTAATCAGTTCTACCTTTTTAGTAGCCTTCTATAATATCAAGACTTGAGAGCAATGCCAGCAGATGCATACACATCAAACCTAACAGTGAGGATTGTGCTGCCCTCACAGCTTTAAGTCCCCTACCCAGGTAAGAGACATGGAAGACAAAAGATTTCAAGAGAAACCAATATTTAATATTGCTCATTAAATGCACAGCAAAGAAATTACCTGTATCATGTACTCAATTGTAGAAAATTGGGGCATCAATTCAGCAGGCTGGTTCACCTCAGATATGCCTCCATAAGCTGGAGGAAACTGAAAAGAAGGAAACAGTTCTATTAGGGCCGGCACATCTACATTACACTTTTTATTTCCCACATATAAAAATGATAATGATGCTGAGATGAGAGGATCACTTGAGCCCAGGAGCTCAAAACCAGCTTGGGCAACACTATGAGACCTTCTCTCCACAAGAAGTAAAAAAATTAGTTGGGTGTGGTGGCTCACACCTGTAGTCCCAGCTACTCAAAAGCTGAGGTGGGAGGATCATTTGAGCCCAGGAGGCTGAGGCTGCAATGAGCCATGATTGCACCACTGCACTCCAGCCTGGCTCTTTAGCCACAATGCTACCCTGCCTTAGAATGTTTATAATAAGTTATATTAAACAGAGACATTAATCCCGAAGGTAAAAGGGAGCAGAAATGCTTTTAAGATTTGCATACACTTCTGAATCTCTTATGAAGATACATTTTGGTGACATCTGCTTACACTTTCTGAACCTATAGTCAGTCATCAATTATACACTGTTCTCCTCATCACTAGACTTATGTGTTGTATCTGAGAATGAGAGTAATTTTAATTATGATCAAATATATAAACAAATGCATGTGAAGAGCTTAAGATCTGTTAGAACAATATACACTATGCTGGACACAATTAACTTTTTTCTAACAACTTTATTGAGGTATAGTTTACATAACACAAAATTCACTCATTTTAAGTGCACAAGTCAATGGTTTTTAGTCAATGTACAGTTGTGCAACAATCATCACAATCCATTTTAGAACATTTTCAATATAGGAACAGTTACTTTTTTTTTTTTTAAACAGAGTTTTGCTCGTCGCCCAGGCTCCAGTGCAATGGTGTGATCTCAGCTCACTGCAACTTCCACCTCCCGGATTCAAGCGATTTTCCTACCTCAGCCTTCTGAAGTAGCTGATGCCCGCCACCACGCCCAGCTAATTTTTTTTACAAAATTTTTAGTTGAGACGGGGTTTCACCATGTTGACCAGGCTGGTCTTGAACTCCTGACATTATGTGATCCACCCGCCTCAGCCTCCCAAAGTGATGGGATTACAGGCGTGAGCCACTGCTCTTGGCCAAGCACAGTTACTTTCAGAGAGAAGTCTCTCTTGTGATTTGTTAGCGCTTTCTAGTTTGGCAGTTTTTAAAGTTTCAAATCAAAAGAAGCTAACACTGATACTTGGATCCTAAAAGTTAGAAAGATCAGAAAACGGAAATTCAGTAATATACACTATCCAGTTAGAATATACTGAAGTCAAAAGAATTATGAACAGGTGCTTTCTAAGGGCAACAGATTCACTGACTGCAGAAAACGTGTAAGAAAAGAAATTCAACACATGTCCCCAACCCCCAAGCAAATTACAAGGACTCAAAGAAGAAAACCATTCAACACAATAAGCCACAAATGTTCAAATCCAATGTCGTGCTTAATAAAAGCTATCACCTTGAGTTCAGCAGAAACTGCTGACTGCCAATGTAAAGACAAATTCAACCTCACTTAATTTTTTTCATACAACTAAAATAAAACATATAACATATTTTAAAAAATAATTCACATACCTGATTTCTTTGAAAACAGAAATTACAGGCCCAAAGTTTTGCTCGATAATCAACCTGACTGTGAGAAAGATACATATTATAAGTAGGTACCACTTTTATTTTTAAGGTAGAAAGCATTTATTTATAAATTTCAAGTTCAGTACACCACACAAATAAGTGTTTCTATGTGTGCTGAAGAGCAACGGCGCGATCTAGGCTCACTGCAACCTCCACCTCCCAGGTTCAAGTGATTTTCCTACCTTAGCCTCCCAAAGTACCTGAGATTACAGGTGTCCACCACCATACCCAGCTAATTTGAGAATTGTGGCTAAGTACACCAAAATTTTCATCAAACAGCCACAGTGAAGAACTATCTATTTTTCTCTTTTCTAATTTCCTGATTTTTTAATTTATGTAAATTATAGGTTATTTTATTTACCTTTTACCTTTCATCTTAATGCATTCTGCATGGTTTTTTTCTAACATCTTTATAGTCTAGCTATGTGAAACTACTAAATTCCAACACTAAAAGCATGTTTCACACACAGGAAAATGTTTCTAGATTTTAACCTAACTTAGCCCACTTGAAGAAAAGTTGGAGCCGAGCATGGTGGCTCACACCTCTATTTCCAACACTTTGGGAGGCCAAGGCAGGCAGATCACAAGGTCAGTAGTTCAAGACCAGCCTGATCAACATGGTGAAATCCCGTCTCTACTAAAAATACAAAAATTAGCCGGGTGTGGCGGCATGTACCTGTAATCCCAGCTACTTAGGAGGCTGAGGCAAGAATCGCTTGAACCCGGGAGACAGAGGTTGCAGTGAGCTGAGACTGCAGCACTGCACTCAAGCCTGAGCAACAGAGCGAGACTCCATCTCAAAAAAAAGAAAAGTTGGGCAAGCACATTTCACTTCCTCAAATTGGTTCAGGATAATGCTTCAGTTACTTTCCCCACACTTTCTACATTTAGAAAATGAATAACCAGTGGCTATGATTTTAAAATCAGAGCAGCAGCACTCATAGATGGGCATATTACATAAAAGCAATGGGGATGAAGTAAAAAATGTTCCTTCATATAAAAATTTTATGACACTCTCTACCTGTTTAAAAATTATTTCAAATAATGCCTACATTTAAAAGAAGTTCTTTAGGTCACTACCTCAAGCACACACAAAAAATTACACTTAACAAACTGTTGAGTTAAAATTTCTTCTGCCTATTATGTCTCCCTGCCATACAGCATCAATGATTAAGGGAAGCATGAGAAGCCAGTCTAAAGCTTTTGAATTCTTTCAGGAAATTACTTTAAGAGGTATCAATAAAGTCTATAGTTAAGTCAAAAGCAAACTGATTATCAGCAAAAAAAAGTGAATTACAAATCCCCTCCCTCTACCTCATTCCTCTAAGATTCCAATTTTATCTGGAATTACCAGGCCAGGGAAATTTCTACAAATATTCACCACCTAATACTCACCTTAAGAATCTTACCATCTACTACTCATCAGAAATCGATGACTTTCATGAGCATCACATACAAGTCATTATATATTATATTTATCAGTTTTACCAGTTTCAAAAGAATCCATACCAAAGTGGGTTGAGAACAGCTTTACAAGTTGGCCTGCTGCAAAGCACAGGTTCATATTGTACAGGAGGTAGGTCTGGACGTTCTTTCAATGGAGTAAGGAGACAAGCCAGGGGTACAACCATTCTTGTGGCCTCTAGCCGGCTGGAAGGCCACACATTCCAACTAAAGCGCACACCATCTCGTTCTTCATTCTGCTGGATGAACTCCAGGTAAGTCGCCATAGTCTAGAAGGGAACTGAAGATACAACTTTAATGACCTTAATGGTACGTGAAATTCTGAACTAAATGTCAAAAAAAAAAAGATGGGTCATGTATCACAGTTCTTCTTTCTTTTTTTTTTCCTTCAATCTCAGCTTGCTGCAGCCTCCATCTCTTGGGTTCAAGCGATTCTCCTGCCTCAGCCTTTCAAGTAAGTGGGATTTTGAGTACCCACCACCACACCCAGCTAATTTTTTGTATTTTTAGTAGAGATGGGGTTTTACCATGTTAGCCAGGCTGGTCTCAAACTCCTGACCTCAGGTGATCTACCGGCCTTGGCCTCCCAAAGTGCTGGGATTACAGGTGTGAGCCACTGCACCTGGACCATCTAACAGTGTTTCTTAAATATTCTGAAAGAACTTGTTGCTGTAGAATGACAGTATTTCCCTTCCCTCTGATACCCAAAAGTCAGTTAACTGTACAGTTATCATTGAACACTGCTCCTTTCTCAACTCTCCTCTCAAGCACTTAAAAATAAATCGAAGGATTAAGAGGTTTATAATCACCTAATCATCTCCAAACTATATGTAGTTAAATACTACTACTTCAAACCTCCTCACAGATCTCACAGTCTATCAGTCAAGCCAATTTTAACCCCGTGCCCAAGGGTAACTCTTGAACCCTGTTTCAGCATCCAACTATCTTCCTCTCTAATCTCCTTTTCTTGCTGTTAAATTTTATATTCCAAGTGATTTTTTTTCCAGTGGTGGGGGTGTGCTCATTCCCTTCTGCACTTTGTTAACTTTGGAGAAAAGAGCTGGATCCTGATCTTCCAAGTTTGGTTCACAATGGGAACCAGTTCTGAGCTAAAATATTTCTACTTAGTATTACCAAAATTACTATTACACTGAGTCTCACCAGAACCTCTTTCCTCGCCACGGTTGCTTATGTTCATGCCTTGAAAAACTGTGGTCAAGGCCAGGCGTGGTGGCTCAAATCTGTAATCCTAGCACTTTGGAAGGCCGAGGCAGGCGGATCACAAGGTCAGAAGTTCCGGACCAGCCTGGCCAACACGGCAAAACGCCGTCTCTACTAAAAATACAAAAATTAGCTGGGCGTGGTGGCGGACGCCTGCAATCCCGGCCACTTGGGAGGCTGAGGCAGGGAGAACTGATTGAACCGGGAGGCGGAGGTTGCAACTCAACTGCACTCCAGCCTGGGCGACAGACCGAGACTCCATCTCAAAAAAAAAGGTACTGGCTCAATCTAATGGTCTTCAGGTATGTACAGCCTAAGACCTGCTCCCTCCTTTTCCCACTGCCGGTTTCTCTCATCCTTCTAGGTCACGGATTCTTAGCCATGGGCACATAATCCAAAGGGGACTACAGAAGGTGCACGAATCCTCTGAAGTTGTGGGCATGAGGGAATGTGCGCCTTTTTCTAGGGAGTTGGGTCCATGGCTTGTACCAAATTATCAAAGTGGAGGGCATCTGAAGAGGTAAATAACTGAAAATATGAATTAGTGAATGAATGAAAGTCCTGGAAAAATAACAGTAGGAGAATCCACCAAAAATTCTGAACCACTCTCATCTCGCCAACTCAAAACTTCTCAGGACGCAGTGACCATCTGTATACAAAAATTAGGTTTAATCCTTGAAGGGAGTCCAAGGAACTGGGTTCTAGTTCCAGCTGTCATGAAGCAAAAGTCGTTTCATTTGTCTGAGTCTTGAGTTTCACAACTATAAAACCCAGAATTGGTCCTTTCAGCTGTGCGGACCCCGCAATTCTGGGGAACCTGGAGCCAGAAATTAATCCAGGCCTGGCGCGAGACCCTCAGCGGATTATTGGACCATCGATTATCCCCGCTACCCCAAGCTGCGGAGAAGAATCCTCATTCCAGAAGCCGCCCACCTCACCTCTGGCAGAGACTCATACCCGTGCCCTCGCCCTCCGTCCCCTATGCGCCCCACTCACCCGGCCGGAGCCGCTCACTTGGCTAGATTCGTCCTCACTCACAGCTGCAACAGCACGGTGCCGACTCCCACCGCCAAGTCCAGCTCAGCTCTCAACCGATTGGCCAGCCCCAGCGCGTCACGCCATGGCGCTGTCCACTGGCCAATCAAAGAGCGCTTCTCCGACGGACGGGCGGAAGCGAGCGATTCGGAAACGCCCAGCCACCATCTTGGAACAGGGCAAAACAACTGTGTCTCGCACTTCAAAACCACAGTTCCTCGGAACACGTTTCACCAGGCCTAAACGTTTCTGCTTCAGAAAACTCCAGCGACTGCCGCCCCGTTGCCTAACCTCAGCCAGCGATCATCAGAGGTTCGCCCTGATACAATATGACATCCGCTCCTCTCAGCGGGAAGTCCGGCTGATCGCCTTAGCTACCGGAATGTGAGAATGATGACGTATCCTCCCGGAAAAGGGAGGGGCACCAGCCGGAGGAAACTAAGGCTGCCGGAAGAAGGCGCCAGCGTGTGGAAGGGGCTGGGCGGAGGGGTGTGGCGGGTGGTGAGCGTGGAGGCGCGTAGGCGCTTGCTGGGCTGTGTGTCCGGTCGCTGTGGCCAGTCCCACGTAGATCTTGGTCCTGGAGCCATCAGGTACTGGGTTGTGGAAGCAGCTCGTGTGTAGAACCAGTTCTCATCGTAGGGAGCAAGCTCTTTGTGCTTGGCCAGCTTGACGGTGGCCACCCATTCCCGGACTTTCAGCTTCCCGGACTTTTTGAGAAAGGCTGCCAGAGCTCGCTCCGACGAAGTCCTGCTGGTTCACGTCTTTTGCAGTAACTCCAAGCACTGTGTGGCCTCCGCGCTGCCAGCCAGGGAAAAGGGAGCAACGGGGTTTCCCGCAAGTTCCTAATTGTTGTTGCCATGAATGGGGAAAAATCCACCAACTGTGGGCAAATCAGAAATAAAACCCAAATGAATAGGAAGGAGGAAGAAACCTAGAGAGAAAGTCAGCAACGCTGTGGTACTATTCCTACTTGGTGTTCACTCTGGGAGCCAGGTAAAAATGTGCTTGGGCTTATCAGCCCCGTGGAGTGTTCCTTCAGTAATGTGGTTTACCTGGTTCTGTCTGGGGAATCCACTGGGATGTTGGTGAAAGCTTCATAAAGTGTTTGAAAAGGTAAAATTATGTCCTTCATGCAAATATGAAATGACTATGTACCAAAGATGTTACTTAACTCATTCATTGAGTTTAATTAATCTCTACAACCAGGAAGGATGTTCAAACTGGTTCTAAGAAGAATTTGGTTTATAGCGTCATGTTCTCTACCACACAAAATTGGTTTGCATTGCTGTGGACAAGAATAGTTTACATTGTTATGGGCAGGGAACATTTGCATTACTATCTTCTGCAAATTAATTTCTAGCTCTACAGGGTTGTAAAATAGCACACTCAAAGGCAGAGGTATACCCCTCCTAAAAGCAAATGACCCAGAGAGTCTTTTGAAAATGAACATTTCACAGAAAGTTCACCCAGTAACCTCTTTTGATGATTTCAAAATCTATCATAATTTTTCTGACATATTATCATCTATAGCCTGACTCTAAGTTCTCTTATTTATTTATTCATTCATTCATTATTATTTTGAGACGGAGTCTCACACTGTCACCCAGACTGGAGTGCAGTGGTGAGATCTTGGGTCACTGCCACCTCCGCCTCCTGGGTTCAAGCGACTCTCCTGCTTCAGTCTCCTGAGTAACTGGGATTAGGGGCACATGCCACCACGCCTGGCTAATTTTTGTGTTTTTTGTAGAGACGGGATTTTTTGCCATGTTGGCCAGGCTGTTCTCGGACTCCTGACCTCAGGTGATCTGCCCACCTTGGCCTCCCAAAGTGCTGGGATTACAGGCATGAGCCACCATGCTGGGCCAAGTCTATATTTCTGGGTCAGACTTCTCTACCTAACATCAGATTTATGTATTCAGCAACCTGCTGGATTCTGCAAAGCTTGTTCACTGTGCACTGGTTACCAATGGAGCTCATTGCATCCTGGGCTGCACTTCTACTACCTACCCGAGTCTGGTGAGCCAGAACACGCACATACACAAGTTACAGGAAGTGGATTTATTCCTTAGAGAGAAGCAGCAAGGGATAGCAGAAGCCTAGGATTCATGATGAGCTCGTCTCTCAAGACTCAGGAAAGCTGCGTGGTATAGATCAAGTCTTGTCTGTGCATGTCCACTTTTACCCCAGCTGGGAAGAGCCGTTTAGCAGCCTACCCTGGGTTTTATACCCTGTGTACATGACATGAGCTAAAGCACTGAAGGACATCTTGTTTTTAGGGGGTCTAGAACACAGCTTGGGTTGATCTGGCTATTTCCTCCTTATCTCAGCCCATTGCAATTATATTCACAGCACATTGCAATTATTCTTCAGCACTACAAGCAAGAAAGTGAGGAGAAGTGGGTCACTCCAAGGCCATCTGGAGAAATGTCCTACAGATGTCACGGGGTATTCTTGGGCATCTCAATCTTAATATGTCCTAAATTGAATCCATCATTCCTCTGGCTCCCTTCTGCCGCTTGTACTTTGTTTCACTTGAATATGCCATTCTTCTCCCAGTTGCTGAATCTAGAAGGTAGGGAGTTATCCTTGGCTCCTCCTTATTTCTAACCCCTCCATCTTGAAGGTGACACTGCATCACTTGGTCTTGTTAATTTGCTACTCTAAATATTTCTCAATTTCATCTACTTGCTCCGTTCAGGCACTCATCTTCTGATTGGATTACTGCAACAGTCTCTCAAATGATCGCTTTGCCCAACTTTTGCCAGATCCAAAAATCACATTGGTTGCTGGATAGATTTCTCTAAATCACACATCTGAACCTACCATTCTCTTTCTTAAAACCCTGCATGTTTTTCCCATCACTCACAGGATACAGTAGGAGCCGCTGTGCCACTCACGGGCCTCGATGATCTACAAACCTCAATCCTCCAGCACTGAATCGCTGTGCTTCCCAGCCCACATATGCTGTTTGCTGTCTTGCTGCCCTATTGCATGCCCTCCTCTCTGCCAAGAGCAACCTCTTCAACCTGTTTCCTTTCCCAAGAGCTCCCATGTGTTCTTCAAGACTTTGAAGAAGGCTTCCATTGACCTTCTTTTTCCTCAGGTAACAAAACCAAAAATCAAACAAGTAAACAAAAGCAGTGGCAGAAAGGAAAAGTAACCACAGAAGAGAGGAGAATAGGTTTAAACCGTGAGTTTGAAAATTTACAGACAAATTTCCAAAGAAAAGATCTTGACCTGAAAAGAAAAGTCCAGGCAGAGGAAGATTATTCAGCAGGAGGGCCTTAGTGGAAGATGGATAATCCCTTTAGAAAGAGTGAAACTGTCTCAGCAAATTCTTGAGAACAGCTCTTTCAATATTAGCAAATAAAGTACCCAATATAAAGGTACATTTTCAGATTAAAAAAAATTATATATATATATATATATTTAATATAAATATATATATTTATAAGATGGGGTTTCACCATGTCGGTCAGGCTGGTCTTGAACTCCCGACCTCAGGTGATTTGCCCGCCATGGCCTCCAAAGTGCTTAGATTACAGGCATGAGGCACCACGCTCGGCCTCAGATTTTTAAAAATTCACAAAAATGTTGGCTTTTAGTTTTGAAACCAAAGCTATTTCTTCTGTGATAATGATAGGCTCAGAAACTGTTTGTACAAGAGATAAAGAGTAGAAAGAAAAAATGGATGTATGTAATTACAATCTTCTCAATTATTATCGGCACTCAACCTGAGAAAGGTGAGAGTTAATGTCACTGCATTTTTTCTCCTTCTAAAAGAAAGAGCTAACTAAATCTTAAGGAAAGCTATATCCTTTTTCAGCCCCCATTTCCTGTTTAGGAAGTATAATTGCTTCTTAAACTAAAAGCTACCCAAGCAAACAACCTATTGGTTACAAAAATGTCTCTGCTTGTTTTATTTTGAAATTTTATTCTTTTTTTTTTTTTTTTTTCGAGACAGAGTCTCACTGTGTCACTCATGCTAGAGTGCAGTGGCATGACCGTAGCTCACTGCAGCCTTCCATGCTCAAGTTCATCCTACCTTAGCCTCCCGAGTAGCTGGGACTATGGGTGTACACCACCATACCTGGCTAATTTTCAAAATTGTTGAAGAGATGGAGTCTTGCCATGTTGCCCAGGCTGGTCTCAAACTCCTGGGCTCAAGCAATCCTCCTGCTTCAGCCTCCCAAAGTGCTAGGATTACTATTTTGAGGTATAATTGATGTACCATAGGCTGTACATATTTAAAATTTACAATTTGTTAAGTTTTAACACCCATAACCATAATTGAGATAATAAACATATATATCAGCCCAAAAAGTTTCCTCATGTCTCTTTGTTAATGGTGGAGGGTTTCCAGGTTCTTGGCATCTTGAACAAACAACTGGACAAAATGCACAAAGAAAGGAAGGAATGAAGGGTTTCACTGGAAATGTGCGGTGGCTCACGCCTATAATCCCAGCACTTTGGGAGGCCGAGGCAGGTGGATCACGAGATCAAGAGATCGAGACTATCCTGGTCAACATGGTGAAACCCCATCTCTACTAAAAATACAAAAAAAATTATCTGGGCATGGTGGCGCGTGCCTGTAATCCCAGCTACTCGGGAGGCTGAGGCAGGAGAATTGCCTGAACCCAGGAAGCGGAGGTTGCGGTGAGCCGAGATCGCGCCATTGTACTCCAGCCTGGGTAACAAGAGCAAAACTCCGTCTCAAAAAAAAAAAAAAAAAAAAAGGAAATGAAAGTACACTCCACAGTATGTGAGCAGGGCTAAGCACAGGGGCTCAAAGTCCCCATTATAGACTTTTTGGGAGTTTAAATACCCTCTACTTAGGGTACGCCTTATATAAACCAAGAGGATGAAGTAAAAGTACAAGGTCATTTACTTGGCCTATGCCCTGTGGAGAGGCTATTTCCTGTGTTAGCTGAAGTGTGAATTGGTCTTCTGTTCCCTGCCTCCAGACCCTATTTTCCTGCTTTGTCTCCCCACTGAGAGATGTGATCCCCATAAATCTTTATGGGAGGCACAGGGACTGATGGTCTTTTATCTCTAACTACTCCACTCTGGCTTAGGGTGTAGTCCCTACCTATTGGAGATCACAGGATTTGCCCTGCTCTATCTAGCGAGGGCAAGGTAGCTTCTTGATGGCCAGGGGTGGTGTCTTCACCTGGAACTGTCTGGAACCTTTGTTGCATCATCATCTGAGGCTTGATGGTCTACAGACAAGAGGAAATGAATTTGATTAAAAGATTTAATGGGGACTTTATGGAGTGGATAACTACGCTGTCAGAGATGTTTGTTATAGAGGTTTGCTGAAGAGAAAACAAAACATGATCTGTTCTAGTATCTATGTTTCCTTAAAGTCTTAGCACAAGCAGTTCCATTTTGGTTTGGTTTGGTTTGGTGGGATCTAGTGCATGAATTTAGTCCAAAACAATGACCTCCCAAAATCTTGTGAAAAAAATTCCCCCTTTTTGATCAGGTTCTTAGGTGAGAGCGTGACCAAAACTTAGGGCCTTAGCACCACTCTCAGTTACCGTCATTTTGGGTTTCTGGTGTCAGAACATCCTTTATAGGTTATGGTGTTCTCATGGTTGCACATGGTTGAGCTTTTGTCATTCCAGTTGAAGAGAGATCATTTGATGTTCTAGAAATGGCTGTGGGCAAACATTTAAAACCTTTGAGAGAATATAGCTTGCCAGGGAGACTATCATTCTAACTATTGGGAGGATAGCACCAAGAGTTCAGCATATACTCCTAAACCCAAGGCCCCATAAACCAAACCTCCTAAAATCGAACAGATCAAAGAATGAGCTAAAGAGTTTACTCACTTACCTAAGCAATTTCTTCATGAATCTCTTAACCACTGAATTTCTATAATCTTCATTTGATGTGTTTCTCCATAGGCCACAGGTGCCAGCAGCTGCACAGGCACTTTTCTGTTTAGCCAATCCTATTATTTAGCATAAGTTTCACAAGAGAATTTAAAGTCTGTTGTGTAACAATAGCCTTTATAGTAGAATTTGCTATAGAAGCCTATCATGAGGGATTTATTTATTTATTTATTGAGACTGAGTCTCTATCACCTAGGCTGGAGTGCAGTGGCATGGTCTTGGCTCACTGCAACCTCTGCCTCCCAGGTTCAAGTGATTCTCCTGCCTCAGTTTTCTGAGTAACTGGGATTACAGGTGCCTGCCACCACGCCCAGCTAATTTTTATACTTTTGGTAGAGACGGGGTTTCACTATGTTGGCCAGGCTAGTGTCAAACTCCTGACCTCAGGTGATCCACCTCCCTCAGCCTCTTAAAGTGCTGTGATTACAGGCGTGAGCCACTATGCCCAGCCAGCAAGGGATACGTTTCTAATCATTGCCTCTTTTACTTTAAACCATGGTGAAAGGACCTAACCAATGATGCCCTTCTAGAAGAGTGATGGGCTCCTGGCATTGTTCTCTTTAAACCATGATGTGGATTAGAGGTGTGAACCAGTGTTTTGTTTTTGACTGATTATGAAGCAACACATGTACCATTAAAGTTTCTTAACCTACATTGGGCCTTTATCTTTTATCTGTCAAAGTATAGGTTATCCATGTATTAGGCTGCCTGCAAACTCCTTCCCAAATAAAAGTATACCCCATAAGTGCACATAACAGACCCCTTTTCCACTTTTATTGTTTGTAGAGGCATAAGCAAGAAAAACGATATTCAGAGATAAGAGTTTCATGATGGTAGAAGTCTTAACCTGTGAACTTGGGAGAAGCTGTTCACATCGAGGATGCCGTTTTCTTCTGGGGAGAAATTTCCCTGGTTAGCTTTACCCCAACAGTTCTAGCAGGTGCAACAGTTCCAAAAGAGTGGAAGGGCCCCTCTCAGCTGCGAGGCCATAAACCCAAAGCCCAAGGTCCTGAAGTTTTCTTGCAGTGTGGATGACAAGGAACAGTCTTTCTGCAATGTTTCCAGAAGATTCAAACCATAAAAAACTTCCTTTACCTGGAGAAAATACACTGTAGCATAATAATCTACTATTACAACATCAGCCCTCTTGGATGGGAAAGCTTTTAACAACCAGAATGACAAATTGGAATCCAAATCACAATTGAATGAAATTCCTTTACAATATGTTTAAATGGCCCACCAGTGACCAAATGTATATGAAGCTTTAATTGTCTTCCTAGGAATATGGGACCAAACATTGGTTATAAACTATTTTAAACAATTTCAGTGTCAGCTGGTTTAACATGAAAATCTGATGAAGTATTTTCCTGATATTAATTAAAATTTTTTTTTGTTTTACTTGGGTTAGTAGCTTTATACAAGGAAATTTCATACAAAGCAATGAAAAACAACAACCAGGGCTGATACCAACTACTAAAACTGTTAAAATCAGTAGGAAAAATTATATGGATTTCAGGCATTCCCAAGTTATAAATGGTTTCTACATGCTTGAAAATAAAAACAAACTTTCCTATAGAAATATCAGTGAGTCTAGCAAAGAAATAACACATCCTGGGCATGTCACAGCCTGTCTTAAATAAGGGGAAAACATGAGCGCACTCGTAGGAGGCAAGTAAAGGGTGCTTTGCTTCATAGATGATGGAAGCTCAGAGGCTTCGTTCTTTCCTGCCCCTCGCAGCCAGCTGAAGGCAGGCCAAGAAGAGCAGAGCCCAGGCCTCTGGGTTTCCGGAACTACAATTCCCAGGATGCCTGGCGCAGGCTCCCGGCGGGTGCAGGCTGGGCTCAGCTCTGCTGGACCTGCGCTGGGTGACTCTGGCCTCCCTGCACTCATGGCTTCTCCTAGCAAGGCAGTGGTCGTTCCTGGGAACGGAGGCGGGGATGTGACCACGCACGGCTGGTATTGGTGGGTGAAAAAGGAGCTGGAGAAGGTAAGCACCAAACGCCTCGCTGCTCGGAGAAGTCAGCCTGCAGGGAGAGATGGCGGGAGAGGACGCAGGACTGAAGTTTGAACGTGCGTCTAATCCCCTCGAGCAAAGACCTGTGTGTTTTCCTTCCTGTCCCCCGCTGCCCTGTCTTAAACTCTGAGCCAGTGGTCGAATTTTGGTTGGCAAAACTGCCCGGAAGACTCCTCTGAGAGCTCAGCCGTTAGAGTCAAAGGAACCCCTTTCTTCGAACTGCAGCGGCTGAACTCCCGAGCCCCGCCCCCCATATCTACTGCTGGATCAGATTTGGGACTTCCCAGATAATTTTACATCTTCGCTTTTCCCCACTTCAGGTTTTAAAAAATTAAATACGCAATACTTAATATATACAAAGGATATACACAACATGCGCCTACATTATCAGGCATAATGTAATGAATTACCAAACTAAAATCTGGGACATTGCCTATACGTTATCTTCCAAACGACCCGTATATCCACCCATCTCAGTCCTCTGCCATCCTGAAATTTTTTCATCTGCTTCTCTTTTTAAAATTAAAGTACTTTTCAACCTATGAATATACCTTTTAAACAAGACTGTTCAGTTCGGCTTCTTGGTGAGCTTTATAAAAATGGTATCTTAATGTAGGCTGCCTTGTGCCGTTTGATTTTTATTTTTTGACCCTCTTCTGTAACCAGGCGGTAAGTTGGCTCCCTAGGTTGCCGTCCTCTAGAGCCGGTCTCCAGAATAGATTGCAGGGCTGTGGCTGAAAATCCTGGTCAGAACTACAACCCCAAAGGTCAGGGCTGGAGCTTCTGAGAGGATGTTATCTCCAACTTTCTGAATCACGTTCTGTGCCACGTTTTACCTGTTCCCTGGCACACAGTCTGTTTGCCTTCAGGTCAATCTGTCTAGAACAGATTTGTTCATGCCTCTCTATAGATGTAGGCCTGCAGAGGCAAATAGAGAGTACAAACGCAGATATAGGTCTCTCTATAGAGATCAACAGAGCTCCGTAGATATAGAAGTACAGATGGAGTTTATGAGAAAGGATGGTCACTTAACCTACTTCATTTCATAACACAAGTTAATACTAAATTGATAACGATCATATCAGGCGCCTCATTTCTTATCAGTGAAGTACTAGTTGTAATTAAGCTCTTTATTATAGCTTTTTTTCCCCCCTCATATCATAGATACCTGGTTTCCAGTGTTTGGCTAAAAACATGCCCGACCCAAGTAAGTTTTAAACTTGTTTTTCAACAGCCTCATCTTGTTGGGTTTTGATATTTTGTGGTAGAGAAGAAGAATATAGTAGAGGAGAAACCAAAGATGCGTAAGAAAGAATAAGACATGCAGCTTGGGGAGGAGGGTGTAAGCCAAAAGCCATAGAAAATTCTAGTAGGGATGAGGAAAGCACGTGGGCTTGGAAAAATTTAATTTTCAACTTTGTACCAACCTGATTTTCCCTTCTGTAAGTCTACAGATATTTTCAGGCAGAATGTGTGGGCATTATATTTGAGGCATAGGTATAAAACTTTACAGCATCTATTTGAGATCCTAATGTTTACAAATGTCATATTGCTACTTGTGTTCTGGATATGCCTGTGACTTACCTCAGGAATCTTCTTTTTGGAAAGAATGAATAAATGTGTGTGAATTTTAGAGAGAATGTTGCAAGAGTTTTTTTGCTTTTTTTTTTTTTTTTTTTTTTTTGAGACACAGTGTCACTCTGTTCCCCAGAGTAGCTGGGATTACAGGTGTGTACCACCATGCCTGGCTAATTTTTTTGTATTTTTAGTAGAGACAGGGTTTCACCATTTGGTCAGGCTGGTCTCGAACTTCTGAACTCAAATTGTCCACCTTGGCCTCCCAAAGTGCTGGGATTACAGGTGTGAGCCACTGCACCTGACCAAGAGCTTTTTTTTTCTTTTTACATTTGAAAGTTTACAGTAAAGTTTCAGTTATATTTTATTCCTCAGTATTTTCTTACAAGAACATGGTGGGAAAAAAAAGAAAAACCATTTTACCAGAACTGTGGACTTGGGTCTTTCAAGTAGTGATATATAACTCTGTAGCTCTGTTAACACAGTCCTGTCTCCTGTTGTGGTCCTGCAATTTTAAAAGTTGTGAATTGCTGAATAGTTGTCTGTTAGAAAGATGGGGCAGCATTGGATTGAGACTGCCACTATCAAATGACAGACTTTTTTTCTACCCTGAACCTTAAGTTACAGCACGGGAAAGCATCTGGCTGCCATTCATGGAGACAGAGCTGCACTGTGATGAGAAGACCATCATCATTGGCCACAGTTCTGGGGCCATTGCGGCCATGAGGTGTGATCTTTGTTAAACCGCTATCCCCTTCATGAACTCCAGCCGTGTTTGCTTGAGAAATACTTTGTGTATTTTTCTTAAATTTCTGTTGCAGAGGAAACAGCGCTGACCTCTAAAGTGGTAACATAATCTGTCCTAATTCCTTCCTGGTTTTGCTAGTAGATTGAAAAAAAAATCTGCTCTTATTGGGGTGCAGTAATCCTTTTAAAGCATAAGTGGCTGCAAACCCCAGTGGCTTCTCATCAGTCAACTCTGATTCTCTCTCTACAGACTCTCCTTCTCTTCTCCCAGCCAGGTGTACTGACCTCATTGCAGTTCCTGGAACATGCCACGTACACACCCATCTTGGCCTGCCCTCATCCTTCTACCTTGGACACTCTGTCCCTAGACATCGGCCTGGCTTTCTATTCCCCTTGAGGTCTCTGCTCAAATGTCTCCTTTCAGTGAGGCCTTCTCTAATCACTCCATGTGAAACAGCCTCCTCACTCTACTGGCTCTGTCCCCTTTATATCTTATTTTCTCCAGCCCTTTTCACCATCTGACATTCTGTTTATTTTTTGTCTGTCACCTGCCAATAGAATGTAGACTCCATGAAGTCCTCCCTTAAGGCTAAAGGGGAGATGTAATATTCTAATGAGAGCAGTAGGGATGTGCCCATGAATCCTAAGGACTGGGGATTTGCAGGTGGGTAACACTGCAGACACAGTCTACCATATGCCAGGCTCCCTTCTAGGCAGTGGGGTTTCAGTGCCAGAGTGGCACAGAGTTTTAGTGCCAGCACTTTTCACCATCTGACATCCTATTTATTTCTTGTCTGTCTCCTGCCAGTAGAATGTAGACTCCATGAAGGTAGGGCTTCACAGAGGGGACAGCAGAAAAATAAGCAGGATAGTTTATTTGTCTGTCTCTTGCCAATAGAATGTAGACTCCATGAAGCCCTGCCGTGAACTGTATTTTAAGAGACACTACAATACCAGAAATGTACCTTCGTTACCACACACTCCACATTGCCTTGTATTATTATTATTATTATTTTTTTGAGACGGAGTTTTGCTGTTGTTACCCAGACTGGAGTGCAATGGCACAATCTCGGCTCACCGCAACCTCCGCCTTCTAGGTTCCAGCAATTCTCCTGCCTCAGCCTCCCAGGTAGCTGGGACTACAGGCAGGCACCACCATGCCCAGCTAATTTTTGTATTTTTAGCAGAGATGGGGTTTCACCTTGTTGACCAGGATGGTCTCGATCTCTTGACCTCGTGATCCACCCGCCTCAGCCTCCCAAAGTGCTGGGATTATAGGTGTGAGCCACTGCGCCCGGCTGCCTTGTATTATTTATTTGTGTTGTCTTATGTACATTTCTTTCAATAAACTGTCAGCTTCTTAAGGGCAGGCAAGAGTTCTGTCGATCTTTGTGTTCCTGGTGCCCTTTACAGTGCCTGGCAAGTTTATACCCAGTTAACCATTGGCCTGGCATAAAACTAATTTCTAAAGTATGAGTGAAATGTGACAAAATTAATGAATCTAGGTGCTTGTTCTTTCAACGTTTCTGTAGGTTTGATATTTTTCAAAATAAATGGGGAAAAAAATTTAGGCCCAAGACAAAATACGAACCCTAACTCTTTCTTGGCACAAAGGCACTTGAAATATTACTGCTGTGTGTCTTTCCTTATCCCAGTGCTTCCTGAGGGAGACTGCTGTCTGCAAACATTGTAACTGTGGTTTTTGCCATTTAAGGAGCCTCACTCTACTGGTTCCTATCCTCTTTATGTCTTATTATCTGAGGCACTTTTCATCATCTGACATCCTGCTTATTTCGTGTCTGTCTCCTGCTTATCAGATAGCACATGCTTTCTGCAAGTTACCTCAAATGAGTTTTTAAGTAGTTTATTGACTTTGGTGATCAGAGGTAACACGATATATTAGCCGAATCATTTTTCTTTCTCCAGGTATGCAGAAACACATCGAGTATATGCTATTGTCTTAGTGTCTGCATACACGTCAGACTTGGGGGATGAGAATGAGCGTGCAAGTGGTAAGTCTGAAGGTAGAAATTTGACAAAGCCTGTCTCTAGACATGGGGCTGTTTGTTCAGGTTGTAAAAACAGTGCTGTCTTTCAGATAGGCTAAAAAACTCTAGGCCAGGCATGGTGGCTTATGCCTATAATCCCAGCACTTTGGGAGGCCGAGGTGGGTGGATCACGAGGTCAAGAGATCGAGACCATCCTGGTCAACATGGTGAAACCCTGTCTCTACTAAAAATACAAAAATTAGCTGGGCATGGTGGCATGTGCCTGTAATCCCAGCTACTTGGGAGGCTGAGGCAGGAGAATTGCCTGAACCCGGGAGGTGGAGGTTGCGGTGAGCTGAGATCGCGCCATTGCACTCCAGCCTGGGTAACAAGAGCAAAACTCCGTCTCAAAAAACAAACAAAAAACTCTAATAGCATATGAGAAAGATTTACCACCTATCTTGGGATCTAAGTTCGCACTTTGATTTCTTCCCAAGCTTTAAGTACAGAATTGAACCAGAGAGGACTGGTTTTATTTGAACCATATACCATCTCTAACTGTGGTATCAAGCCCTACAGATTTGAAAACAAAGGAAATGCTTCTAACTCACACTTAGGCACTGCTCCTTTGTGTCTCTATATGGGTCTCCAGTAGGTATCCTAGAATATATAGAAGGGAGATTATGCATGGGCACTGAAAGGTTGTTGTTTTTCCCCCATAGGATACTTCAGCCGCCCCTGGCAATGGGAGAAGATCAAGGCCAACTGCCCTTACATTGTACAGTTTGGCTCCACTGATGACCCGTTCCTTCCCTGGAAGGAACAACAAGAAGTGGCCGATAGGTTGGAAACCAAATTGCACAAATTCACTAACCGTGGCCACTTTCAGAACACAGAATTTCATGAACTGATTACTGTGGTAAAGTCTTTGCTGAAAGTACCAGCATAGACTGGATGATTCCTGCTACTTTGCATCCCAATATAGGGGTAGAGTAATAATATCTACTATTAGCTGATTACTAGACAATAAAACATCCAGTTAAGTTCCAAAAGTGCCTGAAAAGCAAACACGTTTCAATCTAAGTTACAAACGGCATTTCCATTTTCTATAGACTCTTAAAACTCCCCAAATTGCTGTGAACTATAGCAGTATTTTCCTCATTTGATAAGAAACATAAGGACAGCTTAACTACCCTTTTCTATCCAACCTAAGTCAGAAACAGAACCCAGGTTTCCTTATTCCCACTCCTGAGTAAAACTAAATAATAGGTTTTATCTATGTTGCAGGTATTGCATTCTTTTCCTCTTTGAAATCAAACTTTTCTATTTCACTGGGGAAAGAAAACATGACTGAAAGTCCAGAGTTTAGCTTAGAGCTCAAAATACTAGCTGATGTTTTAAGCTGGCCCAGGGCCTTAAACCCAGACTAAGGCCTTCACCTTTGACACTTGCCCCTGAGGCATTCAGACATGTTGAGAGAGACTGAGACAGGAGTCTTCCAGAGTCCGGCGGGAAGGAGAAGCACAGCAATATACATACCTAAATATACGTACAACTGACTAGATTTGTTTAAGACGAGCGGTGGGACCAAGGCCATGTGGAGAGCTTGTGGCCTGTCCAAATTGTTGCCATGTGGAACTGGGGCAGAGTGTTGCCAGTTTTCTGATTTTGTGTGTGTGTATGTGGAAAAAATCTCCAAATTATGGTTTTAAAATTTGGGGAATATACATACACACACACATACATACATACATACACACACACACACAAATCCATACACGTATGGATTATGTTAGTTGGCAACAACAGTATACATCAAAAAGTTTACAAACTGCAAGACAAATAAAATCCAAGCCTTCCATTCGTGATCACAGTCATAAGCAATAACAGCCAGGGCCTTTCAGATAATTGTCTGTGAAGTCTGAGAAAACACTAAGATAACCAAAATAAACAGAATGTCAAAGGACAAAATCATGGGACAATTTGGATTTTGTTCCAAAGTCAAGTGTTTTTCAAAAGAACCTTTCCATGCTTCATGTTCTGTTTCTATAGAGTTCAGCCTTTTAACCTCCATGGCCCTTTAGATCTCTTTCTTGCACATTCCATTTTTCTTCTGATCATACTTCTTCAAAAAACCCTTTTTTGGCTGGGTGTGGTGGCTCATGCCTGTAATGCCAGCACTGTGGGAGGCGGAGGTGGTTGTATTGCTTGAGGCCAGCCAGGGCAACATAGCAAGACCCCATCTCTACAAAATACTAAAAAATGAGCTGGGTGTGGTAGTGCACACCTGTAGTCCTAGCTACTTGTAAGGCTGAGGCAGGATTGCTTGAGCCCAAGAGTGTGAGGCTTCAGTGAGTTTTGATCTCGCCACTGTATTCCATTCTGGGTGATGGAGCCAAGAACCTGTCTCTTAAAAAAAAAATAATAATTAAAAGAATACCCATTTTCATTTCCCAACATTTTTTGGCTAGTATGATCTCTGTTACTTCAAATAATTTCCAGTTAAACCACACGTGATGTTGCAGAGCCTAAGTTTGCTGCGGAAACATAATTTCCTTTACTTCAAGCCAAAAGGAGATTCAGAGTGATCACTTAAACGAAGAATGTTGGTTTTTAAATGTGCTTACACAAAAAAATCAGCAAAGGTACTCTAAACATTTAACAGCAATCATCTCTGGGGAATGGGTACTTCAGCAGGACAGAGTGGTAGATGTCCATATTTTACCTTCTCCACCTGAGAGACTATTTGAATTTGTTACACTAAATGTGTATTTTATAATCAAAAATAGCTAAGATTTAAAACAACGTATTTGGCTACTAAAAAGCAAATTATATATATCAGTTGAATATGTTGTTAAAGATGCTGTTTAGCACTAATTTGACCAAATCTATAGTCAAAGTTTGATTTGACTTGAATTTTTTGGAAATTTATTATTGGCATTACTTACTGTCTGCCTTGTTCTTTGTGAAGTCCTTTCCTAAAAAAACAAACTTATACAATTTAGTTCACAAAATTCTGTTGACCTCTTCCTCTGCAGAAGTGAAAACATACAATTGAGAAATAATTCTGGTATCTTCATTCCTATAAAAGAAATTAAGATAGACCTATAAGATTGTTGAGCTTTGCTACCAAATATAGTAACCAGTAACCACAGTTAGCTGTAAAACTGAAAATTCAGTTCAGCCAAACTAGCCATATTTCAAGTGCTCAGCAGCCACTGGTGGCTATTGGTTACCTTATTGACCAGCCAATACAGGCTATGTCCATCATTATAGAAAGCTCTATTGGACAGTACTGGTCTAGGACAATTTTATATTTTCCCCTCACCCACCATCCAATAATGTAATAGTTCAAAGTGAAAGTGACTTAATTTGAAATTACTTCTGTTTGGCTAGTTTGCTTAGCTGATCAGCACCGACATAGTAGGTCTATAAAATTTACTAAATCGCCAAACTAAGATTAGGGATGTTTCATGGGAAAATCCAGACAAAATTAAAAACCAGAGTCATGGACTGTCATGATTTCTGTTTGATTCTTTGTGGTCATCATTGAGTATACATGGGCATCTACATACTCTGGGGAGTATCTGTTCTCAGCTGAGCAAAATACCGAATAACGAATAGAAACCAACTGTAGGTATTAGACTTCATATGTAATTTGATTGTTTGGTGCTGTCAGGAGTCTAGAGTCCCACAGTTTGTTTTGGTTAGTTTATCCCTAGGATAAATGATCCATTTAACTATTCATCAGAGGTCCTGTATTTTTAAATTGTGTCTTGTCTCCAGTTAATTTTCAGAATTAAAAACGTGCCATGGGAAAAAGTTTAAAGGTTCTCTTTATTGGTGAGGCAAGGAGAACTTTTGTTTTAGCCATGAATGTCAAGCTCTAAGAACCAATCTTTAGCTATAAAGACCTAAGACAAAGCCTTTATTTAAAACATAAGCTGGTTTCTTCTCATTTCTAGCTCTCTTCCAAGTTCATTTTTCTTACTAAATAAAACTAGTACTTTTTTGAAAGGCCAAGCCCCAGGAAGGACAGACATTGTTCGTAACCATTCCAACTCTCACTGAGGGTGGAGGAGAAATCCTCTGTAGTTTCAGGTTCCCGGATCCCTCACATATATATATATATATATATTTATGTGTATATATATATTTATTTTATAGTCCAGAGGTGATTTATTTTTTAACACCTATTACGCCATGAATCCATAGGGAAGAGGTTCCAGCAACTCAGGCTTCTTCCCATTGGTTCTCACAAAGTGTGCTTTTCAGGGTGGAGCAGGCCGACTCCTCAGTTGAACCCAGGTACTTGTTTTTTTTTTTAGCCGGAGTCTCGCTGTCTCCAGGCTGGAGTGCAGTGGCGCAGTCTCAGCTCACTGCAACCTCCGCCTCCCGGGTTCAAGTGATTCTTCTGCCTCAGCCTCACAAGTAGCTGGAACTACAGGTGTGTGCCACCAGGCCCAGCTGATTTTTGTATTTTTAGTAGAGCCAAGGTTTAACCATGTTAGCCAGGATGGTCTCAATCTCTTGATCTGCTAGGCCTCCCAAAGTGCTGGGATTACAGGCGTGAGCCACTGCGCTCAGTGAACCCAGGTACCTTTCTCTTTGGCTTTTTCTTTTTCTGATCATTTTCCTTCATGCATTTCAGGAAGCTATCTCAGCTCTTAAGAGTGCTTCATATGCACATTAATTCTCTTAGCAAGAATCTTGTCGTTGTTTGTTTACAGCAATGCCGACAGCATTTAGACACTTCTAGTTGTGCCATGGTTAACACTTGTGGGGCATTCCTTTTTGAACAGTACCCATTCCCTTGAGGTCTACAATATCACCTTTCGTATAGAGTCGCATATAGGTGGCCAAAGGAACAACTCCATGTTTTCTGAAAGGCCCAGGGAATATCTTCTGGGAGCCTCTCCTCTTTCCCTTTGTGTTCATCATTTTGGTGAATTACTGGAAGATGGCGGTTCTGGCTGAAAGACTATGATACAGATATATCCAATACTTGAAATTATTTTTGTTACAAAGAGCTAGTGTCATCAAATGCTAATTCTATAGAGCTGGCCATAAAATGTACTGGACAATAATTGGTTACTGAGCTGAATTTTATTTTACTGATACCATTTATCTTAAAATAACTCTTCTGATGTCCACTTAGAACATCTCCAAATCGGTGTTAGAACCCAATCCTCAGTACCAGTGGAGCTTGAATTCCTTTCCAGGGTCCCATGTTTTTAGCTTGGATACAGAAACTTTAAAGTGGAGCTACAAAGTGAAAATATGAGAGATGAAATTCTAAAATGCCCTACAGCCAACATCTGTGCAACAATACATCAGATAACCTTGTGTTTTCCTAAGTGGCTGACGACAGGAACTGAAAATACTATTAGAACTGAGGACAATTATAATGGCTTTCTGTGTAGACACCACACCATGACTTTTAGAACAGAATAAGGAAGGGAAATACATCTAAAACAGAGTAAGAAAACAAAAATGTTACCCCCCTCAAAGTGTGAATGGAGGGCATGGAACAGTTTTAGTTTTAGTTAATGCTATAACAGAATACGGTAGACTGGTGGTTTATCAACAATAGAAATTTATTTCTCATAATATTGGAGGCTGGGAAGTCCAAGATCAAGGGGCTTACAGATTTGTTTTCTGGTGAGGACCCACTTCCTGGTTCACAGATGGCTGTCTTCTCTCTCTCACATTGCAGAAGGGGTGATGGAGCTCTCTGGGTCTCTTTTTATACGTGCACTAATCCCATTCATGAGGGTCTTACTCTCCTGACCTATTACTTCCCAAAGCCCTACCTCCAAATACCATCACACTGAAAATGAGATATCAACATTAGAATTTTGGGGGCACACAAACATTCGTCTACTGCAGACATTAAATAAGAATCTAGGGAAAATTCTAGCACAGAATACATTTGAGTTACAGAGTGAAACATAAGACTTAAAGAAGGAACAGTGAAAATATTCTCTTTAGGATGAAAATGATAATTTTTTTTTTTTTTTTGAGATGGAGTTTCGCTCTTGTTACCCAGGCTGGAGTGCAATGGCGCGATCTCGGCTCACTGCAATCTCCGCCTCCTGGGTTCAGGCAATTCTCCTGCCTCAGCCTCCCGAGCAGCTGGGATTACAGGCACGCACCACCGTGCCCAGCTAATTTTTTGTAATTTTAGTAGAGACGGGGTTTCACCATGTTGACCAAGATGGTCTCGATCTGTTGACCTCGTGATCCACCCGCCTCGGCCTCCCAAAGTGCTGGGATTACAGGCTTGAGCCACCACGCCCGGCCGAAAATGATAATATTTATGTACTGAAAATATATCCTTGACAGTAGTGATTGGGTTTGAAGTAAGTATGGTAGCATAATCTAAAAGAATATTTCTGATATAAAAGGAATTAATAATGTGTGGAAAAGGCATGTTCCACTCTCCCCTAGTCAAGTCATACCCCAGGTTTGCATAAACCCCTTTGCTATTCCTGCCTTTAACCACTTTTAATTTCTTTTAAATGAAACCACTGAGAAAGTAGAAAACAGAAATGGTGGTAGTGAACCAGGTATTAAAAACACTTCCAACGAAGAACTTAATAAATAACTTTTAAAAGGACATTTTTATACTCTGGCCATTATAGTACTTGGTAAATATGGGTATGTTGGCATCTTTTTCCTTGACCCATCAGAAGTCTTGAAAGATGTGGTCCTCTCCAGAGTTTCAAAGTGTTTTATTTTTTGAAGAATGAATTTCACTACTAACCTTATTTCTTTCATATTCTACTGGCTACTTTACCAATATAAATTTAGTCTTCATAAATAAAAAAGTATGTTTTCATAGCTGCAAGTCTATATCCATTATTGTGAAGTTTGCTGTCAAGGAGATTTGATGTTCCATCATGAATTAAATTATCTGCTCCCAAAGTAACTTAATTTGCAAAATGTCAGTAAAGTTCATAGCTCTCTATTAAAATTCGAGCCACTCTGTCATGTAAATACAGTTAGACGGTGAAATCTCACCACCTTCATGGCAGTCATCAAAAACCTTTAAAAAAGAAAAAAATTATATTCAAACTAAAGTTTTAAAATATCTAAGACCCAACCACTTCTTTAAAACAAAATTAAAAACAAAACTTTCAAATGGAAAGGGATTAGGCCTGTATTTAAGAACATACTATAATAGGGCCTGCTCTTTGTGATCATCAAATTAGGAGAAGTTAGGAGAGAGGCCTTTTACTGTGGCATTAAGATGACCATGCTCACCTGTCCACTGGGCAAAAGGCTATCAGCAGGTAACACAGGATACAGGAAGGGCGACCTATACACATGAATTACTTAATTTTGATTAATCGAATGTTTTATGTTTGCTACCTTTCTGTGAAGGGTACAAAATAGAATTCCTAATACGGTAGCCTTTTGTCTAGGGATTGAAACCAGGGCACAGAGAGCTTAGACAGATAGACAGAGTCTGGTATAATGACATAAAACACACACAGGCTCATGAGTGCTACAAATGCCATGAGGACTGGGATAGTATCTCTTGCCCTCTATCCTTAGTGCCTAGAGCATAGAGCTGGCACTTATAAAAGCTGGGAATGAATAAAGGAGGAGTGTTGAGACATGCTGCAGGGGAAAGACATAATCTCTGGGTTTGAATCTGGTTACTCCTAAGCTGTATGCCCCTAGGTCTTCCTAAACCTATTTAAGGAGAAATAACACCACTAGCTTCAAGAACGTAAGGAGGACTGATGAGACCACCCATGGAAATCATCAAGGATATCTGGCCCAAGGCAGGTTCTTAAAAAATCTCATTTTCTGCCCTATTTCAAGGCCAAGAGCAGAAAACGCAAACATCCTTAACGTGGTTATTCCAAGAAAGAATGTAAAGCAGGGGGCCAGGTGTGGTGGCTCATGCCTGTAATCCCATCACTTTGGGAGGCCCAGGTGGGCGGATCACCTGAGGTCAGGAGTTCAAGACCAGCCTGGCCAACATGGTGAAACTCTATCTCCACTAAAAATACAAAAACTTAGCTGGGCACAGTGGTGGATGCCTATAAACCCAGGTACTTGGGAGACTTGAGGTAGGAGAATTGCTTGAACCTGGGAAGTGGAGTTGCAGTGAGCCAAGATCATGTGACTGTACTCCAGTCTGGGGGAATAGAGTGAGATTCTCTCTCAAATTAAAAAAAAAAAAAAGGAATGATATAAAGCAATGATTTGTTCATTAAAGGTCTGTTCAGCAAGGTTTCATGGAGGTTTGAACAGCTCTTGGTCAACTGTTGAGTCTGAGAAAACCGGTGTGCATGTTCTGTTTCTTAATGTGGCACTTGTACCCTGGGGCAGGCAAGTGTAAAGTGAAGCCACTTGAACTCACCGGGCAGAGTCCACAAGGTGCCCGGACCAAACCCGTGGGCGGGATAATTGGATTGACTGCCCTGTACAGTTTCATGTGTCCGTCTACACTGCCAACTGTGCCTTCTTTTGCAGCGATGATTGTCATCTCCACTTTCCCATCATAAATGAGTGTATTCAGGATGGTTTCAATGTCCTCCATGGATAACTCTACCTACAAAAGGGATACATTAGAAAGGAAACAAATAGGACAGAGAGACATCCACTTGGAGGGTGTTAAAAACAGTAAAGGGTTGCCAGGTGTAGTGGCTCATGCCTATAATCCCAGCACTTTGGGAGGCCAAGGTGGGTAGATCACCTGAGGTCAGGAGTTCGAGACCAGCCTGATCAACATGGCAAAACCCCATCTCTACTAAAAATACAAAAATTAGCTGGGCATGGTGGCAGGCGCTTTTAATCCCAGCTACTTGGGAGGCCGAGGCAGAAGAATGCCTTGAACCCATGAGGCAGAGGTTGCAGTGAGAGGAGATTGTGCCATTGCACTCCAGCCTAGACAACAAGAGCAAAACTCTGTCTCAAATAAATAAACAGTAAAGGGTCACAATTCTGTTGTGAAATGTGAGAAACACTATGCTAGGTTGGAGTAATTAAAAGCACAAAGAGGAGAGACAGTAGTCCAAGTTGGCACAAACCACTGAAATGCTAGGGACAGAACTCCAAGCTCATGCTGTGTTTGACACTTTCTGATATCTTTACTTTCTAAGTAAAATCTAGAAGTCTCATAAAAAAGTAGCATTTCTTTAGCAAGAATTTGGTGGAGAATTATAAAATGCTTGAGCAAAAAGGCACGTTAGATATCAAATAGTCCAAGTTCCTAGTTTTTTAAAATGAGAAACCTGAGGCCCCGGAAATCAAAATGAGATGTCCATATGGTCACTTTGATTTCTTCACTGTGAAAGCATTGGTGTCCTTAAAAAAAAAAGTCAAAGGGTACAGTGGCTCATTCCTATAATCCCAGCACTTTGGGAGGCTAGTGCAAGAGGATCACCTTGAGTCCAGCAGTTCAAAACCAGCCTGGGCAACAAAATGAGACCCTATCTTAAAAAAAAAAAAAAAAAAAAAGCATCAGTGTCCTTATGTATTAAGTCTTCAAAACAATCTGCTACTACTGACTTACATCTCTAAGAAAATGTCACATATGCTGAAATGTCCCTGAGAAAGTCAAGAACTTGTCAGACTTTTGAATTTGGGTGGGAAACAAGCTGCCAGGCCTGCATTTTACTGCTCTGTGACCCACCCTCAAGAACAGTTCAGATAATGCCCAACGGCAGTGACTGCTTTGTCTAAGCTACAGGACAGTATTTTCCCAAAGAGGATTCTGCAGAATGTTCATAGCTATCATCTCAGAAAAACAGTCTGGGTCAAATACACATTTGGAATACACTGTAATTTGTGATGAAGAGTAAGTTTTTATTTTTTTAAATAATTGAATACCTTTATTTACTGATATGAAAATCCATTATATATTGTAATAAGCAAAAGCTGTATTATGAATATAATTGCATCCAATTTTTATAAAAATGTATGCAGAAACAATTTTGAAAATACAGCACATGCCCATATTATTGTTTACTTTCTCTGGACTTTGATATTATGGGTATTTTTATTTTATTTTTAATAGTATTCCATATTTTTTTTTATTTACTGCATTTTAGGTTTTGGGGTACATGTGAAGAATATGCAAGATTGTTACATAGGTACACATGTGGCAGTGTGATTTGCTGCCTTCCTCCCCTGATGAAGAGTAAGTTTTAAAAAATAAGATGAAATTCAGTTCTGACCTTACTAATTCCCAGTTCACAGATATATTTCCACACTTCATGTGATGAGGCAAATGAACTATTTCTTTGTATCATTGGGTTCTGTTTGCTTTCTCGTGCTGCTTCTGCCTATAAGGATTGAAATATAAGAAATCTAAGCAGGAATATTGATGTTTTCTGAATATAATTTATACTGAGTCAAACCAACAGCAGAACCTATTTTGTTTAGTAAAAATCTCCAATTTCAGGGTTTTAATTCCTATAAAATATGATAAATAAGATTAAAATCCTTTATGAAAAGCTTTTTAAAAGAAAGTTTGCAGTGATGTTTCCTCAATCATACCTCACCTTGGATTGTAGAAATTTAAAACACTGTTGGTTAAGCACCTCTACAAATTCAGATTCAAAATCCTGGTCACTGTACCAGGCTCCACCAGTCACAGACCGGTCTGGCTGCAGGTTATAGAGCATATACACCTTCTTTTTTGAGGCCTAGGAGAGAACATGCACAGTTCATGTGTTAAGATAACAATTTTCAAAAATGAAAATAAAACACCTAGATTTTGAAACAGTTTAACATTTACAGAATTATTGCAAAGATGGTACAGAGACCTCCTATATACTCCATGCGGTTTCCCCTATTTTTAACGTCTTGTATTAGTGCAGTACACTTGTCACAATTAATGAACTAATATTGATAAATCATGACTAACTAAAGGCCATTACTAACTAAAAACAGCAAAGGGTTGCCGAGTGTGGCAAATCCGAATCTTTATTAGATTTCATTAGTCCAAATGTCCTTTTTATGCTCCAGGATTCCATCCAGGACATCATACTACATTTAGGTGTCATCTCTCAGGCTTCTTTCAGTTGCGACAATTTCTCAAACACCATTATTTCTATGACTATGGACTCATGAGTATTTATTTTATACTTTGAGTTACATTCCAATACTTCATTGTTATTCTCACGTTGGAAGCTTTTCATTTGGTTCCTGTACCCTTTGACATGCTCCCTTCAGAGAGAGAGAGAGAGAGAGAGAGAGACAGACAGAGAGAGAGAGAGAGAGTGTGTGTGTTTTAGTACCTTTTTTTTTTTTTGAGACAGGGTCTTGCTCTGTTGGCCAGGCTGGAGTACAGTGGTGCAATCTCAGCTCATTGCAACCTCTACCTCCGGGGTTTGAGCGATTCTCCTTTCTCAGCCTCCCAAGTAGCTGGGGTTCCAGGCACCTACCACCACACCCAGCTAATTTTTGTAGTTTTAGTAGAGACAGGGTTTTACCATGTTAGCCAGGCTGGTGTTGAACTCCTGACCTCAGGTTATCCATTTGCCTTGGCCTCCCAAAGTGCTGGGATTACAGTCATGAGCCACCGTCCCTGCCTATTTTAGCATTTTCGTACTTTCCAGCACTACAAGATGGCAGGAGCATTTTCTCTATGTTCATTTTATTGCAGCACTAGACGTGTTCACTGCCATCGAGATGCCATCAATTCTAGGCCTTCTCAGTCGGCAGCACAAGATTTATGTATGCATATTAACCCCTGTATATATACATATCTATACTCAATATTTCTAAATATAACCATCTTTATTATTTATATTAAATTACACAAGAGTCCGTACTGATGTTTTCAAGTCTGATCCATTGCTATGTGGATCATTCTAACTTTCCTTGTTTATCTGCAACTGCCCACTCCAACAGGGAGGAAACCAGATTTCACTAGGTTGTTTAATGAAGAATCTGAGCCAGGCCTTGTGGCTCATGCCTGTAATCCCAGCACCTTGGGAGGCTGAAGTGGGCAGATGTTGGAGTCTAGGATTTCAAGACAGGCCTGGGTAACATGGTAAAACCCTGCCTCTACAAAAATAAAAAAAAATTAGGCTGGGCGCAGTGGCTCACACCTGTAATCCCAGGCTGAGGTGGGAAGATCATGAGGTCACGAGTTCGAGACCAGCCTGCCCAACATGGAGAAACCCCGTCTCTACTAAAAATACAAAATTAGCTGAGTATGGTGGCACGTGCCTGTAATCCCAGCTACTCGGGAAGCTGAGGCAGGAGAATTGCTTCGAGCCAAGGGGTGGAGGTTATGATGAGCCAAGATCGTGCCACTGCGCTCCAGCCTGGGCGACATAGCAAGACTCCCATCTCAAAAAAAAAAAAAAAAAATAGTTGGACATGGTGGCATGTGCCTGAAGTCCCAGCTAGCTATGGTGGGAGGATGGCTTGAGGCCAGGAGGTTGATGCTGCAGTGAGCTGTGATTATCCCACTGCACTCCAGCCTGAGTGACAGAGCCTGACCATGTTTCAAAAAAAAAAAATTGGCTAGACTTTGTCCCTTTTTCCTGGGACGTAACTTCCACAATAGGCCTTGTTATTCATGGTGAATCCCTTAGATCACACCTGAGTTTATGCTAACACCTGGGTTTATGACTCCTGAAAAGACTCTATAATAGTTTCAGGATAGGAGTGTCCACGCTGGAAAGACCAACCACATGCTTAGAGGATCGGGGCTTTGGGCCATGTGACATCAGTCCAATCTCTTGGGAGGGGAGAGGAGCTGGAGATTGAATTCACTCACAAGACCAAAGATTCAATTAATCATGCCTGTGTAATGAAACCATAATAAAAACTTTGGACACCAAAGCTTGGGCAGGCTTCCAAATCTGGTTGTCATACAGAATAGTTTCATTACCCTAAAAATATTTCTTATGATTCACCTATTCAACTTTCCCTACCAACCCGGCCCTTGCCCCTGATCTTTTTAGTCTGCATAGTTTTGCTTTTTCCAGTATGTCATATAGTTGGAATTATAAAGTATGCAGCCTTTTTGGACTGGCTTCTTTTACTTAGCAATACGCATTTAAGATTTACTCATATCTTTTCATGATAGCTTATTTCTTTTTATAACAGAATATTCTGGTTTGTTTATCCATTCACCTGTTGACACCTTGACTGCTTCCAGTTTCTGATTATGAATAAAGCTGCTATAAATATTCATGTGGTTATGTGGACTTAAGTTTTCAAATCAGTTGGATAGAGACTGTCTCAAGAAAACAAAACCAAAAAAAACCTACCCAACTTTTTTACAAAGGGGCTGTACCATGTTGCATTCTTAGCAATGTATGAGTGTTCCTCTCGCTCTATATCTTGTCAGCATGTGGTATTACCGATTTTTAGATTTTAGTTATTCTAATAGGTGTGTAGTGGTATCTGACTACACTAAATTGTATTTTAATTTGCAGTTCTCTAATGAAAAATAATGTAAAGCATCTTTTGTTTCTTTTTTTTTTTTTTTTTTTTTTTTTATATGGAGTTTCGCTGTTGTTACCCAGACTGGAGTGCGATGGCACGATCTCGGCTCACTGCAACCTCTGCCTTCTGGGTTCAGGCAATTCTCCTGCCTCAGCCTCCTGAGTAGCTGGGACTACAGGCGCGCACCACCATGCCCAGCTAATTTTTGTATTTTCAGTAGAGACAGGGTTTCACCTTGTTGACCAGGGTGGTCTCCATCTCTTGACCTCGTGATCCACCTGCCTCGGCCTCCCAAAGTGCTGGGATTATAGGCGTGAGCCACCGCGCCTGGCCATAAAGCATCTTTTCATATGCTTATCTGCCATCCGTTTATCTTCTTTGATGAAGTTCAGATCTTTTGCTCATTTTTTTTTTTTCCTGAGATGGAGTTTCTTTTGTTGACCAGGCTGGAGTGCAATGGTGCAATCTTAGCTCATAGCAACCTCTGCCTCTTGGGTTCAAGTGATTCTCCTGCCTCGGCTTCCCAAGTAGCTGGGATAGACATGTGCCACCATGCCAGGCTAGTTTTGCATTTTTAGTAGAGACCGGGTTTCACCATGTTGGTGAGGCTGGTCTTGAACTTCTGATGTCAGGTGATCAACCTGCCTCGGTGTCCCCAAGTATTGTTTTCTTATTGTTGAATTTTAGGAGTTCTTTGCATATTTTGGAGACAAGTCCTTTATCAAATATGTAATTTGCAAATATCTTCTAGTATGTAACTTGTCTTTTCATTCTCTTAACAGTATCTTGCAAAGCAGAGGTTTTCAAAAAATTTTGATAAACTCCAACTTAACAACTTTTTCTTTCACAGGCTACTGTTGGAGTTGTGGTCCAACAATTTATTAACAAAGCCAAGGTCATGTAGATTTTCTATGTTTTCTTTAAAAAGTTTTAAGTTTATACTTTACACTTAGGTCCAAGATTATTTTAAGTCTTAAAAAGACACAGAAGTTCACCAACAGATGAATGAATGAAAAGTTATATATATCTGTATAATGGAATTTTAATTGGCAATAAGAAGGTGGCCGGGCATGGTGTCTCATGCCTGCAATCCCAGCACTTTGGGAGGCCGAGGCCGGCAGATCATGAGGTCAAGAGATTGAGACCATCTTGGCCAACATGGTGAAACCCAAAGAAATGAAGTACAATATGGATAAAGCTTGAAAACATCATGCTAAGTAAAAGTAGTCATACCCAAAAGGCTACGTATCCTATTATTCCATTTATAGGAACTGTCCAGAATACACAAAATCTATAAAGGCAGAAAATAAATTCGTGGTTGTTAGGGCCTGTGGAAAGAGAGGCTGGGAAACAAATACTAGTGCCCACATTTTGGGGTGATCAAAATGTTCTAAAATTAGGACAGTGGTGATGGTTGCACAACTCTTACAGTAAAAACCAGTGACTGGAAATCCAAAGATTTTACACTTTAAAAGGATGAATTCCGTGGTGTGAATGCTAAATCATATTGCAGCAAAACTGTTATTTAAACATAAAGATGTAGAAGGAAGACTGGCAAAATGAGGCTAGGTCATGGATACACAGGGATTCTTTATATTATTTTTTCTACCTTTGTATATTTTTGAAATTATCCATTAAACAATGTGGAAGGGAAATGCTATTCTACATGAGAGAAGTGGTATGGCATAAATATCACTTGATAAAGATGAGCATCAAATTCTTATAATTGATGTTATAATTCTTATAATTCTTGTTTCATTCAAAAATAAAAACTTGAAGCAACATATCTAAGTGGATATTTGAGGAAAGGTCTACTTAATGCCACAGACTTAACAGCTTTGAAATGATCAAATTTGAATTATAGCTTGAATACTTTTTTCTTTCTTTTTAAAGACTCAATCTTGCTCTTGTCTGCCAGGATGGAGTGCAGTGGTGCAATCTCAGCTCACTGCACTTCCCTCTGGGGTTCAAGAGATTCTCCTGCCTCAGCCTTCTGAGTAGCTGGAATTACAGGGGTCTGCCACCACGCCTGGCTAATTTTTGTATTTTTAGTAGAGATGGGGTTTCACCACGTTGGCCAGGCTGGTCTTGAACTCCTGACCTCAGGAGATCCGCCTGCCTCAGCCTCCCAAAATGCTGGGATTACAGGCGTGAGCCACCATGCTTGGCATATAGCTTTAATTTTTGTGAAATGTGTACTGAAGCAGACTTTATTCTAGGGTAATCTCAGTTCCTCTGATGTGTACATCAGTGAGGTCAGGGGCAGATGTCCCTCAGGAAGCCAGCTCTGGAACAGAGGTGGGGCAGGATGAGCAGGAGGAAAAACACACGTATACTGGAAGAGAAGCTCCACCAAGGCAGGGATCTTTCTATGACTTGTTCATTAAAGTATCTCAAGCACTCAGAACAGTGCCTGGCACACAGCAAACACTTTGTTGAATGAGAAAGCTAATATGTCAGGATAAAGTAAATTATCTTACACATCACAGAATCTGGGAAAAGTGTTCACGGTTCCAAAGATTCTTCACCGAAAATAGTCAAATAGTTTTAGATTTTTGAGCGGGTGAGAAATCAAGAACTATGTAGGGACAAGTCTAAGCACTATCTCCAAACCAACTTAATCCAGACTTAAATTTTTAAGTCTTTTTTGACCAGCTGTTCTAAATCAAGATATAACTTCAAGAATAAAAACTTGAAGCAACATATGTAAGTGGATATTTGAGGAAAGGATTACTCACTGCTACAGACTTAACAGCTTTGATAAGCTTTTTACTTTCCAAATTCTTCAGAATTTTGTTGATTTCTGTTAATGGCAAGTTACTTTTATAGCGGATATCTCTGCTCCATATTCCTATGAGGAAGTAAAGTAAAATAAGTTGAACTACAGTTTTCATGGATTTTTCTTTTCTTTTTTTTTTTTTTTAAGAGACAGGGTCTTGCTCTGTTGCCCAGGCTGGAGCACAGTGGCTATTCACAGGCACAATCCCACTACTGATCAACACGGAGTTTTTTTGACCTGCTGTTTCCAATCTCGGCCAGTTCACCCTCCTTAGGCAACCTGGTGGTCCCCTGCTCCCGGGAGGTCACCATATTGATGCCAAACTTAGTGCGGACACCCGATCGGCATAGCATACTACAGCCCAGAACTCCTGAGCTCAAGCAATTCCCCACCTCAGCCTTCCAGTAGCTGGGACTACAGGCATGTGCCACTGTGCCCAGCGGTTTTCACGGATTTTTAATTTTATTCCTCTTCGCTTCTGCCTCATTCCAAAGCTAGCAGTATAAAGCGAACAACAGGGGGCCGCGGTGGCTCCGGCTAGTTGTCCTGGCGCTTGAGGAGGCGAGGCCATGAGTTCAAGGCCAACCTGAGCAACACAACAAGCTCTCATTGATTAACAACAACAACAAAAAAGCAAGCTAACAATAAAAATGAAATGACTTAGAGGTAAGAACCTTGGCTAAAGTAGCAAAAATATGCTAAGCGGTAAGTCTAATGCTTTATAAGACTTATTTTAATGATTTATAAATTCTAACTAGAAATTTCTTGGAATCCCAGTGTGGCACATTTTTAAAAAATTTATGAAAAGGGCTGGGGACAGTGGCTTATGCCTGTACTATCAGCACTTTAAGAGGCTGAGGCAGGTGGATCACCTGGGAGTTCAAGACCAGCCTGGCCAACATGATGAAACCTCATCTCTACTAAAAATACAACAAAAATTAGCCCAGTCTGGTGGTGTGCACCTGTAGTCCCAGCTACTCGGGAGGCAAAGAATTGTTTGCCTCGGCACGAGAATTGTTTGAACCTGGGAGGCGAAGGTTGCAGTGAGCTGAGATCGAGCCATTGCACTCCAGCCTGGGTAACAGAGCAAGACTCGAACAAAAAAAAAAAAAGAAAAGAAAAGGACATTTTTGAAATGGAAGGAAAAATCATGGCTGCAACTGATTAACTTATATCATTGCCTTCCATCATCTTCTGTACCCTAATCTGTGTTTTCTGATATTTTCATTTTAGATTGTAAATGTGAAAAACAAATTTGGGTCAAGGTCAACTACCATCTTCAACTAGGACAAAAACACTCTTTAGATGAGTGTCTGCATGCATGTAATTCATTATTTATACAACATTGTATTTGTGAGATGGAAAAAGAAGTCTAGGGTTCTTATGGCTGCTAAAAGCCCTGTGTGAGAAGCAATTATTTCTTTTTCAAATAAGTGGTTTTTTTTTGTTTTGTTTTGTTTTTTTGTAGAGACAAGGTTTCACTGTGTTACCCAGGCTCATCTCAAACTACTGAGCTCAGGCAATCCGCCCACCTCAGCCTCCCAAAGTGCTAGGATTACAGGCATGATTCACTGTGCTTGGCCCAGAAATAAGTGTTATATATGGAAAAGGGATGTATGGAAATATTTTGCTTTATTTTCTTCCCAGTGTAGTGGTCTAATGAGATAGGAAGATTAAAAAAATATGCAGAATGGCTTTCTCATAGGACTATTTTTTTTAAATGGTAAAAAATTTATATTTTAATAAATATAAGAATTAGTTATATAATTTCCGATATCACAATTTTTCAAGCTAATATCAATGAATCAAATAGATCCTAAATTATTGTAACTTAGGATTGCAATCTAGATACAGTCCTTCAAGTGGGTAGACGGGGAAGTGTAGCTGCTGAGGGACTTCTGTTAAGACATTGCTACACCACTCCAGCTTTCCTTTCGGTCCCTGTAAAAACGAGAGGTGTCAGCATCCACAGTTTATAGATAAGATGAAGAAACTGAAGCTCACAAAGTTTAAGTATCTTGTCCATGGTCATATAGCTACAATATAAGAATTTCTTTTTTAAAAACTTAAGTTTTATTTATTTTGAATAGATAAAACAGTCATGTGACTCAGAATTCAGAAGTCTTTTTCCATCTCTGGCCACACCCCTCTAGTTCTTGTCTCTTGCAAGGCAACAGTGGCCTTACTCGGGTGTCCTTCAAGCACATGCATGTTATACTTGTATGTTCTATTCCCTTCCTCAACATACTCTGTTCACCGAGCTCTACCCTGGGAAGCTGAGATCTGGGTCCCTATATCTAGTTCCAAAAACAATGTTGTTTTTCTGCCTCATCCTTCACATGCTTACCTTTATTTCCTGCATCCTCTATGATTTGATATACTAGCTTTTCTTGGTTATCTGATCCCTTCATTTTACTGCAGGGGAATAAAGTAAAATTAATAAGGTACAGACTATAGGATAATCTAATAATCTACATCACTACTTAAACAAAATGAGCAGACAGGGTCACCACAGTGACATATTTACCAAAAGAAGAGGCTTACCTTAAAAAGAATGAGACAGAGCTGTGTGTACCAACATGTAAAGATGTCCAAGATACAGTAAGTGAAAAAAACAAGTTGCAAAACAGAATGGATAGCATGATTCCATTTTTGTTTAAAAAAAAAAAGAAAGATTATATATAAATATACAATCATCTATGTGTATTTTATTATAGTCAGAAGAAAGGCTATGTACTAAATTATTAAAAGCAGTTACCTCTGGGAAATGGAATATATCATAGGTGGCATACACAGGACAGGTTTATGTAATTTTGTATTAGCTTTATTCTCAAAACATACATTACTTTTGCAATAATAAAAATTTTCTTAAAATTAGAAAAACAGGTACTTACCCAGCATTCTGAGAGTCCTTTATTCTATATAAAAGGCCTGTATTGCTCCTTAAGAGATCCAACTGACCCTAGTAACACAGTGGAAAACAGGAGTCAATTATTTTGGAGATATGTTAAATCAAATGACAAATGTTGATGCATTCTTTAACATTCTTAATTTTCAAAACCTGCTCTTTAATCTCAAAATTTTTCAAAATATCAATACTAACAATTTCCTATATGCTAGATCTTGGCTTGGTTATATGATCAATGCATAAAGAATTTTTAAAGAGAAGCCTGAGAATAAAAATCTATATTCAAAATCAAATAAATCCAATTACACATATAAAATAAAAAGTTGAAATAAAGGCTAAATAGGCATATTCTGTTGCACAGTGAAAAATAAAATTTATAAAGTTAATGGCTGGGCATGGTGGCTCACACCTGTAATCCCAGCACTTTGGGAGGCTGAGGTGGGTGGATCATTTGAGGTCAGGAGTTCGAGACCAGCCTGGCTAACAGGGCAAAACCCAGTCTCTATTAAAAATACAAAAAGTAGCCAGGTGCAGTGGCACTCAGCTACTTGGCAGGCTGAGCTGTGACTGCACCACTGCACTCCAACCTGGGTGACAGGGCGAGACTCTATCCTGAAAAAACAAAAAACAAAACGAAAAAGGTTAATAGTGACATTTGCTGATGTCGGCCAATGAATAAAAGGACTAGAGTAGTATTGTTTTTATATAGCAAATCAAAAGTAAAATATTATCTGTCATACCTCCTTAATTTCCTTGGGTTCAAACTTAAGAGAACCCAGAAAGTTATACCATTAGGTTCTGGAAGATCTAGAAAGCTATAGTTGAGAGGGACAATCATTCCCTCGCTTTATTTATTTATTTAGAGACAGAGTCTCGCTCTGTAGACCAGGCTGGTGTGCCATGGTGTGATCTCGGCTCACTGCAACCTCTGCCTCTAGGATTCATGCGATTCTCGTACCTCAGCCTCCCAAGTAGCTGGGATTATAGGTATGCGCCACCACACCAGGCTGACTTTTGTATTTAGTAGAGACAGGGTTACACCATGTTGGCCAGGCTGGTCTCAAACTCCTGGCCTCAATGGATCTGCCCGCCTCAGCCTCCCAAAGTGCTAGGATTACTGGCGAGAGCCACCATGCCAAGCCCATTCCCTTGTTTCAAAATAGACACTCAAGACTTGGAAATAGATTTGCATACTGAATGAACAGTGACACACTCCCTCTGTTCCCTGACCCCACAAAGTGGCAAACTAGAACTACAAGGCCCAATCCAGAGACTTTATTTGGTCATTTATCCAGCTTATGAATACTTGCTGAATACTTGTACTGTACCAGCTGTAATGATAGGTGTTTGGGGGAACATCATAGATTCTAAAAGGGAAGCACACAGCTGACTTCAATACCCATCTGGCTGGCATTAAGATAGAGGTAAGTAAAGCCACCCTGAACTCCCAGGTTGGATACTCAGAGAACAGGCTGTGGTACAACCTGAGGGGGTTCAGTGACTTCCTGCAGACAATGGCAGAGCCGAGCCCTAAAAAATAACAAGGAGTTAGTCATCGTGAAGAATAAGAAGAGCTTTCTAAGCAGGGGAACAACATGAGTCCCAAGGCATGAAACAGCATGATGCGGCAGGAAACTAAAAACAATCCGCTTCTCCTGAAACCTAACGTTTGAGGTGGAGATGAGGCTGGTTGAGGACGCAGGGACTCAATGTTGTAAACCGAGGAATCTGAACTTGAATCTCCAGTATAAACAAATTGTAGGCGGTAGACTTCCATGGTCATATCTGCATTAAAGACAGATCAGGGGCCAGGCGCAGTGGCTCATGTCTGTAATCCCAAATCAGGCTGGCTTCTCTGAGACAGAGTCATGGAAGCCAGGTAAGATGCTACTGCAACTGTCCAGGTATGAGCCTGAACATGATGCAGTACCAGGAATAGAAATGAAGGGGGTGTGGAGAGCAAGTTTAAGAACTGTTTTTAGAGCTAAAATCAGAAACCCTTCATGATTGCTAATCACTCTCTTTCTTAATATCCTTTGATAGCTCTACTACTACTTACATACAGCCTATAGCCATAGCACTCACAGTGGGTTGGTGGTGGCAGAGGTGGTGAAAGAGAGGTGCTGAAGATGATTTTCAGTCATAAGGAAAAAGCTGAGAGGGGGATCAGAAGAAAAAAAGAACTTTTTCCACTGCCACAACCTCCTGAAACCTCTTCCTCTATCCTTCCTAGAGGTGAAGACCTTCACCACAATGAAATAACTAAAAGTCAGCAACATTCCTTTGCTCTTGGGTTAGAACAGCAGTCAGCAATCTGCTCCACAGCTTGTTTTTTTTTTTTTCACTCTTGTTGCCCAGGCTGGATGCAATGGCACAATCTTGGCTCACCACAACCTCTGCCTCCCGGGTTCAAGAGATTCTCTTGCCTCAGCTTCCTGAATAGCTGGGATCACAGCCATGCGCCACCATACCCGGCTAACTTTTGTATTTTTAGTAGAGATGGGGTTTCACCATGTTGGTTAGGCTGGTCTCAAACTCCTGACCTCGTGATCTGCGTGCCTTGGCCTCTCAAGGTACTGGGATTACAGGCGTGAGCCACCATGCCTGGCCACAACTTTCCTAAAGATCAGAAGATATGGGTGAGAAAAGACAACTAACTTTCCTAGTTTGGTGAGGTTCAGATCGTTTGCTTTTTTTTTTTTAAGATAGAGTCTTGCTCTGTTGTCCAGGCTAGAGTGGCAGTGGTGCAATCTGAGCTCATTGCAACCTCCACTTCCTGGGTTCAAGCAATTCTCCTGTCTCAGCCTCCTGAGTAGCTGGGATTATAGGTGTGTACCACATGCCTGGCTAATTTTTTGTATTTTTAGTAGAGACAGGGTTTCACCATGTTGGCCAGGCTGGTCTCGAACTCCTGACCTCGTGATCTGCCTGCCTCAGCCTCCCAAAGTGTTGGGATTACAGGCATGAACCACCGTGCCCAGTCCACAGCTTGTTTTTATAAAGTTTTGTTGGGACCTGGCTGTAGCCGTTTGTTTATGTATCATCGACCACAGCTACTTCCTGCTAAAATGATAGTAGTTGTGACAGAAACCATATGGCTCACAAAGCCTGAAACATACACTCGCTGGCACTTTGTAGAAAAAGTTTGGCAACCCTTGAGCTAGAAAACTGATGGGAAAGGTTTAAGAAAAGATTCACCTGACCCCAAATCTCCACATCCAGAGCCCTTGGAAATCAAATAAGCCTAGTAGACTTAAAAAACAAATCAGTCTTTCTGAGAAGAAATTGATGAACTAAAAAGAAAAAAACAAAAACAAAAAACACACACACACAAAAACAAATCAGTCTTTCAGATGAGGCCTTGGCATATAACTATTTAACCTAATTGCTACTGAAGCCAAACTGCAATGCTCTCAGGAAAAGGATGTTTTGAAGATGAAACAGGGAGAGATTTAGAGCATGGGGCCCCACTAGGTGGGTTTTTAGACAGTCTTGTTTGTTTGTTTCTGGACAGTCAGAGAATGGCTTTACTGATAAATTCCACCATGATGCCACTGGGGGCTAAGGCTGCACTTCCTCCCCAAGGCCCAGCATTCTTCGTTCAACTGGACTCATTCTTGCTTCCTGAAATGCTCAGAGTGACAATGTGGAGAATGAAACCCTGATGACTCGGCTCTGTGACAACAGAAAAATCGGGGGCTGATGGGGGGTGGAGGAGATGGTATATTTCATAGGAAATGGCCCAACACTAGCAGCAGGAAGCAAACAGAAGGTGAGAACAGACTATGCCTACTATGTATGGCAGTGGCAATTAATAAATACAACAGTTATAATACATTTACTTCATTTGTCTCATAATGCATAATTATTTCTTCTTTTTTCAATTCAGGCAGTTTGAGCTGTTTCCTAGCTTAGAGTCTTATCAATCAAACCTAACACACTTTCTTGTTTTATGACTGCTGTATTAGGGTTCTCCAGAGAAACAGAACCAATAGGATACATCTCTCTCTTGAAAGATTCAGTATAAGGAATTTGCTCTGTGATTATGAAGGCTGAGGAATCCCATGATTTGCCCTTTGCAAACTGGAGACCCAGGAAAGTTGGTGTTGGAGATCAAAGGCCTGAGAGCAGAGAGCTGATGGTGTAGATGCCAGTCCAAGTCTGAAGGTCTGAGAACCAGGAGTGCTGAGGGCATGAGATCCATAGCCCAGCTCAAGATAGAATTCAAAGAGTGAATTCAATCTTCCTCTGCCACTTTGTTCTATCTAGACCCTGAATGGATTGGATGATGCTCGTCCACAATGAACCCACATCTACTTTACTCAGTTCACCAATTCATAATGCTAATCTCTTCCAGAAACACCTTCACACACACTCCAATAAAATGTTTAGGTATCTAGGAATCCTGTATCTTAGCCAAGTTGACATGAAATTAACCATCACAATGATAATCAGCATATCAGTAATTACTTAGATTCACCTTACCATAGACAACAACCTATTGATGGCTACTGCCCGCTGCTGGGCTTCTATATGAGGCATTTCATTCTGAATTACTTGGTCTGTGATTCCATGAGGGAACTGGTGACATAATTCTATAATCCTAGAAACAAAGGTATTAATGTTACTCTTCATGGTTACCTGCTTCAAGAGACAGTGGGGGTAAAAATACAAGCAGAATAGTTTGAAATTGGGCCTTTTTCACATTTGGCAGACAATCTGGGTTTCTGTGATGGTTTTGGATTAAAGCATGTTAGAAATTGAAGATTATTTCTAAATACATGTTTACAGTATTATTGTTATTTAAGAAGACTATTTCTTTTCCTCACTAATATGAACTTTAAATCAGAGCAAAAATCTAATGAAATCACAGAAAAAATATTAAAGCTGACACTTCAATTTTCTCATATAATAAGTATGACAAAGTTAAGCCATAAACCTGCAAGCAGGAAGCAAATGCAGATGTTTCTGGTGGGAAGCCAAAATTTGTTATGACAATTCCCCATAATGGGGGCCTGTTATGGGAATCATACCTACCAAACAAAAATAAGTCAACGTCTTCACCTAGTCAACAGGATCAACAAATGTATTATTCTTAAGTTTGAGAAAGTTGGGTCTTTCAAAACTACATGAGAATCTAAGAGTGGCAGTGCCTGGCAAAGAATATAAAAGTGGCAGAGGCCTTGGGTGCCCTAAAAGTCTTGCGTTCAATACTGCACTGAAACCACCTGGCTTAATGTTGCTTCGTAATCACCAACTGTGCCCTAACTCTGCCTAAACGTTTTGTCGTAGACGTTCCCTTACTGACATGAGCGATCCTGGATCAGAACATGCATTCAAGTGTTCTACGGGGAAGGAAAGTCGAGGATCTCCTCTCAAAGTATTGATCACGTCAAAGTTGAAAGGAAGCGCATCATCACGACTTCCCAAAAAGCGGGAGTCCCAAGCCGGAGCCTCCCTGGTTTACCTGTTTTCTATTTCGACCGGCCTCCCTGGTTTACCTGTTTTCTATTTCGACCGGATCCGCGTCGGGCGGCTGCACCTTCACCTTCACCTCCGCCATGAGGGCCCAGTTCCTGACGTCTGCGGGAAAAGACGCACTGAGCAGCCCACTAGCAAGCCGGAGAACCCGGGGAATCAGTAGAGGAAAGCGCTCGGCCAAGAGCAAGGGGCCTTCTTCCTCGTGTCGCAGCCGGTCCTTCCTTGCCTTTCGGTGGGAGGTGGCCAAGCCGCGCCTGCTCCTTCCTACTTATAGGCGCCGTTACAGGTTCTTATTCTTGTTTTCCAGAATGTCAATGCCCATAGGACGCACAAGCTTGTTTCCTTCATTCTGAGTTGGGAAGCCAACTTTTAGCACTTTGCAACTCTGTGAAGGAATATTCTTAGATGCCTATTGGAAAGCCCTGGGAAAGGACCTCCAGGCGGGTACCAGTCTCCCTGCGGCGAGGCAGGGGCGGGGCTAGTTGCTAAGATGCTGCGTTTCCGCTAATCATCTGCCCTGCTCCCAGTGGGCGGGGCGCGGCTCGCAGCGTCTGTGGTAACCCGGGAGGCTGCTAAGGAGTACGCAAAAGACGGTGAGAAGCCGGCGATCGGGTTGGGGGCGGTAGAGATGCATTAGGGGTCTCGATCGGTTAGAGGAAGAGGAGAGCGGTTAGAGGAGAAGAAAAGCTTCCCTTACTCCAGCGGAAAGGATGTAAGTGTCCTTGGAAGCCCGTGATGGGCGGGGACGACCAAACGGGATTCCAGATCCGGGTTGCGAGGCGGGGCGGTCCAAGTTGGGAGAATTGAGGGGTCTGGGAATCCCGTTGACTGTACGCTGCCATTGGGCCTGATGGATCCGCCCTTTTCTTGATTCCCGTCGCATGGGGTTCCCGGCCACCTCAGCCTCCTAAGGGCAGCTGCTAGTTGACGCTCGCCAATTACTCCCTCTCCTACATATTTTTATTTAGAATGAATTTTTCAACTATTTTATCTGCCTTTCACTTGAATGGAAATGCGGCTATGGGCAAGTCTCAAGTCAGCCACACTCCTGTAGGAGCTTTTGCGGTGCTGTCAGTATCTGTAGCTTATATTCTTGACCCTCGATTCGAAACTATCCAACAAGGCATTAAGCTCATCCCTTAAATTTATTTACCCCACTTTCGAGAATACAGTCTGTACAAAGCTCAAACTGCAGGGATGTTCAGATCAGCATTATTGTAACTGCAACAGGCAAAACTAAAAAGAAACTAGAAATAGACTAAATGCTCAGCCACAAATGGATAAATAAGTACACGGAAAATTGTAAAGACTACAGGGAGAATACAAGAAGTAGACTATAAAAATGGAATGAATATGTATATTATAACTGAGTAAAATCTATGGATTCTTAATGAAATTTGATAAAGGCAATATAGAGATGTAAATGGTTGTTGTGTTAAGGTGAGCATTTTCCCCCCTGAAACCTTCTGTGCATTAAATAAACATTATGACAGCTTTCCTCCCAACCCTCATCTCCAAAAAGACCAGTAAGGCTTTCATATTGGTAGTTAATTTATAAATACCAAGATTTATAAATACAGGAGATGGAATGGGAGGCTTGTGTTTATTGGTCACTGTTTATCTTCTTGCAAACTTCCTTTCCACTGGGAAGTAGTACTCTGCAGTCCTTCTAAAGTGTCTTTGCAGCTTTTAAATTCTAGAACTGCCATGGTGACAGTGGCAAGGCTGTGAACCTGGAGCTTTCCCAAAACAGTTAGTTCTAATTAACATTTTGTGGTACACACAGATGTGGTACACAGGGTTACCTCTGTTCCCCTTGTATGATGACTTTCCCTGAAACTAAGAGAGATGACACACACCAGAGGCAGGAAAAGGCATAATGATTTAGAGAGAACTCAAGTCAGAGAATTAGTGATAGTCTCTCTTTTGCCTTACTCATTGAATTTGCTCTTTTAAAGTAACTTCTTTCCCCCATCTCATTCATTGACACTCCTTTCTCAAAGTGAGGTATTTAGATAATCGAAACCCCACACAAGATGTCAACAGCAAATACAGCTGAAATGTAATAATTATTTCCATTCAAGAGGGAATAATATTTATAGTGCCATATTAGCAGTATTCTTTCATTTTTACTAGTTTGCTGCATTTAAATTAAGTGCGGCTCTTCAGCTTTTGTGTACAGCTATAAGCACACATTGGAATTTTTGTTTTTTTTAATATAAGGAGAGAAGATGACTGCTGGTTCAGTGTGTGTCCCTCAGATCATACCACTACGAGTGCCTCAGCCTGGAAAAGCTAACCATGAAATTGATAACAATACGCTTTTGGAAATGAAATCAGGTAAGAATCGCATATATTCGAAATTGTTTAAAATATCATTGTCATATTTCTTGTGTTTATCTGCTTGCTGATTTATCTCTTTGCATGCTTTCTTACTCTTTGCTCTGCTCTTTGGGAAATTTGTAAAACTTCTAAAATTTGAAAGAGTGCTGTCCATTGATGGTTTATAGAGTGGTATACATTTAGATGAAAATGGTTCGCTTTGGCCACCCTTTATTTGTATAGTTTCAGCAATATCTTGACTTACCTTAGCCAAGGTAAGATGTCCTGGGGCTGGCTGAATGTGGTGGTTCATACCTGTAATCCCAGCACTTAGGCAGGCAAGGCAGGCGGATCACCTGAGGTCAGGAGTTCAAGACCAGCCTGGCCAACATGGCAAAACTCCAACTCTACTAAAAATACAAAAAATAGCCGGACGTGGTGGCGGACACCTGTAATCCCAGCAACTCAGATGGCTGAGGCAGGAGAATTGCATGAACCCAGGTGACAGAGGTTGCAGTGAGCCAATACCTTGGCAACAGTGAGACTCCACCTAAAAAAAAAAAAAAGTCCTGATACTTCACCAAACTTTTCCAATGTGCTCATTATTTAGCTGGTATAATAAATTTGACCTACTAATACAAGCTCTCTAGTCAGATAAATTGGAGACTTAATCTCTGCTTTGGCAACTTCTAGTGACCCTGGGTACATTACTTAGCCTTTTTGAGTCTCAGTTTCCTCAGTGTAAGGCAGGGATAATAATGTCTACTTTTTAGAGCCATTGTGAGGATTAAATGGGTTCGTGTATGTATGAGGTGCACCGGGTTTGGCATGTAGTAATGCCAGAATAAATCTCAACTGTAATTACAGAAATAAAGCAGTGTGGGCTGGCCATGGTGGCTCATGCCTGTAATCCCATCAGTTTGGGAGGCCAAATAGGGTGGATCACCTGAGGTCAGGAGTTTGAGACCAGCCTGACCAAAATGGTGAAACCCTGTCTTTACTAAAAATACAAAATTAGCCAGGCACGGTGGCCAATGCCTGTAATCCCAGGTACTCGGGAGACTGAGGCAGGAGAATTGCTTGAACCCAGGAGGTGGAAGTTGCAGTGAGCTGAGATCAAACCACTGCACTTCAGCCTGGGTGACAGAGCAAGACTCTGTCTCAAAAAAAAAAAAAAAAAAAAAAAAAAGAAAGAAAGCAGTGAATGTACATCCTGCTAATATTTATTCTTCAAATTCTTTTTTTTTTTTTTTTTTTTGAGATGAAGTCTCACTGTTGTTGGCCCAGGCTGGAGTGTAATGGCACAATCTTGGCTCATTGCAACCTCTGCCTCCCGGGTGCCAGCAATTCTTCTACCTCAAGCTCCCCAGTAGCTGAGATTACAGGCACCTACCACCTCGCCCAGCTAATTTTTATATTTTTAATAGAGAAGGGGTGTCACCACGTTGGCCAGGCTGGTCTGAAACTACTAACCTCAGGTGATCCACCCACCTTGGCCTCCCAGAGTGCCGGGATTACAGGTGAAAGCCATCGCACCTGGCCCAAATTCTTAAATATGTGTGTATATGTACACATACACATATATGCATATACATATACACATATATAATTAACATAAGGAAGAAAAGTTTTATAGGTAAAACATGGGAACAAATATTTGTATAAAAAGGACTTTGAAATTTCAATTATGTATTTGTTTTCATTTTTGTTTTTTTTTAACCAGTTATATATTTTAATAACTGAAATGTACACAAACTTTCTGCATCTATGGTATGCCTCTGTGCTGCTTAGACCAGGAGTGCCAACTAAGAATACTTATTATGATCTGTATAGATAATAATCTCCTTTAGCTTAAAAGTTGATACAATATTCTCACTCATAGGCGGGTGATGAAAAATGAGAACACGTGGGCACAGAAAGGGGAGTACTAAACACTGGGGTCTATTGGGGGGAAAAGGGGAGGGCCAGTGGGAGGGGGAGGTGGGGAGGGATAGCCTGGGGAGAAATGCGAAATGTGGGTGAAGGGGAGAAGCAAAGCAAAGCAAAGCACACTGCCATGTGCGTACCTACGCAACTGTCTTGCATGCTCTGCTCATGTACCCCAAAACCTAAAATCCAATAAAAAATTAAAAAAAAAAAAAGCTGATACAATTTTTTAAACTGTTAAACCAAATTAAACATTTTCATACATGTGCTCATAATTCTTAGGAAAACTAAAAAAAAAGGATAACACACTGTATGAGGAAGATTGTGGTCAAATAGATGCTTTCATGCATTACTGGTATCAGTGTAAATTGTTTAACCATCCACAGAAGGTAATTTGGAAATATATATATATATGTATGTATGTGTGTATGTATATTTTTTAGATGGAGTCTCTCGCTCTATTGCCAGGCTGGAGTGCAGTGGCACAATCTCGTCACATTGCAACCTCTGCCTCCGAGGTTCAAGTGATTCTCCTGCCTCAGCCTCCTGAGTAGCTGGGATTACAGGACATGCCACTGCACCCAGCCAATTTGGAAATATTAATCAAGATTACAAATGCTGGCCAGGCACGGTTTATCATACCTGTAATCCCAGCATTTTGGGAGGCCGAGGAGGGCAGATCACCTGAGGTTAGGAGTTTGAGATTACCCTGGTTCACATGGTTAAACCCCGTCTCTACTAAAAATACAAAAAATTAGCTGAGTGTGGTAGTGGGTGCCTATAATCCAAGCTACTCAGGAGGCTGAGGCTGGAGAAGCACTTTAACTCTGGAGGTAGAGGTTGTAGTGAGCTGAGATTGTGCCAATGCACTCCAGCCTGGGCAACAAGAGCAATACTCAGTATCAACAAACAAACAAACAAATAAATAAATAAGAACAAGATTACAAATGCATATATCTTTTGACTCAGCAGTACTAGTTCTACATATTTGTCTTGCCCATATATTTACAGAATTGTTTACAAAATTATTTATTACAGTGCTTATAATTGCAAAAGAAGCAAAGAGAAGGAAAAAAGAAGATAGTCTTAAAATCTATCTGTAGGGAATTGGTTAAATTATTGTTCATCTATATAAGAGAATGTGATGCAGCTATAACAAAGAATGAGGAAGCTCTTTTATTAAAAAAAATAATTGAAATTTATTTCCTAGGAAGCTCTTTATATACCAATATGAGACATGCTATTAAATGAAAAATGAAATGTGTGGAACAGGTTATAGTATGCCATCATTTGTGTCAAAAGAGAGGGGAAATAATAATATATAATAAATGCTTGTATGGATATAAAATGTTTCTTGAAAGGTACTGAAGATAGCATTGAGAGCCTGCGGACAGCTGGGGTCAAGGGTCGGGGAGACACCTTTTGACCTTTTGAGTCTTGAATCATGTTTCTATCAGCACCCTGTTGGAGAGGCAAAAAAGCACAGTGGTTCAAGAGCATGGGCTATGGATCCAACCTAGCATAAGTCAAACCACAACTCCTCTATTATTTAGCAACGTTATTAATCTCTCTAGGACTCAGTTACCTCATCTATAAAATGGGTGTAAAATAGGATCTACCTCACAGGATTGTACAGATGAAATGAGTTCATTCATGTAAAGCACAGTGCTGGTACAGAGAACTGCGTTATTCTTATTACTATTCATTTCCATTATGTAGATATGATAACCTATAGGTCAGTTATTTAAGGAGATTAACCCAATCTTACATCACACGCTGAAATCTTCAGTATTAAACTGACCCATAGGCATTATTGCTGCTTTGGTGTTAATTGTAGTTACCTTGTTTTGGATTTTTCAGACACCCCAGATGTCAACATATATTATACTCTGGATGGCAGCAAACCTGAATTTCTAAAGAGAGTTGGTTATGGTGAAAATACCACATTTAAGTATATAAAACCTATTACTCTGCCTGATGGAAAAATACAAGTTAAAGCTATTGCTGTCTCAAAGTAAGTTAAAAGCATGGTGATTAATTTATAATATAATAACATTATGTTCTAATTTTATTCATTTTTTTCTATCAGAATCAGTGTTGCATTAGAAGGACACGAATGAAATTTTATTTTAATTTCAGCATACATATGTAACATTTGTATTTTACTTGCCTTTCATTGTAAAGTGCAGAAATCATAAGTAAACAGCTCAATTTACTGATCTTTAAATATATGTAACACTTCATATGAAGTGTTACATATATTAATATTCATATATTTATGAAGTGTTACGTATATTTATGAAGTGTTACATATATTAATTCTGGTTTTATTTTAAATTCCACATTGGGGTTTCAGGAAGGAAGATCCTTTCCAGGGCTGGAGGCCTCTAAAGAGCTCCATCTGGCTCTGAAGAAAATGCTGTGTTTATGGAGTGGCTCTTTTATTCCCCAGCATGTAGCCTACAACTACTGCCATCATTCTTGATTTCATTTTATATTGACTTAATTGCCTTCGAAGCTGCTGTCATTTCAACTTGTTGGGCATTAGCTACCATACTTTCTTCTTTATCCTTTTTTTTCTTACTCAGTGACTTTTTCTCATTTTCAAATGTAGAAACATATTTAACTTGGAAACCTTCACCATGTGTTGTAGGAAAAAAATAACTGAAATGTTGGCAAGTCTGTGTGGCTGTGATATAGGAATTATTTTTCCAGCAATGCAGGTTTGGCCACATTTGGGGAACATTTTAAAGCCCCAAACCAAATACAGTACCTGGCTGGCCCAGGTACTTTAAAAAGACACCAGCCCTGCCCCGCACTGGCTGAGTTACTGCATGGCCTTTTGAGGAGAGCTACACATTCCACAGCAAATATGATCGCTTTGGCATCTGGAAATTAAAACAATCAAATAAAATGAAACAAACAGCACATTATTATTCTTTTTAAGTGGGTTCTGCAAATGGAGTATGTGGACGTTATTATTCTTTTAAAACATTAGAATGTGTGGCCTTTTTTCACTTGCCAAGCGATTTCTGTCAAGGTAAGTCAGTCATCTCAATTACTAAAAACTAAGAAGCTAAACACTGTGGTGGCCAAATGCTATAACACAGGCCTCCTTAGAAGCTGCAAGTAGTATTAAAACGAAGAAGCAATTTAATGACTGACTGTACAGTTTGAAGGAGCTAATAAGGCTTTCAAAAATGAGTAAAAAATAAGGTCATTCTTTATGCCTCTCACCATTCTGCTCTTTGCCCACTAAGTGTCTATTCTGAAAGGTACTGTTAGTGTTTCAGATGTGCTCAGCTTAGGGAAAATATTTATATAAAAAATTTCTGAGTTTTCAACTCAAAAGGTGAATGCCTTAGCTGGTTCCCCAAGGAAGGGTCTGCTGGGGTGAAAAAACAACCTGGATGTTAGAGGGGTGGAACAGGTGGATAAGAGCCAGGCTTCTACTGATGTGACCTCACGTGGGGTTGTAAGTGTGCATTCAGGGAGCCTCGCGACCATCCAGGATCCAAGTGATCCTTGGATGGAGAAGCTTGTGATGTCTGGGAAGTGTGCTAACAGGAAGGACAACTGGATCTTGGATGACAGGCCTGGGGCCAAAGGTGAACATGCAGACGAGATGGATGCCAGGGTGAATGAGTTAAGCAAGTGGTTCATCTAAAAGATCATCTACATCTGTATCCATATTTATGAATCTGTGTAACATTAAACGGCATAGAAGTTTTAAGCTACCTTTCTAGAAGATGGAGAAAAAAACTCTCAGAAATACACAATTCATCTAAATAGTCACTACCTACTGGCAAGTGACAATATTTAGAAATAACATTCTCAGCTTTCTATTATCAGAAGACACTTGCATGTTCACTGGCTGGAATGACTCAAAGGTGGCTGAATTTCTTTTTTTTAATCCCTCTTTTTTAAAAAATAACAAAACCAGATTTACAGGTCCATATATCTACCCCTCTAAAATCCAGGGATACTTACTAAAGGTTCAAAAATTATAAGTAATATAAAAGATGAATGTGTAAGAAATCTGAGCAGTTGCTAAAGAAATGCTAATGAAACCAACAATATGAATTAAAGATCGGTATGAAAATCAGTAAGGGCAAAGCAGAAAAAGAACGCTGAAGAAAGAAAATAATTGAAAATATAAAAAGTATTGAGTCTGGGCAGATCAAATAGAAACACTGGCTGTGGGTAACCAGTGAGCCGTAATTACATAGAGAGGATAACATAGGAAAGGTAAGCTTTCAATGCAAGTGAGGGGGGTGAGAATTAGACATATCAAATAAATACGCCAAGCGTGGTCATGATGACATGGCAAAGGCTGGCTGGATATTTCTGAATATCTGTTTTTCCCTTCCATAGTAATAGGGCCCATGATTTTTAGCTAGGCACATGGTTGCCTAGAAGATATTTCCCAGTTGCAGCTAGTTAAAGATGTGTTGCCAGGCTGTAGCCAGTGGATATACATAGAAGTGATGTGTTCAACTTTAAGATTGCACCTTTAAAGAGAAAGGGTGGGCTTTGCTTCCAACTGGCTAGAATGTGGATGTGGTTGGCTAGTCAGGTTGGGCTATGAGGATAAATGCAATGTCCTAGAAATGATGGAGTAACAAGGTAGAAACTTGATATCGTGCTCTTGTCACCGTGACACCCCTATATCAGCTCTAGACTGCTTATCCCCTATTACTTCTGTCTTGTTTAAGCCTTTTTTGTTGTTGTTGTTGTTGTTGTTTGTTTGCTTGCTTTTTGAGACAAGGTCTTTCTGTTTTCATCCAGACTGGAGGGTAGTGGGGATCTTGGGTCACTGTACCTCTGGCTCCTGGGGTCAAGCCTCAGCCTCCTGAGTAGCTGGGATTACAGGTGTGCACCACCACAGCCCAGCTAGTTTTTTGCATTTTCGGTAGAGATGGGGTTTGTTATGTTGTCCAGGCTGGTCTTGAACTCCTGGTCTCCACTGCCTTGGCCTCCCAAAGTGCTGGGATTACAGAAGTGAGCCACCATGCCCTGCCTTAAAGCCGCTGTTGTTTCGATTCTGTGTTACAACAGCCAAGCCTGTATCTTGATAGACAAGGGACAAGTATCAAGCAAATATCTATAGAGAACATGATCAAGAGTACAGGTCATCAACAAGGCTGACAATATCAAGTGTCAGCAAGTATGTAGAGAAACTGAAACCCTCAGCTAATGCTGCTGGGAATTTAAAATGGAACAGCCACAGTTTGGCAGTTTCTAAAAATTAAGCACATACCTTCCATACAACCCAGAAATTCCAATCCTTGGGATCTATTGAAGAGAAATGAAAACATGTCCACATAAAGACTTATATGTGAATATTCGTAGCAGCATTATCCATAATAGCCCAAACCCAGAAATAATCCAAATGACCATCAACTGCGGAATGGACATAAAAATTATGGTATATCCATAAAATGGAATACTACACAACAATAACAGTAAATGAGTTACAAAAACATGGATGAGCCTCAGAATAAAGAGATAAAAGGCCGGGTGTGGTGGCTCACACCTGTAATCCCAGCACTTTGGGAGGCTGAGGTGGGTGGATCACCTGATGTTAGGAGTTCGAGACCAGTCTGGCCAACATGGTGGAACCCCATCACTATTAAAAATACAAAAAATTAGACGGGCATTGTGGCACACACCTGTAGTCCTGGCTACTTGGGAGGCTGAGGCAGGAAAATTGCTTGAACGTGGGAGGCGGAGGTTGCAGTGAGCCGAGATCGTGCCATTGCCCTCCAGCCTGGGCAACAAAGTGAGACTTTGTCTCATAAAAAAAAAAAAAAGAGATAAATAAAAAATCCAGACACATAAGATGACTACATATGTATGATTACATTTATATTAAATTTCTAGAAAAGACAAAACTATAGAGATAGGAAATAGATCAGTGGTTGCCTCGGATAGGAGGTGGCAGGAAGGAGTGACTGCACATAGGCACAGCGGAATTCTTTTGAATGATGGAGATGTCCTAAGCATTTCTACTGTGGTGATATTCTCAGTTATATTCGTTGACTGAATCCCATTGAACCAGTTACTTAAAACAGATGAATTTTATGCCGTGTAAATTATACCTCAATAAAGCTGTTAAAAAATGGAGTATAGGTGAGCAAGTGGTACTGAAATAAAATCACCACTAGTTTTTAGTCACAGGCACTGCTACGTTGTCTCTTCATTAAACTCTTACTGCATCAAAGACCACGATAAATTGTGAAATATTATGAATAAATGCAAAACGTGATAGTATTTGACGTGGTAGATAGTCTTCAAAAATAGCTTCCAGTGAACCATGCCTCCCATTATTCACGCTCTTTTGTAGCCTTTCTGCTGGTGTTGTGACTTGCTTTTGACCAATAGAATGTTTCAGAAATGATGCCAAGGACTTCTGAGATCACAAGAAGTATTGTCGTTTCTGATTTGGTTTCTTGGGGCAAAAACACTGGTGGGAGTGGGTGGGGTAGCCACATACTAAGGAGGAAATCTGACTACCTGAGGCTTCTGTACTGTGAGGAAGCCCAAGCTAAGCACATGGGAGAGAATGGGAGGGACAGAGAGATGGAGACTGAGTGAGAGTGATAGGTGGCGAGCCCCTAGCTGTTCCAGTTACCCCAGCCCAGGTTTTGCATATTTGAGAGAAGTTGATTTGGACATCCAGCCCAGTTGAGTCTGCGGTTGATGCCAGCCCTTGCTGATGTCTGATGGCAGCCACATGGAAGAGCTCAAATGAGGCCTACCCAGTGGAGACCAGTGAACCACAGATTCATGTGTTAAGGCACTACTTTGGGGTGGTTTGTTACACAGCAGTCAGTAACCCAAAAGGAAGGAGGTAAGGAAAGAATATAGAAATTGTATTTGATTTCTTCAATTTGAAATATAATAAACTTAGCAGCTAGACTAAGGTACTTTAATAAAATATCTTCAGTGTTAGCCACTTTTTTTGAATCTTTGTGTAACACGGACTTTTTTTTTTTTTGATAATTTTCAGAGACTGCCGACAGAGTGGCATTGTGACAAAGGTGTTTCAGGTAGACTATGAACCACCAAATGTAGTCTCTCCTGAAGACAATGTTGAAAATGTTCTCAAAGATTCTTCAAAACAGGCAAGTTGTCTCACTATAATCCATTCAGATTGTCACTGTATTTTTGATTCCTCTTTTCTCAGTGGGCACATCTTGCCTTTTATTACCTTACCTCTGCTCACTGTCAGGTCCTTATAACTGAAGTCAGTGTTAACCACTGCCAAGCACCTTCACTGATTTCCCAGCTTTTCGTCAGTCTCCTATCCACCCTGAAGATGAGACTTCCTGCTAACCATTGTGAATGTGTCTTCACTGTCTTCAGTGGCTCTCTCCTACCTACTGAAGAAAGCAGAAACCTTTAGCCTTCCATCCAAGGCGTCAGTTTCTGCCCTCGGTTGGCCTTTCCTGCTTTGTCTGCGAACCCCCAACATATACTCCACCCAAACTGAACTGTGTGTGCTGTGCCCTATCACTGCTATCCTGGCACCCAGGCCTTCTTTTACAAACTGCTTTGAGCTTGTGATTACTTTGTTCCTTGTCTGTCTTGCCTATGCATTATATGCTCCAAGGTGGCATGGTTGCTGTACTCATTGCCTTGCACAGGGGCAGGCAGGAGAGGGTGGCGAGTGTGTATTTGTTGAATAGATGCATTGGGTAAGTAAAAGTCCTCAGTGGGCATAGAATTATTTTATGTTGAAAGCTTCATTCCCAAATATCTGCAAAGCCTTCTCAATGTGAAGATTCAGTTAGATCCATCTGAGAAGGATGTGTGAAGCTTAAGTCACTGGGTGTGAACATTAGTGAGATAGATTCAAGGAGCTGGGCCAGAGGATGGACTAGCCTGCAGTAAGGCAGCCAGCCCAGTGGTCTTGGTCACAGGGATGTTGTTGGGAGTGACAGAGGAAGTTTACAGAAATTTCACTTAAGCTTGACCATGAACCTGAGGTTAGAGAGGAAGTTTTGGGACCAAAGCAGTGGATGGAGGCATGGGTGGGACCCAAGTGTGATCAAGGCGGGGGTCTACACAGGGCAGGGGCTGAGCCCACATATATCAGCAGGTGCTTAGGTTTGAATCAGATATGAGGGACCAAGTCAATGGAGAAAGTCCAGAGAGAAGAGGGTTTAAGGACTATGTGTGGGCAGGTGATGTACAGAAGTCTGATTTTGGTCTGACCCTACTCTGCCTTTGCCCTCTGGACTTGGTGGTCCCTCTGTTGTTACCCGGACTCCCAGGATTGTCACATCCTGCCTGCATGTGCTGCTCCCCACCTGCTGTTTTGGCTGCTTCACCTGGTGAGGCCTACATCCAGACGTGATGGTGCTGTTAACCAAGCAGCCCCGCCCAGATACAAAGTTACATGTTTCCAGAATAAAGTGAAACAGGGTTCACTTCTTTAAAAATGACCATAAACTCTTTCAAATAAGAAATGCACACCTTGACCCTGTCTCTACCATGCAGCTTTAATTCTCACATGAGAATAGTCTAGTGATTGATAGGCAATTTCTTCATTCCTAGGAATCCAAAAATGGGTTTGTTGGATCAAAACTAAAGAAGAAATATAAGAACTCTGAAAGTCAACGCAGCTGGAATGTTAACCTTAGAAAGTTTCCAGGTATAATGTGACAGAACAAATACAAGGTTTTATATACTGAACCCACCAAAGAGCATGTTTATTGCATGTTTTCTTGCCTGCAGAGGTGTTGGAATAAGAAACACTGGGGCAGGAAAGTGTGCTGTACTTTGAATTTTAATGCTGTCCTTGCTAACAGCTTTAGATGATGAAGGAGGATCAAGCAGTCCAACCAAGTCAGATTTCTTGACCCACTGCAGGGAGCCATGGGGGCATCTCACCAAACAGAGGAAAGGCTGGAGTTGTAGGGCCTGGGGGAAGGGTACAGTTTGGGTGAAATATAAATGAAAGCAGAGTTTTGATAGGCTTAAAGTGAAGCTAGTTTGGGTGTGAAGGGATCAGTATCAGGTATGGACTGGGAAGGGGACCCATGGTTCTGTTGCTGGAAACTACACCGATGCACCGGGAATACTATGTTCAGAAACGATTATCTCTGCTTCTCTATGTCAAAGTGGCTTAGATCCCCCAGGTAACAGTTGAATGTTTCGTTCTTATTGAGAATTTCAAACAGCAAAGTTTATGATAATCTGTGCTTTTAGAGAACAGGGTTTCTCAGTGAGAAAGAATCGTCATGGAAAGAGGGGGCTGTTAACAACATTTTGCAGCTGCAGTGTGTTATTAGGAGATACACTATTTCCAGCTAACCTTGCAACTGAATTGATCTGTCTGTTTTCTCAGCTTGATGTGGAATACTGGAGAATGCAGCAAGGAGGACTGTCTTCTCAGTCTGGGCTTATTTTTTCTTTCTCACTTCTAATACACTGAGTGTGTGGCAGGAGCTCTTTATTTAATTGTTACTTCTAGGGAAGCAAAGTGATGACATTGGTTCCTCATTAAAAGGTCTCTCACTATGAAGACATCTTTGTATGATTATATATAATTGCAGATGCTCAAAGAACTGTTTTGTAATATCATTGTAGACCTCCAGGTAGGTGAAAGAACTGACCCTAAAACTTTGAAACATCTTCGCTTCTCAGAGAGTCCACTGGAAATCCCAGCTTGTGGTGAAGGATCAGGTTCTAGACCACCCACCCGCCAGTCCCAGGTAACTTCTAAGGACAATCTTTAGAGTACTCAGATACCTCCTATATTTTTAATGCTTCCCATGAAATACTTTCAGACTGCCCCTTCCACTCTTCTGACCATCTGCCAGGCACTGTTCAGTGCTGGGAATACTGTGTTGGACAAGAAGAGTCCCTCTGTTCATGGCGTTTACATTTTATTTGGCTTGGGGACAAACAGATAATAAACAAGTAAATAAACAGAAAATTTTAAATGGTGGTAAGAGTCATCAAGAAGATAAAATGGTAATGAGATAGAGCAGTGGTTCTCAGAGGCAATCCCCAGACCTGTAGCATCAGCATCACGTGGGAACCTATTTGAAATGCACATTCTCAGGCCTGATGAGCAAGGTGGGAGATGAGGCAGGAGGTGGCTGGGGCCAGAGCCTCTGGAGCTGTGATTCTCAAACATGGCTGCACATTAGAATCACCTGAGGAGCTTCAAACCAATCCCCAAGGGTTAGCTTCAGAAATCCTGATTTAATTGGTCTGATATAGGGTTTGAGCATCATTTAAAAAATGAAACAAAACCCTAAATGATTCTAATGGTCAGTTATGGTTGGGAGTCCCAGATATTAGTCTGACCGTAACAAGTTTGGATTCTATTCTAATTGTAAAGGGAATCTATTTGGTAGGCAAGACATGATCCTATTTACACTTAAAAGTTTTCTGTTTGGCTACAGTATGGAGATTAGACCATAGAAGAGAAAAGAGAGAACATCATTTAGGAGGCTTTTGTTCCAGGTGAGAAATGATGGTTGCTTGGACCACGATTGTAGAGGTGGTCAGCATAGGAGGCGGGCTTGGCCGAGGCATCATATAGAAGGGTGGGAAGAGGAGGAACGAAGATTGCCTCTCAGGGTTTGTCCTGAGCATCTGGAGATGTTGGTGCCATTGACAAAGCTGGAAAAGATGAGAGAGGAGCAGGTATCCAAGGGCACATTAGGCATCCAAGTTGAGGTGTTGAGTAGACTGTTGGATGTGCAAGTTCACACTAGGGAGAGGTCAGGGCTGGAGATATGGACTTGGAAATATGGAAATATTCAATATGTTGATGGTATTTGAAGCTTAGGTCTGAATGAGATCACTAGTCAAGGCTGTACAGAAAATGAAGGGAAGGAAAATGAAGAAAGTCCTCAGCTTAAAGGAGGAAGAGCCTGAAAGTAGAAAGGAAGTCAAAAGAATATGTTATCATGGAAACCAAGCGATGGAAGAATTTCAAGGCGAAGGTCATCTATGTCATATGTTACTGAAGGTTCTAATTAGATAAAGACAGACAATTCCCGTTGGATTTGACAAGATAGAGGTGACTTATAACCTTAACAAAAGGCATATCAGTGCAATCTTACTACTATAACACAAGAAAGATGTTCTTATACTAGTTGCCTACTACTACTATTATAGTGCTTTGATTTTTTCAATGTTTATAAAATCCAGTTTGGACTTTTGGCAGCTAAGGGCAACCCAGGAGCCCTTGTTTTCTTCCTATTTGAGTCCCAAGTTTAATGTACCTGTAGTTACATTTTCTATATAACCACAACTGCTTCTTGTGTGCCCATGATTCCATGGCTGCTCACATTTACCATCAAGTATAAAGGAGGTAAAAAGCATGGTTTCCAAACCCAGCTGCATATCAGAATCACCCAGGGAAAATTTTAAATATGTATCAAGTCCCGGATATGCTCCCTGTAATTCTCCTAGGTAGTCTGAATCCATTAGCCTGGGATGGAGTCCACAGATGGCTTTGCCCATCAGCCAGACTGAGAATCACTGGCCTCGAAGACCAATTATCCTTATCCCAAGGTTAAGCTCTTTCCTTTACTTCTAGACTCTTATGCCAAGGTGTAACTCAACTTGACCTCCTAGGCTCTTCCATCTACCCATTCACTATATTTTTTGGAGAACCACAAAGCCCAGGCCAGAGGACCCAACCTGGGAAGGCCTGCTTGCAAGGCCCACTAACCAAAGGGCAGCCACCCCTTCATAGAAGATTGCCTCTCCCAGTCTTCTGGAAAGAATGGTTCTCTGGTTATCAAATGGGCTGAAGAGCACACTCAGATCCTGTGGGCAGTGCACACTGACATAACCCAAATACTGCTTCAGAGGTAAAATATATCATTTTGAAGAATGAATGGTCTATGATAAAACACAGGAGCTATTTTAGAGAAGCAGTCTCATGTGGCTGTAGTTATTTGCAGTGTGCCTAGAAATACTTTCTTTGTGAATGAATATTTGGATTAACTTGCCCACTTAGTTGTTTGAGTTGTTGATTACAAGGGAAAGATAAAATAATATTTAAAGATTCCAAAATTTAAAATCCTCCAAAACTGGGAACAGCAGGGCAAAGACAAAGTTTAGGGAATTTGACTAGAGTTCAGAAAGCCAGGAGGGCCGAGAGAAGATGACAACACTCTTTTCTTCCACTCTTTTTCCTCATATTGGTAAGAGAGTCTTCTCAGTATTTGAGCTGAATCCCATCTGAAGCATACTTCACCAGATACCCTCATTAATGACACTGGTGGGTATTACCACATTTCAGCAACCTCAGGGAGACAAAATGTTTCTGAGCTTAGCATCTGGCCTGAGGGAACCTGCAGGGGTCAGGCAGCAGAGTAAATGCATGATGCAGCCTGGGTGGAGGATAAATGACAACTGACACCTGGCCATACCATAGGGGCATGAGAGTTGCAGGTTCTCTGACAATGTGAAATACTCCAGCCAGTTAAAGGAATCACTCTACCCAGCCCCAGCCAACCAATAGCAAGAAGGTCTGAAGGCTCAGTATTGCTACATCCAATGAATTTGCATGAGAAACCAGAAGCCTACATCTTTATGTGTAATAACAATTTAAAGTTTTGACAATTAGTTCAAATCTTGAAACACTATGGAAGCCAATGCCAAATAAAACTTCATGGCCGGCCAGATTTGGCTAATAGACTACCACTTTGAGACTTCTGGTCTAGGTCATGTTACTTATTTATTTATTTATTTATTTATTTATTTATTTATTTATTTTTCTTTTTGTAGAGATGGGGATTCACTATGTTGCCCAGACTGTTTTTGAACTCCTGGCCTCAAGTGATCCTCCTGCCTCAGCCTCCCAAAGTATTGGGATTACAAACGTGAGCCACTACACCCAGCCGAGGCCATGTTAGATGTGGCACAAAAGCAATGAAAAACCTCTGACTGCTCCCTATTGCCTACAGGATAAAGTCTGAAGTCCTACTGAGCACATAGACATTACAGTAGAGTAGGAGTCTAGGGGGCTCAGGTAGGCTTGAGTTCAGTACATGTACTATTAACGTGAACTTGAGCAAGGGACTCAATCTTTCTGAGCCTCAGCATCCTCATCTCAAAGGGGAGGATTATATGAGCCTCTTGATATGCCCGGAGATGAACATAATATCATTTCCCTGGAATTGGTGCCAAAATGAGTGACTGAGGAAATAAATCACGAGGAAACAGCAGACAAAAGCAAACTGAAGGAGATTCTATGAACTAACTGGTCTATTACTCTTCAAAAACGTCAAGATTGGCTGGAAACTGTGGCTCATGCCTGAAATCCCTGTGCTATGGGAGACCAAGGTGGGGAGATTGCTTAAGGCCAGGAGTTTGAGACCAGCCCTGGGCAATATAGTGAGACCCTGTCTCAACAAAAAATAAATTAGCCATGAGTGGTGGCACATACCTGTAGTACTAGCTGCCCTGGATACTGAGGTGGGAGGATTTTTTGAGCCCAGGAATTCAAGGTTACAGTAAGCTATGATTGTGACACTGCACTCCAGTCTGGGTGACAGAAAAAGACTCTGACTCGGAATTTTTTTAAAAGTAAAAATAAAATATATATATATATATATATATATGATATATAAAAAATATATATATATGATATATAAAATATATATAAAATATATATATATATGATATATAAAATATATATAATCTTAAAACAGTAACTATTCCAGATTAGAGGTGATAAAAGGGACATGGCAACTAAATGCAAGTGTGACATAGTACTGGATCAGGAAAAAATACGTAACTGTAAAGGACATCATTGGCACAACTGATGAGGTCTGAAGAAAGACCTGTGACTGAGGTAGTATTATAGTATTGTATCACTATTACCTTTTCTGATTTTGAACACTGATGCAAGAGGAAAACCTCGTTCTAAAGAAATGCACTCAATTATTTAGGGCAAAAGGACAGCATGACTGCAGCTTACTTGTTCTCACATGATTCAGAGAGAGAAAATCAAGGCAAATGGGGCAAAATGTTAACATAAATAATTGGCTGAGCTGGATATACAGGAGCTACTTGTACTATCCTGGCCACTTTTCTGGAAATTTGAAATTACAGTGTATCAAAATGAAATGTTACAAACATAGAATAAGATGCAAATATTACCCACCTCCTAGGGTCTTTGTGACATGTCAAGGAGACAATGGCTATGAAATGCCAGGCACTTTTGACCATATCAGACCCTCTAAGTTTTAGCTTCTCCCCTTCCTGTTCCTTCTCCAGCCTTTCTGTCCTGTTCTCCTACCATTCGGGCCCCTAGATCACAACAAGGCACCTGAGTGTCAGGATACGCCACTCCCCTGCCACTGTGCTTTTGCCTGTGGATCTCCTCTGTTTGGAATTCCCTTTGTCCTCTGTTCACTTGACACACTTTTCTTTACTCTGCCAGGCCCTGAGATGTTACTACCTCTGAGAAGCGCTTCTCTCCTGGTGCAAATGAATGTGATTAGTCCCTCCTTTAGGTTCCCATGGGAGTCAACACAAAGATGTTCTCCTCCTGAACACATTGTGTTTCAGTTATTCTGTGTGTCTGCGAGTTCAGCTTTTTATGGGGCAGGGACCATGTAGTATTTATTTTTGACCTTTTCTGTGCACCAAGCACAGTACCTGATACAAAGTGGATTATATCAAACATGTATTGAAGGGAGTTAAATGTTTCTGGATAACTGTAGATGCTTGATGCACATGTTTTTATAGGTGAGTCCTTTGGTTTCCTGGAGATACAATTTTTGAGAAAAATGGATACTGAAGTTTATTTATTTATTTATTTATCCAAGACAGGGTCTCACTCTCACTGAGACTGGAGTGCAGTGATGGAATTCAGTTCACCGCAGCCTCTGCTTCCTGGGTTCAAGAGATTTTCCTGCTTCAGCCTTCTGAGTAGCTGGGATTATAGGCACCTACCACCACAGCAGGCTAATTTTTTTTGTATTTTTAGTAGAGATGGGTTTACATTCTAAAATCTGGTCTTTCTGGTAAACTCAGGTATTTTTTATCGTAAACTCTAATTTTTAATAAAATATATGTAAATGATTATGAATAGCACTTTAAATAATTTATAAATGTTAGATACTAGAGTAATAATTACATTACTCCTCATAATGATTTTTTATTTTTATAGATTAAGGGGATGGAGGTTTGTTACACATGTTGTGTAATGGTGAGGTTTGGGCTTCTAGGGTACCCTTCACCCAAATAATGAACACTGCACCCAACGGGCAGCTTTGCAACCCTCACCTTTGCCCACCCTTTCCACTTTTAGAGTCTACAGTATCTATTACTCCTTTTTGTGTGTCTATGTGTATTCACCCATAATGATTTGTAATGGACTTTTACTATACCATAGCCTTTACCATGTTATTTTGACTGTGTATTTCTCTATATATCCCTATATTCTTACTTTTAGTCTCCCGGTTTTGCACATGTAAGTGGCCAGAAGTGTTTGACAAGCACGGAGGTAATGAGAATTCAAAGGGAGACAGACTTCCTCAAGTAAGTGTCACATTCTCTTTACTCTGTCTTAAATCCTACAAAGATACATTGTGGTCAAAGAGAATTTAAAGATAGGACATTTTTGCCCACCTCCAACTTTTTTTTTTTAACTGCATTTTAGGTTTAGGGGTACATGTGCAGAACATGCAAGACAGTTGCATAGGTACACACATGGCAGTGTGTTTTGCTGCCTTCCTCCCCTTCACCCACATTTGGCATTTCTCCCCAGGCTATCCCTCCCCACCTCCCCCTCCCACTGGCCCTCCCCTTTTCCCCCCAATAGACCCCAGTGTTTAGTACTCCCTTCCCTGTGTCCATGTGTTCTCATTTTTCATCACCCGCCTATGAGTGAGAATATGTGGTGTTTCATTTTCTGTTCTTGTGTCAGTTTGCTGAGAATGATGTTCTCCAGATTCATCCATGTCCCTACAAAGGAGACAAACTCATCATTTTTGATTGCTGCATAATATTCCATGGTGTATATGTGCCACATTTTCCCAATCCAGTCTGTCATTGATGGGCATTTGGGTTGATTCCAGGTCTTTGCTATTGTAAACTGTGCTGCAATGAACATTCGTGTGCATGTGTCCTTATAGTAGAATGATTTATAGTCCTTTGGATATATACACAGTAATGGGATTGCTGGGTCAAATGGAATTTCTATTTCTAAGGCCTTGAGGAATCGCCACACTGTCTTCCACAATGGTTGAACTAATTTACACTCCCACCAGCAGTGTAAAAGTGTTCCTATTTCTCCACATCCTCTCCAGCATCTGTTGTCTCCAGATTTTTTTTTTTTTAATTTTTTATTGGATTTTAGGTTTTGGGGTACATGAGCAGAGCATGCAAGACAGTTGCGTTGGAACACACATGGCAGTGTGCTTTTCTTTCCTTCTCCCCTTCACCCACATTTGGCATTTCTCCCCAGGCTATCCCTCCCCACCTCCCCCTCCCACTGGCCCTCCCCCTTTCCCCCCAATAGACCCCAGTGTTTAGTACTCCCCTTTCTGTGTCCATGTGTTCTCATTTTTCATCACCCACCTATGAGTGAGAATATGCGGTGTTTCATTTTCTGTTCTTGTGTCAGTTTGCTGAGGATGACGTTCTCCAGATTCATCCATGTCCCTACAAACGACACAAACTCATCATTTCTGATTGCTGCATAATATTCCATGGTGTATATGTGCCACATTTTTCCAATCCAGTCTATTATCAATGGGCATTTTGGTTGATTCCAGGTCTTTGCTATTGTAAACAGTGCTGCAATGAACATTCGTGTACATGTGTCCTTATAGTAGAACGATTTATAGTCTTTTGGATAGATACCCAGTAATGGGATTGCTGGGTCAAATGGAATTTCTATTTCTAAGGCCTTGAGGAATCGCCGCACTGTATTCCACAATGGTTGAACTAATTTACACTCCCACCAACAGTGTAACAGTGTTCCTTTTTCTCCACATCCTCTCCAGCATCTGTTGTCTCCAGATTTTTTAATGATCGCCATTCTAACTGGCGTGAGATGGTATCTCAATGTGGTTTTGATTTGCATCTCTCTGATGACCAGTGATGATAAGCATTTTTTCATAAGTTTGTTGGCCTCATGTATATCTTCTTTTGTAAAGTGTCTGTTCATATCCTTTGCCCATTTTTGAATGGTCTTGTTTGTTTTTTTCCTGTAAATCTGTTTGAGTTCTTTGTAAATTCTGGATATCAGCCCTTTGTCAGATGGGTAAACTGCAAAAATTTTTCCCATTCTGTTGGTTGCCGATTCACTCTAGTGACTGTTTCTTTTGCCATGCAGAAGCTGTGGAGTTTGATTAGGTCCCATTTGTCTATTTTGGCTTTTGTTGCCAATGCTTTTGGTGTTTTGTTCATGAAGTCCTTGCCTACTCCTATGTCCTAGATGGTTTTGCCTAGATTTTCTTCTAGGATTTTTATCGTCCCAGGTCTTGTGTTTAAATCTTTAATCCATCTGGAGTTAATTTTGGTGTAAGGTGTCAGGAAGGGGTCCAGTTTCTGCTTTCTGCACATGGCTAGCCAGTTTTCCCAACACCATTTATTAAACAGGGAATCCTTTCCCCATTGCTTGTTTTTGTCAGGTTTATCAAAGTTTGTATGGTTGTAGATATGTTGTGTTGCCTCCGATGCCTCTGTTTTGTTCCATTGGTCTATATCTCTGATTTGGTGCCAGTACCATGCTGTTTTGATTACTGTAGCCTTGTAGTATAGTTTGAAGTCCAGTAGTGTGATGCCCCTGCTGTGTTATTTTTGCTTAGAATTGACTTGGCTATGCAGGCTCTTTTGGTTCCATATGAAGTTCATGGTGGTTTTTTCCAGTTCTGTGAAGAAAGTCAATGGTAGCTTGATGGGGATAGTGTTGATTCTGTAAATTACTTTGGGCAGTATAGCCATTTTCACAATATTGATTCTTCCTAACCATGAACATGGAATATTTCTCCATCTGTTTGTGTCCTCTTTTATTTCGTTGAGCAGTGGTTTGTAGTTTTCCTTGCAGAGGTCCCTTACGTTCCTTGTAAGTTGTATTCCTAGATATTTGATTCTTTTTGTAGCAATTGTGAATGGCAGTTCGTTCTTGATTTGGCTCTCTTTAAGTCTGTTATTGGTGTATAGGAATGCTTGTCATTTTTGCACATTGATTTTATATCCTGAGACTTTGCTGAAGTTGCTTATCAGTTTCAGGAGTTTTTGGGCTAAGGCGATGGGGTCTTCTAGATATATTATCATGTCGTCTGGAAATAGAGACAAGTTGGCTTCCACCTTTCCTATTTGAATACCCTTTATTTCTTTTTCTTGCCTGATTGCTCTGACTAGAACTTCCAGTACTATATTGAAAAGGAGTGGTGAAAGAGGGCATCCTTGTCTAGTGCCAGATTTCAAAGGGAATGCTTCCAGTTTTTGCCCATTAAGTATGATATTGGCTGTTGGTTTTTCGTAAATAGCTTTTATTACTTTGAGATACGTTCCATCGATACCGAGTTTATTGAGGGTTTTTAGCATAAAGGGCTGTTGAATTTTGTCGAATGCCTTCTCTGCGTTGAGATAATCATGTGGTTTTTGTTTTTGGTTCTGTTTATGTGGTGAATTACGTTTATAGACTTGTGTATGTTGAACCAGCCTTGCATCCCCGGGATGAATCCTACTTGATCATGGTCCAACTTTTTAAATTAAATTTTTACAGCTATTAAAAAATGTAATTTTGGGAGGCCGAGGTAGGTGGATCACCTGAGGTTGGGAGTTTGAGACCAGTCTGACCAACATGGAGAAACCATGTCTCTACTAAAAATACAAAAATTAGCCAGGCTTTGTGGCGCTTGCCTGCAATCCCAGCTACTTGGGAGGCTGAGGCAGGAAAATCGCTTGTTCCCAGGAGACAGAGGTTACAGTGAGCTGAGATTGCACCATTGCACTCCAGCCTGGGCAACAAGAATGAAGCTACATCTCAAGAAAAAAAAGTATAATTGACATACAATAAACTGCGTGTGTATTTAAAGTTCATTTGACTCTGTTTGTATATATGTAACCATGACTCTGTCACAATCGAGAAAATGAGTAAGTTCATCCCCGCCAAAAATTTCCTACATTTCACCCTATTTGGTGACTCCTTCATCTCACCCCTCTTCATCACAGGCAATTACTGATCTGCTTCTTGTCACCGTAGCTTAACTTGCATGTGACTCCATATGACAATGAAGTGATTCCGTGTGTACTATTTTCTCCTGGGCTTCTTTCATTCAGCATAACTATTTTGAAAATCATTCATGTGGTTTCTTGTAACAAACATCTGTTTATTTTTATTGCTGAATAGTCAATTGTATGGATATACTACAATTTGTTTATCCATTCACTTATGGATGGGAATTTATTTCCAATTTTAAGCTATTACAGATGAAGTTGCTATGAACATTTGTACAGAAGTCATTGTATGTACAAAAGTAAGCCAGTCTCATAACCTGGTCTCTAAATAAGTAAATAAATTGATAAAAATTAACCAATATAATAAAATAATTTTTAAAAACCCCAAAGTCATTATATATACACGTTTTCATTTCCTTTGGGGCAAATACGTTGAAGAGGCATATGACAGGTATATGCTTTTTAAAAGAAACTGCCAAACTGCTTTCCAAAGTGATTGTTCCATTGTACATTCTCACCAGCAATATATGAGAATTCCATTTTCTCTGTATCCTTACTAACTTTTATTTTTATTTTGGGCATTCTAATGAGATTGGAACAGTATCTTATTGTGGTTTTTATTTGCATTTCCCTAGTGACTAATGATGCTGAGCCTCTTTTCATGTGTTTATTTCCATGCATGCATCTTTGGTGAAGTATCTGTTCAAACTTTTTGCCTTTAAAAAATGCATCATGCATCTCTTCTGATAGAGTTTTTTTTTAGAGGATTGCTGTTTGTCCTGACATAGAGTTATACATGTTCTCCTTCGTCAGATGTTATATGGGTACATTTTTGCAAATATTTTCTCCCAGTCTTTGGCTTTTCATTTTCTTAACAGTGTTTTCAAAGAGCTAAAGTTTTTTTTTTTAATATTGATGAAGTCCAATTTATTTGTTTTTTTTTTACATTTTATTTTTGGTTTATCATTATTCAGAAATCTTTCCCAAACCCAAGATGTATTTCATTGACTAAGCTTTCCTCCTTTCTTCTCTTCTAGAAGTTTTTTAGTTTCATCTCTTATACTTAGGTATGTGATCCATTTTTAGTTAATTTTTCATATGGCATAAGATAAGGGTTGAGGTTCATATTTTTGCATATGGATATTCAGTTATTCCAGTACAATTTTTTGAAAAAATGATCTTTCCTCATTGATTACTTTTGGAATATTTGAACATTAATTCATATTATTTGTATGGATCTAATTGTGGACTTTGTGTTCTTCTCCATCATTGTTTCTCTTTTTTATTTTTTCCATCATTGTTTCCCTACATTTTTTTTCACTACCACACTGCCTTGATTATTGCAGCTTTTTTTTTTTTTTTTTTTGAGATGAAGTCTTGCGCTGTTGCCCGGGCTGGAGTGCAATGGTGCGATCTCGGCTCACTCCTGGATTCACATGATTCTCCTGCCTCAAACTCCTGAGTAGCTGTGATTACAGGTGCACACCACCACACCCGGCTAATTTTTTGTATTTTTAGTAGAGATGGGATTTCACTATGTTGGCCAGACTGGTCTTGAACTCCTGAACTTGTGATCTGCCCACCTCGGCCTCCCAAAGTGCTGTGATTACAGGTGTGAGCCACCATGCCTGGCCAATTATTGCAGCTTTATAATAAATCTTAAAACCAAGTAAGTTGTAAATTCCTTAGCTTATTTGCTCCTATCAGAGGTATTTTGGTTATTCTAGGTCCTTTACATTTTCAAATTTAAATATCAGCTTTTCAATTTTTACAGAATATCTGCTGTGGTTTTAATTGAGATTGTATTGAATCTATGTATCAATTTAGGGAATATTCACGTATTAATGATATTGAGTTTTACAATGCATAAAAATGCTATATCTCATCGTTTATTTAGGTCTTCTTTAATTTCTTTGATTAATGTTTGTAGTTTTCAGTTCACAAGCTTTATACATATTTTGTTCTTATTTTTCACTTTTCAACCCTACCTTTTCACAAGCTTTACACATCTTTTGTCAAGTGTATCCTGCTGCAAGTGCTTATAAAATTTCACTGTCTCACAAAAAGACAAATACTGCATGATTCCACGTAAATGAAGTATCTAAAGTAATGAAACTCACAGAAAGTAGAATGGTAGTTGCCAGGGGCTGAGGGGAGGAGAAAACAGGCTGTTCAATGGGTATAGAGTTACATTCACGCAAGGTGAAAAAGTTCCAGAGATCTTTTTATAACAATGTGTGTGTAGTTAACAGTACTATACTGTACAATTAAAAATTGTTGAGAAGAATCTATATTATATATTATAACATATTATAGATAGATTTTTTGCTATGATAAAACATTTCAATTTCTATTCATTTCTGAAATATAAAATACACTTGATTTTCTTAGTGGCCTTATATATTGGAGTCTTATAAAATTCATTTATTCTGCTAGCTTTTTATGGATTCCATAGGATTATCTACGTAGGACATTGGACAGCCTGCAAGTGAAGAGTTATCGTTTTTCCTTTCCAATATGGATCCCTTTTCTTTTTGTTTTGACTTGTTGCCTTGGCTGTAATTTTGAATATAATAGTTTTGAATGGAAATGGTGAAAGTAGACACTTTTGTCTCATTCTTCTTTAAAATGATTTTTTAAATTTAATTTCATTTTGTTTTGACATGGAGTCTTGCTCTATTGCCCAGGCTGGAGTGCAATAGTGCAATCTCGGCTTGCTGCAACCTCCACCTCCCAGGTTCAAGTGATTTTCCTGCCTCAGCCTTCCAAAATAGCTGGGACTACAGGTGTGCACCACCACACCCAGCTAATTTTTGTATTTTTTTTTTCAGTAGAGATGGGGTTTCACCACATTGGCCAGGCTGGTCTTGAACTCTGACCTCAGGTGATCCGCCCACCTTAGTCTCCCAAAATGCTGGGATTATAAGTGTGAGCTGCCACACCCAGCCAGGTTGAGGTAATTTTAACCTGTTTCTAATTTTCTGAATGTTTTCTTTTTTAAGACTTCAGTCTTCCAAATTGTTGGGATTACAGGTATGAGCCAGTGTACATGGCTTGGTGTTTATGTCAAATTTATTTACTTTTGGTCAGAAGAGATATATGATTTGATTGGTAAATGTTCTATGTGCACTTTAAAAGAATGTGTATTCTGCCAGAGTAAGTGTACTATAACATCAGTTAGGTTAATTTAGTTGATGGTATTGTTTAATTCTTCTCTGTCTTTACTGATTTTCTCTTTATCATGTAATCAATTATTGAGAGAGTAATATTGAAATCTCTGACTGTAATTGTGAATTTGCCTATTTGTTCTTGCATTTCCATTTCTATCAGTTTCTTCTTCATGTACTTTGACACTCTGTTATTAAGTACATAAACATTTTGGATTCTTAGGTCCTCTTGCTGAGATGACTCTTTTGTCATTATAAAATAAACTTCTTTAACTCTGCTGATATTCTTTGCTCAGAAACCTACTTGTTCTGATGTTAATGTTGCCACTCCTTCTTTCTTTAGATGTGTGTGTGTTTGTGTGTGTGTGTGTCTATACCACCCTTGATTGAATCTATTTATGTCTCTATTTAAAGTTGAGTTCTTTTGAGCAGCTGAACAGCGTGTAGTTAGGTCTTTCTTTTTAAAAAACTGTATCTGACAATGCCTATGTTCTAATTGGGGTATTTAGAGTATATAGAGAGTATTCTTACTGATACCTCAGTAAATATGAATTTTTTCTACTTTGGGGTATAAGCATGAGCTTCCCAGCCCTGTATGAATCCTGAATATTGTTTTCTGTGTTCCCCTTTGGGATTTACTTTCTGACCTTGAGTGGTTTCTTCCATCATATGCACTCATCAGGTACCCAGATGAAGACTTGAGGGTGACCCTCTGCAAAACTCTGAGGCTCTCCCTGCAGCTCTTCTCTGGTATTCTTTCCTAAAAGCTCCAGTTACCTTGACCTTCTGAGATTCCCAGCTCTATGCCCTCAATTCACATCAGAGGAATGAGACAGTCAGATTGTACTTCATGAGCTTTGGGCATAGAAAAGAGGGAACTGTTATTGCCCTGGTGGGTGGGACCATGCTGGAGATGTGGTGGAACCTTGGTGCATTAGTGCATCAATGAAGGACTAAAGAGGGTAAGAATATGGGAAGTAAGCTCAACTCCAGTGGGATGTAAGCTCAATTCCAGTCTCCAGTGGAGACTAGCACGGGCAACCAGGCAATCCGGTGCACAGTATCTAAGCCTCCAAGTTGCCAAGGAGCAGATCAGACAGATAGGTCACAGGATCAGGAGCCCAACTTGTCTGGAAAGGCATGGCAGTAGCAGCGTACATACAGGGCAGCCTAATTCCAAGAATGCTCTCATTTTGGTGGATAGCCAGAACCCATTTAGGTGAATAGGAGCTAAATGATTGGTCTGGCTGCCTAAGAAATGGGGCCAGATGCTGTTGTCTTGAATTTGATATGGGGCAGGTCCTGAGGACACTAAGCTAAAGTGGGCAAAGAAAAAGGATGGGTTTAATGCACAAGCAAGATCTGTCCCTTAGACTGGGCTCAGTAGCAGGAAATCAGAAAAGCATAATATAAAAATTACTGGAATTCCCAGAGCTCACCCTTATACACATCAAATCCAATGTGACAGGACAGATAGAGCCCAACCAAGAAGTGGGGTCAGGGCTGCTGATGAACTTCTTGCCATGATCAGGAAGTTAAATGGACTTGGCCTATGTGGATAGAACACCAGAGTGTTCAGCTGTGAGGCCACTTTCTAATAAAATGACCTAGAGAAGTATTTCTAATAAAGTGACCTAGGGAAGTTCAAGATGGAACTTGAACTTGTTCCATAGCCATCGAGAGTGGTCTGCTTTTATTTTGTGTTTAAAACTGTTTGAACGCTTTTGGATTTTTACCAGTCTTCTTAATGTTGACCTACCAGAACATGGCCAACCAGGAACCTGTTTTGTTGTAGGTGTGCCCACTGCCTTGCCCCCCGCCCATCAGATCCCTTCGCTCGCTTCTGTCAAGAATGTGGCTCTCCTGTCCCACCCATATTTGGCTGCCGTCTCCCACCCCCGGAAGGAGCTCAGGTGAGCAGCGGAATTCTTGAAAACATCTTCCATTGGTTGATCTGACCTTTGTTTCAGCAGTAACAGAGTGCTTGGTACACATGCACCACACACGTAAATACTCGTGGAAGAATTTTTGGCTGGTTGAAATCTTACACACTCCTACTTAAGCATGGAAAAACTTATTTGCAATGCTGTGTCTTTTGTGTGGCCTGCCAGAAGCACAGACTCAAAAAAGATTTGAATCTTACTATTTTAATGAGGTATGCATGGATAAGTAAGTAAATGTTTTCTATTCATTCGATAGCTCTGCTCGTATCCTGTGTGTAATAAGGAAATATATTCTAGAAATTAATGAAGGGAAGTACCAATTACTTTATGTCTCTATATATCTATATATCCATAAGATGTATTATGCTGTCCAAAGAGTCTATAGACTGATCTGCGTATTTAAATGTAATAGCTTTGGCTGATTGAGGGTAGATGATAGTTGATATTATGTCACTACTAATTTTGGAGGTAGTTAAAAAACATATTTGGCTTGCTAAAAATTAAAACCTTTACCAAACATGTTCATTTTTTTAGCGCTTGAAATTTTGGGGATTTTTATTGGACTAGAAATAAAGAGATGAAAATGAAATAAAGGAATCTGTGATACTGAGTGAAGAATCACTGAGTGAAGAAAAAAGATAGTTACTAAGAAAAAGTCACTAATTGAGTTCAAAGTCCAAGGTTTTGATTTGAGTTATGCCTCAAGCAAGGGGTCAGGCATTAAGTGGTTATTATCTGTTTTAATATTCTTCTAATACATTGCTCAAGATTTTTGTAGAAGTTGATTTAATTTACTTCAGTGATATATTTTAAATTCCTTAAAGATTTTGCTAATATATAGTGGCAGAATCTTAGGAAATAAGTGTGGGAGGTGATTTTAAATAAAAACAGACTATAACACCAAATTGGGCCAAATTCATTGTGTGCAGCTTGTAGAGATTCTGGACTAAATGTGTTAGTGAAAGAAGACAATACAGAAAACAAAATATGAACGAGTCCCATTGGTTTGATTTTGCTCTATTTATATCAGTTGGTGCAATACCGAAATTATTTTCTACTTGCCTGGAAAGGGATTTTCACAGCCAACTTGGTTTTTACAAGGAGGAAAGGTTATCAGCGATTGTAAATATTTAGCATGATGAACTTTAAAACAACTAGATTGCCCCCCCCATTATATTTCTATTAGTGCAACAATAGGCTGTAATGTGTAACAGCTTTGTAATTTAAGCTAACAACCATTTATTGAGTGCTTACTGTGTCCTGCTTGAGCTGGGCTTCTGGGATTCAAAGGGGCAGGATCCTACTTCTAGACCCAAGACTCTCGGAGAGTCTCAGTAAAGAGATGCAGAGGTGCGTGCTCTCCTCTCTCTTTGCTCTTGTGATGTGAGCCAACCTTTAGGATACCTGGGTGTGCTGAACTCTGTGAGTTTCAGTGTTGTCTGTGGACACTTCTCAGTGAGTTCCACTGGCACCCCAGCCAGCTTTCCAGATAGTCTCTCGGGCATCCCAGTAGCAGCTTTCCAGCAAGTTCAGCAGCATCTCTATGTCTGACTTTGCACATGTTCTGCATGTTCCCTAGATGGGGAGTTCTGAATGAGTTCCACTGGATCCCAGTGGGCTGCTTTTTCCTTGCCAGCTCTGATATGTGTCACCTCAGTGAACTTCTCTGCCATCCAGTGGGTGACAGCCACACTCAATTCAATGAAGTCTGATTTCAGCCTCAGGTGTGGGGCAAAGTAAGTGCCTCTTCCAAATTTGATCCTCCTTGGGCTCTCTGTCTTAGCCATAGAGGTAGGGGATCTTCCCTGTGTTTGGAATTTCCGTATATTACCCATTAGTAGTTAAGCCCTGGCTACCAATTAATAATTATTTCTATGAACATTTCCTGTTCAAATTACTTGTGGTTTCTGCCTCCTGACTGGACTCTGACAGAATTGGTACTGGGATTGGTCCCAGGAAATAAACCTGTGCACAGGGGATTTTGGAAGTGGTTTGGTCTTTTCCTTCGCTTGGGAGCAGTACTGAGCTCCTTGCCAATGGGAAATGGGACACTGGTGATCCACAGCATGAGGGGACATCACAGTTAGTCACCCTGACACCTGCGGCTGATTGTGATGAAGTGCCAACTGAAGCAAGTGTCTTGAGTGGCCAAGTAGCTGCTGCATTTGACTCTATGACAGTGACAATGACCATGACTACAAAAACTGTGGAGGATGTATTCTCCTGAGTCCATGGGAGCATTCACAGAAAGAAAATGACAAGCTCAAGACCTTTAAGTCATGGTGCAGGAGCCAGAGATCTCCTATGACAGCTCAAAATAATCTATTTCTTATAGCTTCAGGGTTATATTGATGAAAATCAAACAGAAATTACATTGTGTATATTGGGAACTTAAAATGTCAGTTGCATTCACCTGATCACCACCACATTTCTTATGTGAAAGGCCATTAATTGGGAAGGAATGTGGTCCTGAAACTCAGATGGAGATGGCAGGTGGGACCCAGATGAAACTGACAGTCTTGTATCCTTGTCACTCTGTGCCTCCTGGCCAGTGGATGTAGTTTACTCTTATGTCTGAGGATGCCCTTCTGTCTGAGGATACCCCTGTCTGAGGATACCAGCCTTCATTTGCTTGAAATGTTTGTGATAATCTCACCTGGGCAAATGGCTTGAAAGGGGATGTTTATTCTCCTCACAGGTTGTTGCAGGTGGTTTAGACCCATCACAACCACCTGTCACATTCTAGGGACACAACCCAGCATGCTGTAGGAAGACAGGTGCATTCTGTGATCCAAGAGGAAATAACTTACACACACAAAGGGGAAGATTTTATTAACATATAGTAGCAGAGTCTTGGGGAATATATGTGTGACTAGATTCTAAATAGAGACAATGTAACATGAAATTGGGATAAATTCTTATAAGTTAACTCCTTAAAGGACCTATCTCCAAATATAATCACATTGGCAGTTGAGGCTTCAATATAATGAATTCCGGGGGACACAGTTTAGTCCATAACACCCAGCATCATGTGGAGCAGGGAAAGACTTAGGCAAATAGAAAGTTGGAGTGTGTTTGATATGTGTGTCTTGCACCCCTGACTCTTACCTATGTTTCACAAGAAGTCCCAGAAGACACTTCTATCACTAAGATATCAAGGCATACATTAACAAGAGGAGCAGGTGCATCCTTAAAAAGTTTGGTGGCTGCTTTTCGTTATAGGACAGATATGATCATCGGGGATGCTGCTATTTACATGGGCTCCCTGATCTCATTGGAGCTGGTGAGATCCCAGAGTGGAAGAAGTCAAGTGGCAGCACTTAACTGCCAAAGACAAGGACAGCCATGATATTTCTGTAAGAGGAATCTGATGGTGGGATTCCTAGGAATGATACATGGGCAGTCTCCTAGTATATTGCTTGGTCTGTATAATTGAAAAATGCTAGGTCATGTAGCTAAAAACTGACTTGAGCCACTGCATTGGAGCAACCAAGTTCCTCACCCAGTTTCTAGACATAAGTCAGTTCATAAATTCAGAGTCTCTTGATTGAAGGGGAGTCTGGGTCTCCTTAGGGAAGGACCCTGGAGCTTTGCAAGTACATATAAGAAATCTTTTTTTTAAATTGCATTTTAGGTTTTGGGGTACATGTGCATAACATGCAAGATAGTTGCCTAGGTACACACATGGCAGTGTGTTTTGCTGCCTTCCTCCCCTTCACCCACATCTGGCATTTCTCCCCAGGCTATCCCTCCCAAGCTTCCCCCACTGCTGTCCCTCCCCTATTCCCCCCAATAGACCCCAGTGTGTAGTGCTCCCCTCCCTGTGTCCATGCGTTCTCATTGTTCATCACCCGCCTGTGAGTTAGAATATGTGGTATTTCATTTTCTGTTCTTGTGTCAGTTTGCTGAGAATGATGTTCTCCCGATTCATCCATGTCCCTACAAAGGACATGAACTCATCATTTTTGATTGCTGCATAATATTCCATGGTGTATATGTGCCACATTTTCCCAGTCCAGTCTATCATCGATGGGCATTTGGGTTGGTTCCAGGTCTTTGCTATTGTAAACAGTGCTGCAATGAACATTCGTGTGCATGTGTCCTTATGAATGCTTCCCCAAGGGGATTTGTTGCTTTCAATTGAGTGACTGTGCATTAAGGAAAAAAAATGCCCCAATCTTTGGGGGAATAATCTGATACTGGCTCTAAATTCATGCTAATTCTTGGAGATTGAAAACACCACTGTGATCCCCGAGTAAAGCTGGGGCTTTAGGTGCTCAGGTGATAGATGGAGTCTTTTTTTTCTTGAGAAGGAGTTTTGCTCCTGTTACCCAGGCTGGAGTGCAATGGCACAATCTTGGCTCACCACAACCTTTGCCTCCTGGGTTCAGGCAATTCTCCTGCCTCAGCCTCCTGATAGATGGAGTCTTAATCTCAACTCTGACCTGTAGTTGTTGCTTCAGGTATTTTGGGGGTTTGCTGTTACGTCCATGCTATTGATTGAATCTTTGTGTTTTCCCCAAAATTCATATGTTGAAATCCTGATCCCCAAGGTGATGGTGTTAGAAGGTTGGGTCTTTGGGAGGTAATTAGGTCATGATGATGAACCCCTTATTAATGGGATTAGTGCCCTTATAAGAGAGGCCCAGAGGAGCTTCTTTGCCCTTCCATTATATGAAGACACAGCTAAAAGGCGCCATCTGGGAAGCAGAGGGCAAGCCCTAACCAGATACCAAATTTGCTGGCACCCTGATCTTGAATTTCTCGGCCTCCAAAACTCGGAGAAATAAATCTCTGTTGTTTACAAGCCACCCACTTTATGGTATTTTGTTACTGCAGCCTGAACAGACTAGTATGTTCATATACACTTGTAATTACTATATCTTCCTGACTTACTGACCCTTTTATCATCACAAAATGTCTCTCTTTGTCTATGCTAATACTTCTTGTCTTAAAGTCCTTTATTCTCTGATATTCATGTGGCTACCCTAGCTCTTTTGTTTGCATTGTAAGTCCTTTTCTATGCTTTTACTTTCACTCTATTTGTGTCTTTGAATTTAAGGTGTTTCTAGTAGACAGCATTAGTTGGGTTTTGTCTTATTTCTTTTGTTATTTTTAGTGTGCCATTTTAATGCTTCTGTTGATTTTTTTTTTACTAGTTTTAAAGTTACCTTAAACACTGGAGATTACAATATGGACTTTATTTATCACATTCTATTTTATTTAATTTTGCTTTTTAATTTTTGTGAGTACATAGTAGGTATGTGTATTTATGGATACATGAGATGTTTTAAGGCAGGGATGCAATATATAATAATCACATCATGGAAGATGGGGTGTATCACAGTCCATTTTAGAATAATTTTACTCAATTCTACTAAAATATAGAACTTTCTCTCCTTTCCCCTTTGTTTCTATTTCTTTTCTTTTTTGAGACGGAATCTCCCTTCGTTACCCAGGCTGGAATGAGTGCAGTGGCACAATCTCGGCTCACCGCAACCTCTGCCTCCTGGATTCAAGCGATTCCCCTGTCTCAGCCTCCTGAGTAGCTGGGATTACAGGCATGCACCACCACAACCAACTCATTTTTGTATTTTTTTTTCTTTTTTTTTTAGACGAAGTTTCGTTAGGCTGGAGTACAATGGCGCGATCTCGGCTCACTGCAACCTCCTCCTCCTGGGTTCAGGCAATTCTCCTGCCTCAGCCTCCCGAGTAGCTGGGATTACAGGCACGCGCCACCACGCCCAGCTAATTTTTTGTATTTTTAGTAGAGACGGGGTTTCACCATGTTGACCAGGATGGTCTCGATCTCTTGACCTCGTGATCCACCCACCTTGGCCTCCCAAAGTGCTGGGATTACAGGCTTGAGCCACTGCACCCGGCCCCATTTTTGTATTTTTTGTAGAGACAGGGTTTCACCATATTGGCCAGGCTGGTTGGTCTTGAATTCCTGACCTCAAGTGATTTCCCCCCCACCCCCCCAACCAGCCTCCCAAAGTGCTGGGATTACAGGTGTGAGCCATTGCGCTCCGCCCCTTTCTTTCTTTTTGTTAACATTGCTTAAGTATTCTCTTCCTTTATCTTTTATGTAATAACCATATATATTGCATCTATATATGTTATAAACTAAAAAATGCAGTGTTATACAATCATGTCATTTAAAGAAGATGAGATAAAACGTCTACAGAGTCATCTGCCCTCGTATTTATTATATCTGGTCTTCTCACTTCTTCCTGTGAACTCAAGTGATCATCTAGTGTCATTTCCTTTCAGCTTGAAGAACTTCCTTCAGTATTTCTTGTGAGATATGTCTGCTAGCCATTTCTCTCTGTCTTTGTGTATGTCGGAATGTTGATTTTGCCTTCACTTTTGAAGGATGGTTTGCTGCAGATGTAATTCTGGTTTAGCAATTATTTTCTCTTTCAGCCTTTTGAATTTTCACTCTACTGTCTTCTGCCCCCCATGGTTTTTGATACATAAGTAGTTTTTTCTCTTGCTACTTTCGGTATTTTCTCTTTGTCTTTGACCTTCGGCAGTCTGATTATAATGTGTTGAAGTGTGGTCTCTTTGTGTTTGCTTTCTTGGGATTGATTGAGCTTATTGGATCTGCTGAGTTTTGGTTTTCCCCCAATGTGGGAAATACTGGCCATTGTTTCTTTAATTCTTTTTCTGTCCCTTTTTCTCTCTCCTTTACGCATATTTTGCTGTGCTTGATTTTGCCCCATAGGTTTTTGATGTTCTGCTTATTTTCTTGAGTCTTTTTTCTCTCTGTTCTTCAGATTAGATAATTTCTGTTTTTGGGCTATATGTTTAAGTTCACTGATTCTTTTTTCTGATATCTGATCTGCTGTTGAGTCCCTCTGGCAATTTAAAAATTTAATTTACTTTACTTTTCAACTCCAGGCTTTGATTTAATTCTTTTTTTAAAAAAATAATTTCTATCTCTCTATTGAGGTTCCCTATCAGTCAGATCATTATCATCATACTTTAATTTTTATCAAACATGGTTTCCTTTAGTTCTTTGAACATTAAAAAAAAATAAGTGCTTTGAAATCTTTATCTACTAAATCTAGCATCTAAAGGCACTCAGATAATCTCTGTGGATCGTTGACTATTTTTCCCCTGAGTGTAGGTCACTTTAATTTTTGCATGTCTCATAATTTTTTCCTTGACTACTTCAGGTAGCATATTCTAGCAACTTTGGATTCTGACTTTTTTTTTTCCCTGAAGGTTGTTGATTTGTGTTTTGTTTACTTGGATTAAATCTTTAATGTCTGTCTCCCCTGCAGTGTGTGATCACTAGTGTCAGGCTTTTTATTTTTTAATTTTTTTCTTAGTTAGAGAAGTAAAGAAACAAAGGAATACTACTCCATAGACAGAACAGCAGCTTTTTAAAAAAAATTATACTTTAAGTTCTGGGATACTTGTGTAGAACATGCAGATTTCTTACATAGGTATACGTGTGCCATGGTGGTTTGGTGCACCCATCAACCATCATCTAGGTTTTAAGTCCCACATGCATTAGGTATTTTTCCTAATGGTCTCCCTCCCCTTGTCCCCCACCTCCTGACAGGCCCTGGTGTGTACTGTTCCCCTCCCTGTGCCCATGTGTTCTCACTGTTCAACTCCCACTTATGAGTGAGAAAATGAAGTGTTTGGTTTTTTGTTCCTGTGTTAGTTTGTTGAGAATGATGGCTTCCAGCTTCATCCATGTCTCTGCAAAGGACATGAACTTATTTTTTTAATGGCTACATAGTATTCCATGGTGTATACATGCACGTTTTCTTTATCCAGTCTATCATTGATGGGCATTTGGGTTGGTTCTAAAACTGCTATTGTAAATAGTAGAGCAGCAGCTTTTTCTTGCTCTTATATTTAAGCCTCATGTTACTTTTGGGTTAGCATATCATAGTGTTCAATTAGCCAGAGATTGTGCTCAGGTAGCTCCATCCAGGAAGGCATCCACTCCCTGCTGATGGATCTGTGTGTCAGCTGGGTAGCTTTCAAACCTCAGGCTGTTTTCAGCCCCAGCTTTTACTTTATGTTGAGCTCTCTTGCATCTCTATGTGCAGTTCCTGGGAAACCCAGACAGCAGTCACACAGGGCATAGTGTTCTTTTCTGCATCTCAGTCATTTTCAGGAACTTCTCAATTTGTTATCTGCCTGTGGATGATTTTCAGGATGCTGAAGTAGTTGCTTTTTGACAGCATTACCTGACTGCCTCAGCCTCCCGAGTAGCTGGGACTACAGGCATGCACCGCCACACCTGGCTAATTCTGTCTTTTTAGTAGAGACAGAGTTTCATCATCTTGGCCAGGCTGGTCTCAAGGTTTCATTATGTTGGCCAGGGCTGCGTGGGTGGCTTGGGTCTACTCTGGTTTATACTGCTCATGTGCATACCTCCAGTCAACTAAGGATATATGGAGAGCTATGAAGCCCCTATCATTGAAAAACCTCCTGGAACTGCATGTAAAATCCTAGGCCAGTTTGCCAGTCAGTGCATCAATTAACCTCAAACAGGCTCATTATCTCAGACTAGGGGAGATATCTCAGACTGGTCTTCCTTGTTTGCCTGCCACCAAAATTGTCACCTTAACAGTACTCCAAATCAAGAGAGCCCTGCCCATCTGCAGTCACAAAACTTCCAATTTTCACAGCCGGCCCTGCCCCAGTAGAGCCACCACACTGACAAAGCTAGGGGAGAAGGGGGCAGCCCAGGCAACAACCACACAGAGCTTAGTGTTCTTTTCTGCAATTCAGTCATTTTCAGGAACTTCTCAATTTGTCGTCTGCCTTTTGATGACTTTCAGATTGCTGAAGTGCATGCTTTTTGATAGCATTGCCTGACTGTGTGATTACTTTTTTTTTTTTTTTTTTTTTTTTTGAGACAGAGTCTCAGTCTTGTCACCCAGACTGGAGTGCAGTGATGTGATCTCCACTCAGTGCAACCTGCAGCTCCTGGCTTCAAGCAATTCTCCCACTTCAGCCTCCCAAGTAGCTGGGATTACAGGCACCTGCCACCATGCCTGGCTAATTTTTGTGTTTTTAGTAGAGCAGGGATTTCACCATGTTGGCCAGGCTGGTTTTGAACTCCTGACCTCAGGTGATCCTCCCACCTTGGCCTCTCAAAGTGCTGGGATTACAGACGTGAGCCACTGCACCAGGCCTGTGATTCCTTCTAGGGAAGAGGATTTATAGACCTCCTCATTCTATCATGCTATAAATTAATTTCCTGTGGATATTTTTCTTTTTTTAACATCTCTCTTTTCTACAATAAACATGTTTTTACTCTTAATAGGAATAAAATAATAAGAAATGTAATATTGCTATTTTATTTTCTATTATTTACTTTTTAATTGACACATAACAATTGTACATATTTATGGGACATGTGGTGTTATTTGATACAATGTGCAGTGGTCAAGTCAGAGTAATTAGCATATCTTTATAAAGGTAATTATTTTAAAAATTGTTTTACAAAAACAAATCAAACCTTACATTCTCCCATCCAAGTACTAACCACGCCCGACCTGCCTGGCTTTTGAGATCAGATGTGATCCGGAGTGTTCAGGGTGGTATAGCTGTAGACCAAACCTTATATTCTAAGATCTATTCATGCCTTCAGTTTTTACGTGCAGGGTAAACTGGACCTTTTCCTTGTGCAGATGGGCTTATGTGCAGAATGCAGAAGCTTGGTACCCATGAACACTCCCATCTGCGTGGTGTGCGAGGCCCCTCTTGCTCTACAGCTGCAGCCACAGGCAAGCCTCCATTTGAAGGTAACGAAATGAGATTCTGTAAAAACATGAATGAAATACATAGAAAGCAATCTCTGAACAGGTATATGTCCTTTTTCAGCTGGTGGGATGGGGTAACAGTTTTGTTTTTTTTTTTTAGACACAGTCTTGCTCCATCACGCAGACTGGAGTGCAGTGGCATGATCTCAGCTCACTGCAACCTCTGCCTCCTGGATTCAAGTGATTCTCCTGCCTTAACCTCCCAAGTAACTGGGACTACAGGCAAGCACTACCATGCCTGGCTAAGTTTTATATTTTTAGTAGAGACAGGGGTTTCATCATCTTGGCCAGGCTGGTCTCAAACTCCTGACCTCAGGTGATCTGCCTGCCTCAGCCTCCCTAAGTGCTGGATTACAGGCGTGAGCAACCACGCCCAGCCAGGATGGGGTAACAATTGATAAGCTAATATACAAGAACAAAGTCCATTCTCATTTTTGGTAAGACATGCTGTCCAAGAGTTTAACTTGCCAATAGGATCTATATAATTATTAAAAGAGATGGCTGGGGCGCAGTGGCTCACGCCTGTAATCCCAGCACTTTGGGAGGCTGAGGTGGGTGGATCACCTTGAGGTCAGGAGTTCGAGACCAGTCTGGCCAACAAGGTGAAACCCTGTCTCTACTAAAAATACCAAAAACATTAGCCGGGCATGGTGGCATGTGCCTGTAATCCCAGCTACTCTAGAGGCTGAGGCAGGAGAATCACTTGATCCCGGGTGGCGGAGGTTGCAGTGAGCTGAGATCGTGCCACTGCACTCCAGCCTGGGCAACAGAGACTCCCTCTCAACAACAACAACAAAAATTAAGAGAGATATGTAGGATTGTATTCCATGAACATGGATTTGGAGGATGAACCGCACTACAGCTAACGTAGACAATTTTTTACTTCATATGCTTAAACTTCAACATTGCAATTAGTATTGATTTATAATCTTGTCCTTAAAGTGGTTTCATACTTTTGTTTGCTTTATTTGATTATAGGTTCTTACGGAGAAAAAGAATGACTAGAACTAGTCACGTGAAAGAAAAAGTTATGTATCATCACTTAACATCCAAAAAACTTGGCTAGAACGGTGATATCATACTGTGAAAATTTTTTTAGTTGTTCATTAAACATACAACTAAATTTTTTCTCCATTCTTCAATTTATAGTCCCATTTACATCCTCTTTAATCCCAAGTAAAGGTCACTAGAGGATAAAATAGATTTAATAGAGGGAATTTGGGGGATAAGAAAACCAAGAATTTTTAGCAGTAAGGGAAGTGCATGGTCTTAATGTACAGTCCATAACACTTCTAAGATGGTCTTGTGTGTTGTATATGGGCAAAATGTGTTCAGAGAAAAGAGAAGTCCATTTTTCCTTCCACCTTCGAGCTCTCTTTAGCATAAAGAGTTCGCAAGTATCCAAGGCTGTGTGAGCCTTCAGAAATGAGATTTTGAAAAACTGACCAGGCTAAAGTCAGGTAGAGGAAAATTTACTGATCTTTTTGTGTGATGACTATTTTCAAACCTAAGATGCTTTAAAAGCTACTGCAGAAGCCAGGTGCAGTGGCTCACACCTGTAATCCCAGCACTTTGGGAGGCCGAGGTGGGCAGATCACCTGAGGTCAGGAGTTCAAGACCAGCCTGACCAACATGGAGAAACCCTGTCTCTGCTAAAAATACAAAATTAGCTGGGCGTGGTGATGCATACCTATAATCCCAGCTACTCAGGAGGCTGACTTAGGAGAATTGCTTGAACCAGGGAGGCAGAGGTTGTGGTCAGCCAAGATTGCGCCATTACACTCTAGCCTGGGCAACAAGAGCAAAACTCTGTCTCACACAAAGGGACAAACAAAAATACTGCAGGAAGCCACCATACAGTCCTGGAAGTCTGTCTTTAGACTTCTTCTATATGGGAGAGAGAAATCTATTTTTCTCTTATTTAAGCCTCTGTTATTTTGGGTGTTCTGTCAATCACAGCAGAATCTATTCTTCTTAATACATTTATTCAGGATGTTTGAAGATAATATTGCAAACTCTTTGGACTATTCAAAACAGGAAGAATAGGGGTAAATGTTAGTTGTGATCTAAGTTCAACATATGTAACACCATCTTCAGTATCTGAAATCTAGAATTTTTCCCATTTTATGGGAAGGCGGAGAGACATAAAGGTACATATAAGTAATTTTTCCCTTCAATTTGTTGTAAATCCTATATTGAGAATAAACACAAGACATCTACAGTGATAAGTAGCATTAAATCCAGGAGTGGCTTCTTTCTTGTAGGGTACTTTTTATAAGAGAGATTTTTATAACTTATGATAAGTTATAATCGGAATAATTTTACAACTTCTCCTTTATGGGTGGGCCAAAGTTAGGACATATAATGAGGAAACCAACAATGAATTCAAAGACGAGATTTAGAAAATGTGCCTCAAAACTTTTTGGAGCAAGGAGTTTGGTTTTGCTGGGCTGAAGCAATGCTGGGCTGCTGTGGGTTGTGGGAGATGGTCTCTTCTCTACCAGACTTAATAGCTCAGATTTTTCCCTGTGGGCCCTGAAGGTTGAAAACAGGGACAGGTTTTAACCAGACTTGATTTGTGGCTGATCCTGGACAGAAATGCATGACTTTTTATGCCAGACAATCTCTATTACTGCTTCTACTTACAGAAGGACATCTGTTTGGAAACCCTGGCCTGCCAATCTTCATTCCAGTGCGTCTCCCAGATGTCATAAGTGTGACAGGTTTTGAGTTAACATTCTTACCCAGACAGCCACCTCTGAGGTTGGTGGGAATACGGAAGCCAACAAGCCTAACCTCCCGGCAGGTGACAGCATGCCATTGACAGCTCCCTCCCCCTTTCAGCATTGGTCTCTAGCTCACTCCGCTGAGTGCAAAAGCACCATCTGCCGTCTTCCTTCTGTGATGAAGACAGATTCCACGGCGGGTGCAGTCTTGTCTTGTGTGGATTTAAGGCGCTGTCAATGCTGAGGAATTTTGCTCTATCAATTTTTTTTCCTGCCAGGATTAAAAGATACAGTAGCAGAAATTTCTGTATTTGACCTATGGCAAAGATATCTATTTCAGGATAAGAGAAGGTTTTATAATTTACTTCTTTAAAATAATTAATACCTAACTTTTGGTAACAAATAATCCAAAGATATACCAAAAAGTGTATAATTTATTCACTTTACCTCCATTTCTATTTCTCTGAAATAACCAATGTTAGCAGCTTAGGGTGTCCTTTTATGTATTTTTCTAGATTCACAGAAATATATTTATATATAGTCATACATTTAGATTTGGTTTGGTTTGGTTTTTTAAACAAAAATGAAATCATGTCATATACTTTTCCTCGCAACTTGTTTATTTCACTTAACAAATGCATCTATTGGCCATTTTCTTTTTTTTTTTTTTTTTTTTTTAGACAAGGTCTCACTCTGTCACCTAAGCTGGAGTGCCCTGGCACAGTCACGGCTTGCCACAGCCTGACCTCCTGGGCTCAATGATCCTCCTACCTCAGGCTCCCAAGTACTTGGGATCACAGGCATGTGCTACCACGCCAGGTGACTTTTTCTATTTTTTGTAGAGATGGGGTTTCACCTTGTTGCCCAGGCTGGTCTGAAACTCCTAGGCTCACGTGATCCTCCCACCTTGGCCTCCCAAAGTTCTGGGATTACAGGCATGAGCCATGCCTGGCCTCCACTGGCTGTTTTCTAAAGCTGAAAACTAGTTTTAACATCCCTGTTCACCAGAAAACATTAATTGAAGGCATTTATCAAGAGGAACTACTACAGTTTCCTTTGGAATTTTATGAGCAACATGCAGTATACCTCCAGGACTTCAGTCATCTTTGTGGTTCTTAAAATCTGTGAGGCTTAGGTCTGGGGTCCTCCTGAACAGATCTGATGATTCACGAGCCTGAGGCGCGGGCTCCTTCAGTGAGTCCCAGCCTCTCACACAGTGATTTGGGGTTAAAACCAGTGTAACCGCAACTCCACATCAAGCAGAATTTTAGCTTAGTCAGTTTTGACATTAAGTTTGTAACGATCTACTAGTTTGTTTTCAATATTCTTCCTTTTTAATTCTGTCAATTAAAGCTTATCACTTGGGAGTTTGAAAATTGTTCTCTTCCTCCAGCTACTTTAAAAGGGAACGTTATATCCCAGTGACTAACTGGCTCTGTTAAATAGCTTATAACCATTCAACTAGACAATATGTGACAAAAGCTGTGGATGAAATGGCAAATGAGGATACTGACTTTTGAAAAGTTCTCATCAGAGGTGTTTAGCATCCCCATTAAGGCCATCTGAAGGTGGCCTCAATTCCACATCACCCCCACAGACATCTGTGAATTTGTAAGTGTAGTGGATTGCGATCTAAAATGATTTCTAACTGTGGGTCATAGTCACTGCTCTAGAAAGAAGTGAGCCATGGCATGGTGTCAAAAGTCTTCACACACACACAAAAAAAAAAAACATAGAAAAACCCTTCAACCAAGAAAACTGTTTAATAGACTGGATGCAGTAAGGTAGACCCCACTTAGACAAGTTCCTAGTAGTATCTGAGAAGAAGGAAGGCAGGGAAAGGGTTTAAAGGGTTAGTGCTGGACTGTAAGATAAACGATGGGCCGTGGGTGATAATGATGTGTGAGTGTATGTTCATTGATGGTGACAAATGTACCACTTGGGTGTGAGATGTCCATATTGAGGGTGCTGTGTCTGTGGGGTGGGACATGGTATATGGGAATCTTCTGCAGTTTCCACTCAATTTTGCTGTGACCATTAAATTGCTCTAAAAATAAAGTTAAAAGTTGATTATTTAAAAATATAAAAACAAAGGGTTTTGTAAGGCAGGGATTGGGCAGAGTATGCATTGGGCAAATATATGAGATGCAGTTTTGGATTATGAGCCCTACAAGGTGAGGTCTTAAAGGAAGCCATTGGACTTGAGAAGCTTGTTCTCCAGTTTTCTCTTCTAGAGAAAGTGTTTTCTGTAGCACACAGCAAGATTACTTTGATTTGATCTCAGTATTTTTTAATGAAGACAGGAGATTGGTCTCATTTCTCAGTGTGTTTCACCCGATTTTTTCTGAGGCAACATCTTCAGGAAAGTCGTAGCCCTAAATCTCATGGATAAACGCTGGCCAATTGCAGATTATGTTGTGGTAACTTTAAATAGCTTTGAAGAATGTTGGCCCCAGGGAATGTCAGGAATCATTGAGAGCAGGACAGTGATTCTCTGCCATTTTGAATAGCAGTCAGTTGGCCTCTGCCCTTTAGGAGTTGTTTAGATTGGGAACTTGGTTTCCTGAGTTGGCTCAGTTCCTAGGAAAACTTTGGAATCTTCCACTAAAATAGAATTAACTAGGCTTTGAAAGGCTAGGACTTCATAGAGCTACCTGGTGGTATTGGAAATAAAGCCCTGGGAGTTGGGCTTTCTTTTTCTTTATCATCCACTTTACCTGTACCATCTTCTGAACACACCGATTTATTAGTTTCGGGACACCTAGGGACCACAGTGCTGGACTAGAAAGGAACACTTGAGCACTACTGGTCATTGACAATTGAAGAAGATTGTATCCTGAGCGAATAGAGTGGTCAGTAACTAAACAGTTGTTAGCAAACCTCTGATAGCTGAACACTAGACTATTTTTACCATCATTTCTTTGTCTTTTGTTTTTCTCTGTGTTGCAGCTTAACCCCAGGGCCCTGACTTAGAAAGTTGTACTTACCACTCTCTTTCTTGGGCAGTCTTTCCACTTCTTCCGTTTCTAAGTAAAAACTACAGAGCAAACCTCAATTCATATTTAACATGAAGCCCCAGAAGGTAAATCCCAGTTCAAGAACCAAATTACTTATAAACACACAGATAATCCCTTGCTGGTCTAGGGTCTTTCTGTTTACTGTTTAAGCCATGAAATGGAATGTCTACTCAGTGTTATGGTTTTCACACTGGAGAAACACACACACACACACACACACACACACACACACACACAAAACCTTACACATAACCAGTGCAGAGTTCCCAACTTGCCTTCTGAAGACCAAATGAATACTCTTTTCAATGTGGTTTTTTTTTTTTGTTCGTTTGGGGTTTTGTTTCTTTTAAAACTACATTCAGGCTGGGCATGGGGTCTCATACCTATAATTCCAGTACTTTAGGAAGCTGAAGTAGGAAGATCACTTGAGGCCAGGAGTTGGAGACCAGACTGGGCAACACAGTCAAATCCCATCTCTACAAAACCAAATGAAAACAAACAAACAAACAACTACAGATGTTCGTCTGACACTATTTATAGTAACTCCTAAACCAATCCAGTATTCAGGGTCTGGATGCGATAAGGGTCTGTAGCTGAATGACTGACAGAAAAGACTGCTTGTTGATTTCTTTGCACAGTTGTTTGCTCAGAGGAACATGTATTTCTTATTTTTTGTTGTGAAGGAGAAGGTAATTTGCCGGGCCTGTGGTACAGGAAATCCTGCTCATCTGAGATACTGTGTCACCTGTGAGGGGGCCCTGCCTTCATCACAAGAGGTAGGTTGATTGCATGTGCCAACCCTATATTTAGTGGCTACTAAATTCAACGTTAATGATAATAGAGAAACAGAATCTGCCGAGGGGATTGGGGAGAGAGACCAAGAAAAGCTTCTCATGGTAAACTGAAAGCAAGATTTCTATATGTGGAGAGAACTTTGTATATTCATCAATACAGAATTGTTTGCAAAGTCTTAACTTCAAGAGGATTCAGTAAAATCAATTATTTCTTATGATTTTGTTTAATAACTTTGCATGGGAGGCTGGCATTAGCCTGCAGGAAGTGAACTCATTCACATTTCATTTACAGACAGGTATGTGTTGGTCATCCCCCACGACCTACACCCCATTGTCCACTGTCTTCATTGACTCTATGTGCCCACTGCTTTTTGAAATTGAGAACATCGTAGCCACCTATTTCTTGGGTTTCCTACCAGCCTCTTTTGAATGTTGAAATGAAGGAATAGGAGTAGATGCACTGTAAGTACAGTGAATAAGTTCAGTTTAGATGATCTATTTTATGTTTATAACATGTTTCTGATGAAATTAAAATTCCAGGTGACTCTTGCCTTGTACCATGAAAAAGTTGGCATTTACTAGCTGACTTAAAAGAAAAAACATGCTTCTTTTGGGTTGCTGTATATGTTTTAGACTGTTTGTGGAGTTTGTTCTCATCTCAGACAGATTTCCTCGTGAAACTGGACAATGCAGTTAGTATGGTCTACAGCAGCGGTCCCCAGCCTTTTTGGCACCAGGGACTGGTTTTGTAGAAGACAGTTTTTTCATGGACATGGAGGGGGGATGGATTCAGGATGAAACTGTTCCTCCTCAAATCATCAGTCATAAGTTAAATTCTCATAAGGAACGCACAACCTAGATCCCTCATGCACAGTTCACAATAGGGTTTGCGCTCCCGTGGGAATCGGATGCTGCCGCTGATCTGACAGGAGGTGGAGCACTCACCTCCTGCTGTGTGGCCCGGTTCCTAACAAGCCACGGATCCATACAGGTACGTGGCCCAGGCATTGGGGACCCCTAGTCTATATGATTAGTATCAAATGGGTGTGCACTCGTTTTTTCCTAAGCACCATCAACTAGGTGGCTAACAACAATGGAAATCTATTTTCTGACATCTCTGGAGACCAGAAGTCTAAAATCAAGGTGTTAGCAGGGCCATGCTCCCTCTGAAGGTGCTAGGGAATGAACTATTCCATCTTCTCTCCCAGCTTCTGGTAGCCTCAAGCTTCCCTTGGCTTCTAGATGCAGCACTCCCGTCTCTGCCTTTGCCATCCCATAGAGCTCTCCCCGTGTGTCTGCCCGTGTGTGTGCCTCTGTGTTCAGATTTCCCTTTTTCATAAGGACACCAGTCACACTGGATTCAGATCCACCCTAATGACCACATTTTAACTTGATTACCTCTGTACAGACCATTTTCCAAATAAGATCCCATTCTGGGGTACTGGAGGTTAGCACGTCAACATGTCATTTTCTGCGCAGACAGAATTCACCCCATAACAGTTGACTTGGACAAGATACCTTTTAATGTCATCTAATCATTGACAGTCTAACAGTAGTTGATTTGAAGGAATTCCTCTTGCTTCCAGTTTTATTGAGATATAATTTATATGCAGTAAAATTCACCTAGTTTAATTGTGTAGTTTGGTGAATGTTGGTAATTATATACAGTCATTTTTCACCACCACCACAATGAAGATATTCTCAAAGAGCATTTTTGATGGATATATATAATTCTAGGCTGACAGTTAATTTTCTTTCTGAAATTTAAAGCTGTTCCAAGCTTTTCTGGCCTCTATGCTTTCAGCTCAAAAGTCAGATGTAAATCAAATTGACATTTTCACATATGGGATGTGTCATTTTTCTCTTGTTGCTTTTATTAAGATTTGCTCTTTAGTGATGGTTTTTAGCAATTTGGCTATAATATACATTAGTGTGAAGTTATTCTGGTTGGTGTTCATTTAGAATCTTGTAGCTGTAAATTTCTGTCTTTCATCAGATTTGGGAATTGTTTGGCCATGATTTCTTTATTTTTCTACTCCACTCATTTTCTACTGTCCATCTCAAGTCCATATACACATCTGTTGAATTGTTTGATGTTATATAATAGGTCCCTGAGGACCTTTTTTTTTTTTAGATGGAGTCTTGCTCTGTCGCCCAGGCTGGAGTACAGTGGTGCAATCTCAGCTCACTGCAACCTCCACCTCCCGGGTTCAAGTGATTCTCCTGCCTCAGCCTCCCGAGTAGTTGGAATTACAGTTGTACACTACCAAGCCTGGCTAATCTTTGTATTTTCAGTAGAAACGAGGTTTCACCATGTTGTCCAGGCTGATCTCGAATTCCTGACCTCAGTTAAGCTGCCCACCTTGGCCTCTCAAAGTGCTGGGATTACAGGCATGAGCCACTGCACTAGGCCTGTTCATTTTTAAAAAATCTTTTCTTCTTTTCACACTGTATGATTTTTGTTGATCTATCTTCACTTACACTTTCCTTTACCATATCCTTTTAGATATTAAGTACATCTACTAAATATTTTATTTAAAATATTATCTTTTTCTATTCCAGAATTCTCACTCATTTCTGTTTTTATGTTTCTATTTCTTCGTTGAGATTTATTCTTTTTATTTATTGTGGACAGTATATATGCTTTAAATTTCTGGTTTGCTTCTTCTAACATCTGATTCATCTTAGGGTCAAACTCAGTTGGTTTTCTTTTCATGTGTGAAGTAGTAATTCTAGTTCCTTCCAGGCAGCACATTCCCCAAAAGCAAGCATACATATTATTATGCTTTGCCTGTTAAAGCAAAGCAAAAAAACAACAGCAAAACTCCCAGAGTGACAGAATCCAGAAAGTACCACAGCCAAAGATTCATAATGCTAGGGTACAGTTTAAAATTCCTCAATATACTAATTACAAAAAAAAAGTTTGAGGGGAGGAGGGATAGAACGTTTGGTCTCCATTCAGGTATTTTGTCTTTAGCTTAGCTGTGTCAAGCCCATTCTGTACATATGTTGTTCAGGGGCTGGTAAGAGATCTGAATACACAGAGAAGATCCCTCTTCTTCTTTCTTTCTAGGAGCTCCCTACCTCTTCAGCAGCCAAATATTCCCAGCTTCAGTTTTCTGGTTCTCTTGGCCAGAAATACTGTCTTGTGCCCCCCACTTCACATGCGCTATGTAGACTGCCCTTAGCTCCAGGGTGAAAGCCGTGAAGATGGGAATTGACTTTGTATAACTCCCCTCCTTCTTGTGTGTTCTTGCTGCAGGTGTACCTGCTTCTGTTCATTCTCCACTGCCTTCATGTATTATCAGCAGATTTTTTTTAAAAAATTGAGTCATACTCTATCGCCCGGGCTGGAGTACAATGGTGTGATCTTGGTTCACTGCAACCTCCACCACCTGGGTTCAAGAGATTCTCGTGCCTCAGCCTCCCAGGTAGCTGGGATTACAGGCGTTCACCACCACGCCTGGCTAATGTTTGTATTTTTAGAGACAGGGTTTCACCATGTTGACCAGGCTGGTCTCGACCTCTTGACCTCCAGTGATCCTGGCCTGTTCTCAGCAGATTTTATAGTTCTTTTCTATGTGGGAGTCATTTGTTATGGTCTTAGGTTACCATTGCCAGAAGGAAAAATCTGTAGTTTTTTTTTAAAGATGATTTCTGTTGCATACGATGTGTTTCACAACTGAGACTAAAAACAAACTAATATGGTGGTGAATTTAATCAGAAAACATCTATTTTCAAATCAAAGCTGGTGTAATTTTAGGGTTGTCTGTTGTTGAGAGTCATCTGTTAATGTGGTTTCAGACTTGCTACCACTCTCTAATCATAAAATGACATGGTATAATTTTTTCCAAGGCACCAGAGAAAGTAATAGTGAGATAGGAAAAGTGTAAAACTAGAAAACAATAGAACTGGAAATCTTGATATAGTCTTACCAATATGTTTAAGTAAATTGCCAGCAGAAGCTTTTCTCATTCTTTCCTCAGGCATTCAGTACTTCTTATGTAAATAATAAAACCATTTAAATCAATTTCGATAACTGTCAGTGATATAACTGTTTCTAGGTCTCATCTATCAACAAAACTATTTTCAGAATAATCCCCAAATTGAATTCTTTCTAAAAATTGTATTTCTATCTGAATGGTATATCAGAGCTAGACGCCACAAGGACAGTATTTGTCTCTGGAGTCCGTAGTCACAATGCATGTTCGTTCTGATAGCTTTATGTCTTTCCTTTGTTTAGCAGCATTAATATGATGGGGTAAGATAACTCTTCTTTCTTTTCTCTTTTTTTTTTGTTTTTTGATCAGTAAGACTATCAGAAAGATAACTTTTCTTTCTTTAAAGCGATGTTATATTTAAAAGCTACTTAAACAGTCAGTACATTTCAATGAAAAGTCTGAAGGCTTTGTATTTAGAAGCCCAGGCCAGCAAGCTTTATACCAAAGTCTTGTTTTAAGAATAGGATAATTGAAATGTAAGTTCTGAAGAAAAAGTTTGCAGAGAATTTGTCTTTTATTTACCTGAAGGACTTTCCCTCTAATTATGCAGAAGTCAGGGCAAGCACACACAAAGAAAGCCTCTGTTCTTGGGTGTCTGGATGCTGGGGCTGATGTAAATAATAAACCTCTCTTAGATAGGTTTCCATTCTAGATAACAGAGCTGGCCCTGAAGCAAAACGGGATACAGCTGGGCAAATAGAGTGAACTAAAATTTGTGTCTTTGAGGGAAAAGTGCCCTTAGCAAATGTTTTCCCTGGTGTGTGCATTCTTAGTATTGTGCGGGGCATATGTGGCAATACACGCATTCAGTTACCAAGTAAATCAGTCATTGACTCAGTAAAACTATTTGAGTGACTCCCCTGTGCCAGGGTACCAGGACTGTTCTCTTTGGGGGGAATAGAAGTGAAATTAAAGTGCTTTCTCCTCTAGAAATCAGGATCTAGTGGAAAACAAGGTGGGAAGGGAAGGAACCTGGCCAGTGCAGCTTGGCTCTGTGCTAAGCATTCCTATCCACTTGACTGTTGGTAATCGTCTGAAACCCTTGCAGACCTGGGAGGAAGCTATTCTATTGAAGAGGCTGTATGGAGTCAGGGAGAGAAGCCAGGCTTTAGAATCACATGGCTCTAATCGTGTGTCTCACCCTCTCTGTGTCCCTGTGCTCTCCCTCTGTAAGATGGGGACAGTGACGGCACCCACCTCCCAGGTCTGCCAAGGGACTCATTCGAGGGTGCGGGGCAGTGTGGGAGTCGAGTCTGCACGTGGTGGGTGGTCAGGTAGCAGCCGCTGTGCTGTCACCTCCATTTGGGAAGTGAGCAAGTCTTTTACCAGGCAATAGTGAGGAAGCAACAGGAACACATTCAAATCTAGGTTTACCTAACGTAGTCCCAGGAATTCTCACGAAACAATTCTGCCTCTGTCCCCAATATAAAATAATTCTTCCCATGTGTCAAGAGTGGGAAATCAAGTCACATTTTTCTATGGAAACCAGAACTCCAAAGGATAGAAGATGAGCCTTAATCATGGCCCCTTAGGTAGCTCAGCTCTCTTCTTCCTTCATTCATATTGTTCTCTTAAATCAACAGTAGGCCTTGCTGTCCTTGATATTAAAGATATTGAAAAATACTAAGATGTGCGAGTGTCACACTCAAGACCAGTTTCATTGACTTTCTGTGACCTCTATGAAGGAATGTGTGCTATGTACTAATTTATTCATTGGTGAAACCCATCATAGCTGTACTCCTTTGGGCAAAAAAAAAAGAGACAGTATTTCCAGGGCTTATATTATCTCAGGGCTTTTTATCTTTTTTGAATTGGGAGGGGGATTAGAGAATATAGTATTGATCTGCCTTTAAATGACATTTCATACAGCAGTCGCTGTACAGTGGGGATAAAGCCCCGCCTCCGCCCATGCAGAAAGGGGGGACCATTTCCTGCTCCAGATGTGGTCGCTGGAATCTCTGGGAGGCATCCTTCTGCGGCTGGTGTGGCACCATGGTGGGTATTTTATTTATTATTATTTTTTAAATCAGGAGACCTTCAAAGCTACTACAAATCAACATGGTGGGTATTTTAAAACTGATGTTCTGTATACTTAGCACCTTGCCACTGGCCTGGAGAGAGCCAGGCAAATCTTCCATGGCCTTGCAGAAATCATTTCATGTGATTTCGCTACTACACCTGTAACCTAAGAATCTGGAGATAGAGATAATTATCTTACATTAAGAGCCATCTCTCGTGACTGTTTTGATTTGTATTTCTTTGAGGTTAAACCTTTTCACTCATTTATTGACTACTGGCATTTTTTTAAATGAGTTCTGTCTGCCTGCCTTTATAATAAACCACTCAAGACTATGTATTTATTCATTTATCTAAGTATTGTATGCAAAGAATAAAAAAGTTTTAGAGTGAAGGGTTAGTTTCCTTTCTCATCTAAGTCCCAGAGTTCTCCTCTCAGAAGCAATTGCTAATACCCAGTCCTGGAGCTGTTCTTTCAGCTATTCAATGCATGTGTAAGTAAACTGGTGCTATGAACACTGATCCAGTTATTTTCACTTAGCAACATATCTTGTTAGTAACCTCCTCATTCTTTTCAGTGGCTTCATAATCCATTGTTTGCATGTATGTCCTGTGATCTATTTAGACCATCCCTATTGCTGGATATTTGTGTTGTTTTCAGTGATTTCTTTTAAAATCATGGTGCTTTAGGGGTTGACCTGGAGTACTTATTTCTCTACTTGTCCCTCTGTGGGATAAATTCTGGAAGGTAGAATGGCTGGATCAGAGAGTGTAGTGTGGGCATATGTTATTTTATATGGTATGAGAATAATTTACATGAGGAAATTTTAACTCTAATATTCATAAAGACATTTTCTATCCTCTAGCTTGGCATTCCTGCTGGCTGCTCTGTTTGCCCTAAATGTGGGGCCAGCAATCACCTATCTGCCCGATTCTGTGGCTCCTGTGGGATTTGTGTGAAGTCCTGGGTGAGGCTCAGCATGGACAGAGGCCTGGCTCTAGCTGCTGAGGAACCACGCCCTTTTTCTGAGGTGAGGCCTCCCCCATAGTAAGAACTCGTGCCCGGGAAAAGGATGTAACTCTGAATGTGTGTCCTCGACCCTGTGAATCAACCCAGGGAAGAGACCCAAAATACTTAGAACTTTCACATGGAATTTCAACTGGGTGTGTAAATAAATGCAGTCAATTTAGATTTTAAACACTCGAATGATTTCTTCAGAAATCAAAGATCTAAATGGGCACATTTGTGTCTAGTAAATTGAGGTCTGTGTCATTGCAGTTGCAAGGCCGTGGACGTAATGCCACCTTAGAATGCACTTCTCTTGAATTTCTTGCGTAGCATTCTGAGAACTTTTCCTTCCCTTTTTTATATTTTAGAAAACTTAGGTATATAAAATTGCTTCTGTGATCTATAACAGCTGGGCATAATTTGAGGAAAATCTCTCCAGGTTATTTTCAGAAGTACTTAAGCTCTAAAACTGGCTTTGTGTTAGATTTTTATAATTTTATGAATTTCTCTAAGCTGGATAAATACTTTTCATGTTCCTTCTTATCTCTTCATTATAAGAAGCTAAAGATGGATAATTATTAGAGGATACACTCCGCACTTTGTATACAGTTTTAGGGAATTCATGGCTTCTTGACCCAGTTTGAAAGATTTAAATCTTGGACTGCCACTAGCCCTTATTCCTTTGTGCAAATGAAACAATGCTGTTCTTTTCTTAAGACACATGACTGCCATCTATTGGAAATGGCTTGTAATATACTGGTTTCTCTACTAGAAAAATTATTCTAATACATATGCAAATATATGATGTTTACCATGTGAATGGTATTATTTTCAATGCAGTGACCGTGTGCAGTGCACAACCCACACAATCTTACATGATAGTCCTCTCAGGTCCTCAGGTTCAGATGCAGGAGAGTATATTAGCGGAAATGTTGGTGACTGGTAGCTGAGTGTGTATGAGTAGTGAAGTCTATGCTCTATTGCATTATAGAGCTGAAAAGGCTGGATATCTTCCAGGCAACAAGCAGGCCAGCAAACATCCCTTGATTTGCTGAATTTTAGATAATAAATGGCTACTCATGGATCAGGCTGGGAGTTGCTGGGAAAGACAGGAGCAAGGAACATGAGGCAAAGGCTGGAAAACCCTTTTAGCTCAAAGTACAGTTTTTTTGAGCTATATTTTATTCCTGTTAGAATTGTTTTCTATAAGTAAAATGGAAGATTGATTAAATTATATTATAATTTTAAAAAATGTTTTCTGCCTCACTTATAGCCCCGATGTGCCTGGCAGTCTCTGAATATTCCTTTGCCCAGATCTGATTCTGGGACTAAGAGGGACATAGGCACACAGACTGTTGGCCTATTTTACCCATCCAGCAAGCTGCTAGCAAAAAAGGAACTGGAAATAGTCTCTCAAAAGCAGAGGCAGGAGAAAATGAGTGACCACAGACCCCTTCTCACAGCCATCAGCCCAGGAAGAGGTAAGGGGGAGGATGCCCTTTCTTCTGGTTGGGAGGGAATTCACTCTTTCTCTGAAAGGACATTTCATTTTCTCTTCCTTTTAGATTTATTTTTATGTGTAAGAAGTAAGTTTCTTTTTTTTTCCAAGTAATTTTTTTGTATGAGAAAGAAGCTCTTCCTGTTAGCTCTTCCTTAAGCCTTCAGTATTCTGATGTTTTAGCTCATAGCCCTGTTGTCTAGCTCCTCAGTCACATGGTGCACGTGGGTTTCTTTTGTCATCGTAGACATGTTATTAGTATGCAGTGCTATTGCTATCTGCCATTAACCCTTTTTTTATTTCGGTAAAATTTATATAACATAAAATTCACCATTTTGACTATTTATAAGTGTATAATTTGGGCCAGGTGTGGTGACTCATGCCTGCAATCCCAGCAATTTGGGAGGCCAAGTCTGGAGGATCTCTTGAGTCTAGGAGTTTGAGACCAGTCTGGGCAACAAAGTGAGACCCTGTCTCTACATTTTTTTTGTTAAAGCAGTCAGGTGTGGTGGTGCATGCCTGTGGTCCCCAGCTCGCTGCTTCAAAATTCACTTTGAAAGTTAGTCTCCATTGCGGTGTTATCAAGCAGTGGGACCTTTTGGAAACTGATCATGAAGATGGAGCCCTCATGAAAAACCTTATGAAAGGACTGGAGGGAACGATCTAAGGCCTCCTTTTGTCCTTTGGCCATTCCTCCATGTGAGGACACAGAGTTCCCCTCCTTTGGAGGGTACAGCAACAAGGCACCGTCTTAGAAGCAGAAGGACCAGGCCCTCGCCAGATACCTAATCTGCAGGGACCTTTATTTTGAACTTCTAGCCTCTAGACCTGTGAGAAATAAATTCCTGTTCTTTCTAAATTACCCAGTCTCAGATATTTTGTTTATAGCAGCACAAATGGACTAATACAGTTTGCTAGTATTTTACTTGAAGACTTTTGTGTCTATAGTTATAAGAGATGTTAGTCTGCAGTTTTCTTCTTTCTTTTTACTGTCTGTCTGATTTTGGTATCAGGATAATGGTAGCCTTATTGAAACACTTCTTTTTTTTTTGTATATGTGCTGTCGAGGCAAGCCCTACTTCTTTTTTTGTGAAGTGCTTATGAAGAATTGGTATTAACTATTATTTAAATTTTGGTAAATTACCTGCGAATCTATCTGGACTTGATGTTTGTTTAGTGGACACTTCTGATTACTCTTTACTTTTTGTAGGTCTATTCAGATTTTCAGTTGAATCAGTTTTGGTAGTTAGTGTTTTTCTAGATATTTATCTGTTTCATCCGATTAATTTATTAGCATACAGTTGTTTGTGATGCTCTTTTATAACCTTTTTTATTTCAGTAAAATTGGTGATGACATCTCTTATTTCTAATTCTAGTAACTTGAGATGTCACTTTTTTTGGTCAATCTTGCTAATGGTTTGTCAATTTCATCGATTTTTTTCCTAAAACCAACTTTTGATTTTATTGATTTTGTATTATTTTTATATTCTGTATTTCATTAAATTCTGCTCTAGTCCTGATTTCCTTCTTTCTTCTTAATTTAAGTTGACTTTGCTCTTTTTCTGGTTTCTTAAGGCCAAAGATTAGGGTGATAATTTTGAGATCTTTCTTCTTAATATGAGCATTTGCTGCTATAAATTTCTGTTTGAGCTTTGCTTTCACTGCATCCCAGAAGTTTGGTGTTCCTTCATTTCTTTCTTTTCTTTTCTTTCTTTCTTCTTTCTTTCTTTCTTTCCTTTCTTTCTTTTCTTTCTTTCTTTCTTTCTTTCTTTCTTTCTTTCTTTCTTTCTTTCTTCCTTCCTTCCTTCCTTCCTTTCTTTCTTTCTTTCTTCTTTCTTTCTTTCCTTTCTTTCCTTTCTCTCCCTCTCTTTCTTTCTTTCTTTCTTTAGATAGAGTCTCTGTCGCCCAGGCTGAGTACAGTGGCACAATCATGGCACTCCGCAGCCTTGACCTCCTGGGTTCAAGTGATCCTCTCACCTCAGTCTCCTGAGTAGCTGGGAGCACAGGCACAAGCCACCACACCCGGCTAATTTTTAAACGTTTTTGTAGAGATGGAATCTCACTGTGTTGCCTAGTCCTATCTCAAACTCCTGGGCTTAAGTAAGCCTCCCACCTTAACCTCCCGGAGTGCTAGGATTACAGGCATAAACCGCTGTGTCCAGCACCATGAATCAGGGCTTTTTGTCCATTCTGACAATCCCTGTTTTTTTTTTTTAATTGGATTGTTTCATCCATCCGCATTTAATGTTATTATTGATAAAGGTGGACTTATCCAATTTGGTTTTTTTTCCAAATGTTTCTAACTGCCTTTTTTGTTCCTCCATTGCTTCTTTACTGCTTTCTTATGCATTGCATGTTTTCCAGTGTAACATTTTGATTTCTTTAATGACTTTTTCACTACGTAGTTTGAGTTATTTCCTTAGTGGTACTGTAGGGTTTCCCTCATACCACTTACCAGAGTATGCTTCAGGTTTATACTAACTTAAGTCCAATGAAATATAGAAATACCCTATAATTCAATTCCCTCTTCCCAATTTTTGTGGCATTAAAATTTTATTTATTATATTTTACGTTCTGGGGTATATGTGCAGAACATGAGGGTTTGTTACATGGGTATACAAGTGCCATGGTGGTTTGCTGCATCTACCACCCCATCATCTACATTAGGTATTTCTCCTAATGCTATCCCTCTCAAACCCCTCCACCCCCCACTATCCTTCCCCTAGCCCCCCACCTCCCTACAGGCTCTGGTGTGTGATGTTTCCCTCCCTATGTCCATATGTTCTCATTGTTCAATATCCACTTATGAGTGAGAACATGAGGTGTTTGGTTTTCTGTTCCTGTGTTAGTTTGTTGAGAATGATGGTTTCCAGCTTCATCCATGTCCCTGCAAAGAACATGAACTCATCCTTTTTTATGGCTGAATAGTATTCCATAGTGTATATGTGTGTGGCATTATTTTCTAATATAACATTATATTTATGTTTACATATATGTTATAAACTCGAAACACTGTTGTAATTATTAGTTTATAACATGTCTTTTAAAGATGCTTCAAGAAAAAAGAACAATTATATATTTGAGGCTTTTGTTACATTCATCTTCCCCATTTATAGTCCTTTGGATTCATTTCCTAAGCTCAATGAAGCTTTGCTCTTACCTACCTCCTTTGTGTTGTTATTGGTCAATATATTTTATCTCTATTTGTTACAGGCCAAACATTATAATTATATTCATAGGATAAGAAATATGCATTTATAATATCTTCTATAATTACATAACTTCCTTTATTGGTAGTGGTTATGTGGGAGGGGGGATTCATATAACTCTCTAGGATCATTTGCTTTCAGCCTAAAGAACTTCCTAAGAATTCTTATAAGGTGGGTGTGCTAGCAATGCATTCTCTGTTTCTGTTAAACTCCACTAGCTATAAGATTCTTGCTGTACAGTTATTTTCTTGTAACACTTTGAATATGTTAATCTACTGTCTTCTGGCCTCCACTATTTCCGATGAGAGTTTTGCTGTATTGGGGATCCTTTGAAGCTTAGGAGTCACTTCCGTCTTGCTTCTTTCAGGATCCTCTTCTTGTCACATTCTTTCAGCAGTTTGATAATGTGTCCTGCTGTGGATCTCTTTAAGAGGTTCTTTTAAACATTTTTTTCAATTTTTAATTTTTAAAATATTTGTGGGTACATACTAGGTGTATATATTTATGGGGTACATGAGATATTTTGGTAGAGCCATGTAATGCATAATAATAAGAAATTGCATAAACAAACAAACTTGGAAAATGAAAACTAATAAAAACTGTACATTTCATCCCCCTGCTTTTAAACTTTTTGTTTTTTCTCATTAGTCTTATTGTGCTGTCTTAAAAAGTTACTGGAGTTATTATTTTTGATTGTTTTATAATTTAGTCTTTCTATTTAAGTCAAGGGAAGTTCACACATCACAATGCGCATGTTATACTGTTCTGTGTTTCTCTGTGGCTCACTGCTACCTTCGGATAATTTCTTCTTGCTCATTAACATCCTTTTCTTTCGGATTGAGTAGCTCCCTTTAGCATTTCTTGTAGGACAGTCTGTATTGATGAAATTCCTCAGCTTTTGTTTGGGAAGATCTGTGTTTCTCCTTTATGCTTAAACGATATTTTTGACAGATATACTATTCTAGGGTAAAACTTTTTTTCTCAGCATTTTAAATATGTCATGCCACTCTCTCCTGGCCTATAAGATTTTTGTTGAAAAGCCTAGTGCAAACGTATTGGAGCTCCATTGTATGTTATTTCTCTTCTGTTGCTGCTCTTAAGATACTTTCTTTATCCTTGACCTTGGAGAGTTTGATTACTGAACATCTTGGGGTAGCCTTCTTTGGGTTAAATCTGCTTAGTGTTCTATAACCTTATTGTACTTGAATGTTGATAGTTTCAGAAAACTTCCGAAAACTATCCATTTGGTTTTTTTGGTTTGCTTTTTTGAGATGGAGTCTTTCTCTGTTGCCCAGGCTGGAGTGCAGTGGTGTGATCTCAGCTCACTGTAACCTCCACCTCATGGGTTCAAGCAATTCTCCTGCCTCAGCCTCCCAAGTAGCTGGGATAGTAGGCATGAGCCACCACGCCTTGTTAATTTTTATATTTTTGGTAGAGATGGCGTGTCACTACGTTGGCCAGGCTGGTCTCGAACTCCTGACCTCAAATGACCCACCCACTTTGGCCTCCCAAAATGCTGGGATTATAGATGTGAGCCACTGTGCCTGGCCTGATAGTATCCCTTTGAAGAAACTTTCTTCTCCTGTCTCTTTCTCTACCTCCTCTTGAAGACCAAAAACTCTTAGATTTGCCCTTTTGAGGCTATTTTCTAGATTTTTGATTTTTTTTTTTTTAGATGGAATCTTGCTCTGTTGCCTAGCTGGGGTGCAGTGCCATAATCTTGGCTCACTGCAACTTCCACCACCTGGGTGCAAGTGATTCCCCTGCCTTAGCC